TTGTAATTAACAGGTCCGATTTTCTTCGTAATTTTATAAGGTCTAAGTTTCTTAAAATCAAGCTTATCGCTTGGCCTGTTTATCTTAATGTTTAGCTGCTTATTATTTCGCAAGTGTTAGAGCAGGTAGACTATATCTCCCTCCTTAAAGGTTAATCCTCCAATCCTTCTTATATCTACGAATTTAGCTATTTATTATTTAATAAATTCAAGTTATACTTGCAATTCTTAATGCAGTTCTTTAAGTTTATTAGCTATAATAATAGCTTTACTGGCGTTTTCTCCTTTAATAGGTGGCCGATGTAGATCTAGTTTAAACCCGTAGTTTATGTAAAACGGTAAGTAGTTTATAGATTCTATTAGCGTGCTATTATAGGATGCTTAAGCGGTTGGTAAGTATTCTACCTAATTGTCTTAATTAAAGTTAACGTAATATCGTAAGTATATCTTAATGATTTAGTTAATTTATTCCGTTTATCCATCCGTCTATAGGTAGTAAGCTATACTGGCTTTATATTTTAATCCGATTTATACTATAAGTAATTGCTAAAATTTTAATATAAACGTTAATCCTCTGTCGGAGATGATCTTATTTAGCAGTCTATGGTTTACATAGATATATTAGAAAAAGATATAAGCTAAGTCTTCTGCAGAGCTTTTCTCTATTACTAAGATAAAGTAGGCTATTTTTAAAAGTTAGTTAACTACTATAAAGATACTATCCTAAGTATTATCAGTTATAGGTTCCTTTAAAGGTAGAAGCTTTATAATATAGTCGAACGTTATTAATTCCTAATTTCTAACTAAAACCGGTAAAGGTTATAGTTTTCTATAAGGAAGGTAGCGTAATACCTTAGCTCGTCCGCATATTATACATTCTAACATAACCTTCTATACCCATTTCTTAATACCTTTAAATTTAAAGTATCGTGCGATTTATTATATGGTTTTTCTAATTCCACGGTGTCCGTTGAGCTTATGTACGTAGACTGATTTCACTACTTTACTTCGCAAGTCTTCTGGTACCTAGATAAGTCCATCTAGTATTAAGTATCCAGTATCTATAGAAACACCTTCTAGGTATTATTCATTCTCCTAGTTCTTAACGTATTCCTTTATATTATTAATAATCAGGTCATCTATCTTAATTTAGTACAAGGTGTCAATCGATTAGATAATTAAGTCTCTATACTAGTTTTTCTTTAGTATTTAGGCTTTAACTTCCGGGATTTCCTAGAAGTGGTCTAGGCGTCTGCTGAGTATATTAGCGCGTCCGTTGTTTAATCTGCTGCAGTGTTTAATAATAAGCTTAAATTTAGAAAGTTACTTATAGTACTTAACTTATCTATAGGATAGTTCTTATATTATTATAAAGTAGGTGATATTCTAGTGATCCGTAAGGATTATTACTAGAAATTAACTTCCTTTACAGTAGTATCTCTAATACTGTTTACTAAGCGCTTAGTATATAGCCAGAAATTCCTTATTATAGATAGAATATCTAAGTTCTAGTTTATGTAGTTTCTTAGAGAAGTAGGCAATAGGCCTAAGTTTCCCTTTTTCGTTTAGTTAGCTAAGTACTCCCCTAATTACGTAATCCAAGGCATCGGTTTTAATTATAATAGGTTTATTTAGGTCAAACATTATAAGTACTGGTACACTTATAAGAGCTCGTTTAAGGCGTTTAAAGGCTGCTAGAGCGTCTTATATCCATTCAAATTTAACGTCTTTCTTTATTAAGTTCGTAAGTAGTATAGCGATTTTTAAAAAGTCTTTAATAAAGCATCAGTAGTAATTAGTAAGTCCTAGAAAGCTTTATACTTACTTAGCGTTCTGTAGCAGTTCCCAATCGTTAATTACCTTAAGTTTCTTAAGGTTTATCTAGACTCTGCCTGGGGTAATAATATATCCTAAAAATATAACCTTCTGTATATAAAAGTTATATTTCTCAGGTTCCACCAGGAGTTTATTATCTTAAAGTATTTATAGTACTTTCTTAACGTATTCCTTATGTTCTTCTAAGTTCTTAGAGTAGATAAGGATATCGTTAAGGTATATAATAATAAAATAATCTACATAGTCTTATAATACGTAGTTAATTATTTTCTAGAAAAATACTGGGGCGTTCGTAAGTCTAAAAGGCATTACCTAATATTCGTAAAGTCCGTATTTTATATAAAAGACAGTTTTCTATTTATTACCTTTCTTAATTTAAATAAGGTTATATACTCCTTTAAGATCTAGCGAAGTAAAGATCTTAGCTCCTGTAAGCCAGTCTCTGATTTCCGAAATCAGTAGTAGTAGTATAATATCTTTTTTAGTTATTACATTTAATTATTAGTAGTCTATAATAAGTCGAAGTTTACTATTCTTCTTAGGTATAAATATAACTAGATATCCTGCTAAGGATTTAAAAGGTCTAATGTAGCTCTTCTTCAGCTAGTCCCTAATCTATTTATTAAGTATTTTAAGCTTAGTAGCACTTAGGTTATAGATCTTATTAAACATTAGGACTTTATTATTTATAAGTTTAATCTTATAATCCCATTGGCTGTATTCTAGTAGTCTAGTGTTTAGTTCTTTATTAAAGACTGGTATATACTGGAGGTCGGTTAGTACATTCTTTAAATATTCCAGTGTTTGTTAGTCTTAGTAATATAATTTCTTAACCTTTTATATAATTAAGTTTAGAAATCTAAGCTATTTCTTTTTAGGTTTCTTAATATATTTAACTATCTTTAGGAGCTTTCTTAGCTCCTTAAATTATACTTGTTTTATAACTTTTTCTTTTTCTATATGTTTTTGTATTTCTTTGTTTAATACAGGGGTTACTAATCCTATCGTCGGGGATATTATAGCATTCTATTAATCCTCCTGATCTAGTTATAGTTTCGCTATAATATTAGTTAGTTAGGCGTAAGATCGCTATATTACATAGCCTCCCTTTTAATTAATATCAGGGTTACGCAACTTAAGCCAATCGTATCCTAAAAGTATATTATATCCTGCGATATTTATAATATTGAATTTAAACGTATCCTTAATTTTACTAAACTAGATTATAAGGTGATTAATCTTACGGTCGACAGTTCCGTTATTGTAAGTGAATTATTATTTCTTAATGCTTGCAAGGGTATATAGTTTCTCCTTTTTACAATTATCTAACTGTAGGCGGTTAACTAGTTAAGGCGTAATGTAACTTATTGTAGCTCCGGAGTCTATGTAAACTATAATTAGATGTTTTTCTAAGGTACCTGGTACTTAGAATTTTCATAGTTTCTTTCCTCCTATAAGGGTGTTTAAGTTATAGTAGGTTGTATTATCGGCACCGTCGTAGTAATTATTACCGTAGGGGTTAATCTTAATGTTATCTAGGTCTAAGGTAATCCATCCTGGTTCTTTATTTTAAATATTATAGCGTTTGCACTAGGTACATTCGGGCTGAGGGACGTATCTGGCAGTAAGCTTATAATACTTCCGAAGGTTGCTCTAGTTAATTCCTTGTAATTTATTGTTGTTACCGTACTTCATAAGGTTAAATCCCTGTCGTTCCAGGTTATAGGTAATACATGCGAGGGCTCAGTGTTAATATTAGTACTTCCTACAACGGTCTCTGTCGCAGAGCGAGAATTCTTTTTATCCGCATTCGGCGGCTCCGTAGTCCTCGTGCTATTCATTAAGCTTGGTTATAATATATTATTTACACAGTAGTAGCTTACAGTTAATAATATTAGCTTTATTATATTAGTCTATAAGTAAGATATCGTTAATAAAGTAAATAGTTGATTTTAGTAACTTAGCTACCGGGTATTTGCTTACGTTGGTCTTAATATATTATTAAAACTGGTTTCCGGGCAATTAGATTCGGTTATAGGCGGTACTTAGATTAATCTATTTAATCTATCCCTATTGTTTAAAGAGTCTCTGTTGGTCCTTAAGTTCTTTTTATTATATAATTTCATTATAGCGTTTATTTTCTTTAATAATACTTTAGATTTTATATTAATCTTTATATCATTCCCAGTCCACTGTAGTTATTTTACAGGGGTGGTAAATACTTTTAGGTTCTACTAACCTACATTAGTCGCATATACGTTTTTCAAGGTTATCGATTTTTTCTTATGTTAATCCTTCGTAAAGGTTATATTACATTAGGGACGCTGTATCTTATTCTGCTATCCTATTCTCTTTTAGGTACGTTTAGGTAATTTCTTTAAGTATATTTAAGGTTTATATACGCCCCTTAGAGTACTATCTAGATCTTTATTTATTACTGCAATAGGTCTGGTAGTTGTTATTGTAGTATACTAAGAAGTATAGTATATTATAGTCTACTGAAGGTCTTATAGTATTAATAGTTTAGTTTTCCTTAGGCTCTAGGACGGGTGTGAATTTCTTATTGCTGTTCTTTCTAGGAGCTCGGCAGTATTTCTTTACGTATCCCTTTTCCCTATAATTATAGTATTTAATATTCTTACGTTATACCTTAATAGTACTAAGGTCTATTGGCCCTGGTTATTTATTATTGGAAGAAGTAATATAATTATTTTGCTTTTTTCCTTAGTTAGCTTGGTGTCCTTAAGTTCGCTTAGGTTAAACATTATAAAAGTTTCTATTTTTTTCTTACTTTTGTTCTTTCTGTTATTCCTAATTGCAATTATCAATCTTAATAGCTTTTTAGGTATAGTTAATAAAGGTTATTTTCTTATAGTTAATTTTAAAGAGTTTGTCTTTAACTTTAGGTTTTATACTATTATAGTAAACTTCTTTCTTTATTTCCTTAGTCCAGTTGACTTTAATTAATAGACGTAGGAAGGTTAAAGTATACTTACTTAGTAGTCCTTTTTAGGTAATAAAATAAAGTTTTTACTTAGCCTCTTATTATTTATCTACAGTACTAAAGGACTTTCTAAATTACTCCTAAAATTCCGCATACTTAGTGTAAATTTCTTTAGTTTATGTTTTAAGCTTCTTTAAATTAATCTTTCCTTCTTTATAATTCTATATAATAGGTCGGAACCATGTTTCAGCGTCTCCTGCAAGGCGGCTGCCTGCGAAGATAACTCTGTCTTCGTCATCCTTCAGGGTGCAGGGAAAGTATCCGAAGTAGGTTAAAAGTTCTAAAAAAAACTTATCCATTTTACGTAGATCTCCATCAAAGGGTTCAGGCTTCGTTAGTTTAATAACCTCACCCTTCTCCCTTTTTCTATCTTAGAGGTCCTAAAGCTATATCTTAAGAGCTTTAAACTCGGCCTTCAGTTTATCGTAGTTAGCTTAATTAACTATATTTTCAGCTGGCGTATCTTTAAGCTCGATGTCGCTGTCGTAGTTACTTTAAGCTTCGCTTTCGTAATCAGTGTTATTATCTAGAACTCTGAAGCTCATAGGCTGCTGAGTTCTTAGTATTTTATTACCTGTAGGTCTAAGGTGACCGTCTGAATAAGAGTTATTATTATGTAACGAACCGGGTCCTATAGGTACTATAGGTTAGCTGTTTCTAAGGGACAAACCTTAGAGTAGTTCTATGGTTTATATTGGCGGAGCGATTAGGTCGGTAACGGGCAATCTTATCACCAGCTAATAATATAAATAAGAATAAATATCTATGTTTTAATCTAATTATATTATAAATGCTGTAATAACAACTAGCTATCTAAGTATTCTAATAAGTAATATAAAGTAAACTTATATATCTAGTTAACCTAGACTAGATCGATGTATAGAATATCGATCCTTTCCTAGATCGGTGAATGATTTATTAATCTACTGTTAGATCGAGAAGTTATATTTCAATCCTTCCCTAATTGGTTGGGGGATTAAAGTTAATCCGGTCCGGACTAACCTATTGGCCCATTGTCGCGACCTTAAGAGCCGGGTCGTGACAGATTTAAATAAACTCTTCCGCTTCCGAGTTTTAGGATGCAAAGCTTTAAAAACACGGTCTGTTATAGTTAAGTAAGTTACTGCATAAAATAATAAATACAGGATAAGGAGCACTTATCAATAAGTAAGTGGGGAATATACTACTTATAGTAAGGTCTTAAGGATAAGATTAATAGAAGGGGGATATTATATTACGACCTGGCTCTTATAGTTACGACAATAGGCCTATAGGTTAGACAGTTATAGATAAATATTAAACCGACTAACCAATCAAATACGGATTATTAGATTATTTAATAATCTAATAATCTATAAGCTGGATTATTAGGAATTCTAATAATCTAAGGCAGGATTATTAAATCCTTTAATAATCTAGCCTAGCTAACTGGATATATAAGTTTACTTTATATTACTTATTAGAATACTTAGATAGCTAGTTATTATTAATATAATAGCATTTAGATTAAACATCAGACACTTCACTTTAAATCTAGTAATAAGATTGCCCGTTTACCGACCTGATCGCTCCGCCAACATAAACTATAGAACCACTCTAAGGTTTGTCCCTTGGGAACAGCTAACCTATACTAATATATAGGCACCGGTTCGTCACACTACACTAATTAATTATCGTGCTTCAACTTTTATTAGGTCTCTCTCAGAGTCTGGATTCGAGTCGGAGTCCTTGCTTTAGAGAAAGCAAATCTTGTCCTAGAATAACATTTTGATGTAAGTTATTGTATTATGAACTAGAAATGTATTACGTTGTCTTCTACTGTTGATGTAATGGCCGGTAGGAAAGGTAGTTCGCGGTGTATCAATCACACAGGATTCATCAATACGTGAGGTATGCAAGTCTTACTATGTGGTCACAAATAAACAACGGAAGTTTTATTTCAAGATATAATGGCTGCAGGTTTCTCCTTCTAGAATCACTTAGACCAGAGTATATCCCCCATCAACCACAAGGTCGGCACCAGTAACGTATGACGAGGCGTCAGAAGCAAGGAATAAGAAAACTCCCTTAAGTTCATTTGCATGGGCCTCCCGACTGGATTATAACATTAGTATAATTTGAAGCATCATCACTAATTGTCATGTATTACTCACCCCATGGGAATTTTGTTCTTCCAAATTACTCTCATCTCCTGGGGAATGAAGTTGGATATCTCGGTTGCGATGTAGCCGGGCGATACTGAATTGACTCGCGCAAATTTGACCCATTCGACAGCAAGAGATTTGCAAAGCTGAATCACACCAGCTTTAGCTGCGTTATAAGCAGCTTGCAATTGTGGGATGTTGACGATATGGCCACTGATGCTTGCAGTTGCAATGAAAGATCCACAGCTATAGTTTTGACCAAGTGGGTTCCCGTTTACATCTGTGCCCTCGAGACCTTGGCGGCGAAAGTGTTTCCCAGCGGCACGTGCACAATAGAAAGTTCCGTCGAGGTCAATATTTACCACGTCATGGTAATGGGAGACATCTCCTTCAAGGGCAGGGCCTTGGGTCCAAGGAATGCCTGAGTTGGCGACGAAGATGTCCAATCGGCCTCCAAATTCTGTTACAATATCGTCCGTTGCCTTCTGAACTTCGTCATATGATGTGGTATTGACTTTGTAAGCTCTGCCTGGAAATGGTGTTAAAAAAAACTCGGAGTGTGAGAATCAGGTGTAGTGCTCACATTTGACCCCATAGTCGCGTTCCATCTCTGCTGCTCGCTCAACTGCCTTCTTGTTGCCATTGTACCATATTGCAACATTAGCACCTGCTTCCGCAAATGACTGTGCAACAGCAAGACCGATTCCCGCTCCAGCCCCTGTCACAATTGCTGTCCTTCCCTTCAGAGAGAATAAAGGCATTACTCTTTCTGCTCCAGGACCAGGAATGGCATTTCCATGGCTGAAGTTGCCTTCGGCATTAATTCCACCGTCAGACATGTTGAAAATTTCAGGTCCCTGATTGAGAATAAGTCAATAACAACAACAAAATGTCATTTGGTTCCCTTTATGTCAATGCTGTTGGGCTCCACGTTCAGCGGATTTCGACTGCCGAAGACTGTTACATGCCTAAACATGGAATCGGCTGATTAACACCAGCTCAGGCTGAAACAACAATTAGTAATTTGATAGCCGGTTTTTGAATCGACATCGGAGTCTAACGAGCTGCTCAAGAATACCGGAGACGTAACTCAGCGAAACAGAGTATAATTTGTTCGGGGTCCGGGGTCCGGGGTCCGGACGCAGCAGAATTCTAAAGTCTTGACCTTTCCCTGCAGCCGCACAAGTGGAGTTGCATCATGTAGCCTAGACATTTACCAAAAGGTTTGTGCAAGTCTATTCCCGTACAATTCATTGAATGATTCAAGAAGCTATTGCCTTTTTAAAGTGGTATTAGATCTTGTTCGCTAATGAAACGGCTGTCTTTTGACGCACATGAGAGTCATACACCGGTCTCTAGTCGGGCATTAGCTATTGTCCCAGCACTCGCACCTAACGCCACATTGTAAAGTCGAGAAACCAGGATTATGACGAACAGGTATTTCGATATCCTTTGCCCCATGCATTTACGGTGGGTTTCGTGTTAACCAGTAATCCACGTGCTGGCTTCCTTTGACCCAGAGGCGGGACTATGATTCCGGCGGCGGGAATTGTGGTCCGGTATGATCCATGTGGTGTGTATAGGTCAGGATGGAGAACGTTCTATAGTATTCATTCATTCATAGTCATAAATAAAGCCCCATGATATCACTATCGTCTAATTTGATGAATAGATACCTCTTTGGAACACAATAACCGGTCTGGAATTATACTCCTCCACAATGGCTTCCCAAAGCATGGAGATTATCATGTTTGATGTACAGCCAAAGGTCATCAAGGAAACCCAATCATTGCTCACCAATAGCGAGTGGGACGATGCTCTTTCTACATTAAAGAAACAAGATGGCGTACGAACAGCTTATTGGGGTCAGACAATCGAGTCCCAAGACAAAGTATACCTGCTAATTGGTAGGCTCCTCCCGCCGCAGTACAACAAAACTAGGCATACTGCTGACGAATGATTGATGCAGACTGGATCTCAGCCCAACAGTGCATCAAGTTCAAACAATCCCAAAGCTTTAAAAGCTTTCTCACGAACCTCGATCTCATAATCCTAGGCAGTCCTCGGTCTATACATGTACCCATCGCTCCACAGATGTGTTTGCCAATCTTCCGCGACGGACTGACGGAAATTGCAATATTCTCCTCCTACAACTCGAGTTTTATCGAGACATTTGACAATTTTTCATCCATCATTAAAAATTCTCCGGGGTGTACTGGTATTATGAAAGATATTGCGAGAAGCGAAATCTCCGGAGAAATGGGGGAGATTGAAGGAAGTGAGCAGCTGTATGTTGCAATGATTGGGTGGCTAGATCTGGAAGCACATCGTATTGCGATGGAGTCAAAAGGGTTTAAAGACAACGTTCCGTCGGTTGAGGCTTGTGTTCAAGAGATCATTGTGTACCATATTAAGATGATTATGGTTTAGAAGCCTAGGATCATCTCATTTAGTTTGCCTACCATTACTACAATTTTCAGCCGATATTTTAAAACTGTTCTTCATTGGCACCGTGTTGACAATTTAAACTGAGTCATCAAAGATGATGTATTAACACTAATAAAAGGCCTCGCGGCAATATCTTGATAGGTCAACATAAACGATCAGCGATGACAAATTATACGGGTTATCAAGAATTGTAATAGAAATAACGGAAAGTAGGTCTCTTTGACGTGGATAATGACATAGTATCCCCTTGGATTTTTCCAAAGGCCAGCTGACAAGTCAACTTTGGAATACCGAAAGCTAGCATGATGCAATTGCCTTAAATAGAATATTGAATGTAACCACACACTAGATACACAAGTAATCCATACAAATTGAGGAGAATGATGCTGTATCACGTCAAGAATTCCACGTGTTTGCACCCGTTCAGAGGAGAACCTGGCCGCCATCACAAATAATATCAGTCCCTAAATAATGTGTTAGCAATTATGAAGAAAATCCAAGATGCTCGGCATTACCTGTCATGTAACTGCCTGCGTTGCTTGCGAGGAGGACGACAAGGCCAGTCAGCTCGTTCGGCTCGCCCATTCGGCCCATTGGGTTTCGGTCTGCCCACTAAATTATCGGATAGCAGTGGTCAGTATTCGCAAATTGTGGCGGAAGCAAGGATGTGGCGAATAGTCGTTGAAAGCAACATCAAAATATCGCAATCTTCGGGAGAGGAAAATATCTCATGTCATCGTATATGAAGACTTACAATAGCTCGAGCATCAGCGATACCATCTCCTTCGTTGAGTATGGTGTCCATATAGCCGGGCGAAATGGAGTTCACTCTTATTCCATATCTAGCCCATTCAGCCGCTAAGCTATTCTTCATAGCTAGAACAGCTGCCTTGCTGGTGTTGTAAGCAACTTGTGGTTGCGGGAAGTTGACTCTGTGGCCAGAGATGGAAGCTATAAAAACAATACTTCCTCCGGTGCCTTGCAAAATTATTTGCTTCGCGACGGCCTGAGCACATAAAAATGACCCGGTTGTGTTGATATCGAGCGTCCTGCGCCATTCAGTAGCAGTCATTTCAACTGAGTGGACACAGCCTACTACACCGGCAAAGCATAGAAGGATGTCCACAGATCCCAAAAGCTCTGCGGTGTGAACAACGGCCTCGCTCACAGCGACTTCATCGGTGATATCGACTTGTTTACTCAGAATACTGGCAGATGGATATTCGACTCTCAATCGCTCAATCTCGGCTTCTGCTTGGTCGAGAGTCCGATCAAAAATCATCAAGCCCGCCAGTCCATGCTCTAAAAGTGCCCGCGCTGCAGCTAATCCGAGTGTGCCTGCTCCGCCCGTGACTCTGCCCCAACATCAGTTTCACGCTGACCATAATTTAGGAGTGAATTCAGATACATTGCGTTTCCCTCTACTTGGAATCTGGCCTTTGCCATGTCGCCTGATTGAGAATTGGAGATCCTCTGCGATGGTTTTGGCGTTACCTCGGATTTGTTGAAAGCCATTTGCGGTAGAACGCGACTTTTTAGGGCCTCCCTGCCTGCTGCGCCAGCCTCTGATTGTGTCATGTTGTATTCGAAATTGGATCAAACGTATAGAATCTGATTTCTTCAAGGATTAGTAGATGATGGTAAGTATAACCGCGCTGTATATGCATGAATCAATGAAATAGTTCGTCTGGGTTGGTATTTATTCACCTTCAGTCAAAGTTTTAACAATAAAGGCAGACGTAGAGAAAACTGGCTTCGTTTTCTACAGCGAAGAAGCTGTCGGAGGCAGGGCTCTTTTGCCTGGAGTTATTTAAGTCTCATTGGGATGTGGTGAAAATGACTTCATACGGGCAGCATAGATTATGTCTCATTAATATAACAGCTCAGCGAAGCTTAATCGTCAAATATTTTTTATTTCACTAGTATTGTCCTTATACAGACGGGCGACTGGTGTCCGTAGCTGCTTGTCTCATAACTAAAAGCAGATGATACAGGGTATCAAAGTCCCAGGGCATTTCAACTCCGATAGACCCTCTAACCCTATTCTGGGTTAACGCCCGGAGAGTGTCGCCCGGGCTGCGGACATTGTTTTCCGAATGCCAAGTGTCAGAGAAAAAAAGCAGTGTCTCGTACCATTGGTAAAAAAAGTGGACGTTGGTAAGGAGCGGTAATTGTAAACTCATTCCGCTGGATAAACATCCTTCAATTTGCTATAGATTCCTGTGATATAAGTTACACTCTTTTCGTTTTACAGATTCTTGCAGTTCGGCTATTCTCATAATCCCCATACCTGTACTCGTCGCAGCATCAATCGGACGATACTAGTCCGAGAAGGACCAAAGTCGATGATTTAAAGAGCAATACAATGCCATAAATGCTGGGCGACTTCTTATCCATATTTGAAACATGGAGTCGATTTACTCGTTTCTCACCACCCGTGCGTTGTACCTTAGAAAAGGCCATGGTGATCAAAATCGAGTCATCGTGGCTCTAGCTGGCCCTCCCGGGTCTGGAAAGTCCACAATCGCAGCAGAAGTTGTTTCGCGTCTCAACAGACCGGGCTCACTGCCCATTGCAGTGGTGCTGCCAATGGATGGTTTCCACCTCTCACGCGCTACCCTCGACACAATGCCCAATAGGGCTGAAGCTTACGCTCGCCGAGGTGCCCCGTGGACATTTGACGCAGCTGGTGTAGTGCGGCTCGTGGAAGAACTGTCAGAATCAAGATTTGGGGCGCATAAGAAGACTATAATAGCGCCTAGTTTTGACCACGCAATCAAAGATCCTGTTCAAGGGGGCATCACTTTGGGCCAAGAGATTCAGTTTGTACTTCTCGAAGGTAATTATCTGCTGCTGGATGAGGAGCCATGGAATAAAATAAGGGAGCTGGTTGATGAAACATGGTTCGTGGACGTGGACCCAGCCCTGGCGGCGGAGAGAATTGCTAAAAGGCATATTCAAAGCGGTATTGAGCTGAGTTGGAACGGGGCATTGAGCAGAGCAAGGGATAACGATTTGCTTAATGGCGATCAAATTAGAGACAAGCTATTGACTCCTGATGTAAAGATAGAGAGTATAGATAGTAAAAAATGACAATCCGCGCTTCGACAGCCCTTTCACTTTCAGAAGGGCCCGGTGTGCGAGAGTCTGGTGTCTATATTTGCGGGCGCTATTATAAACCCCAACCTAAATGCTAACATAGGTAAGCTACCATAAAAACGAGCACTCGCGACAACACAAACTTTGAAGTTCTAAGCTTCCACTGTGACTTAATAATTGCTATAATAATAAATTAAGCCATAGGTTTATGATTATCTATGATGAACTGCATTCCCGAGGGCAATGAGGTATGTTGCAATCTGGTCATTCTCAATACCTGGTTTAGACTTATCTATTCACCCTGTGATGTCTTATTACATTTGCCATCTGTAACTTATTAACCCTTGCAAAGCGAAGCAGATAGGTTCCTGTACTAAGTGCATCCCTTAGGAAGTACGCCCAATACTCACCTATAGACTCAAGTTTGTCACAAGATTACAAAGTATATCTAAAGTATGGGCTGCGATCTCCCAGCTCCAATAAATCAACATCACCGTACTTCTCCCTGATATCTTCTTCCGTCATTTGATCGCGCTGTGCATTGATTCTCTTCAACGCGTAGCGAAGGATTAAGCATGTGACAAACGCCATACAGTCGATTCCCAAGATGAAGCCATAACCTGTCCAATAGTGAGGCGCTTCTTGTGCGAGAAAGATATTAGAGCCTGCAATGCCACCAAGATTTCCCATACAGATGAGATGGGCCATGCCGACAGCTCTTTTGGAGGAAGGTGCGAGATTGTTTGCTGAATGGTACCAAAGAAGGATTAGTATGAGAGCTATAGCCTTTCCCCCTTGCCAACTGCCTGGAGAGTTATCTTACCGACAAAGCATAGAGTAGGGACCAGCGACATATAAATTCCGGATGTCGCGAGAAACAGCATGCCGTATGTCAATCCTGGGAGCTGCGGGTGAGGAATTGCTAATAGAGCCGTGAACCCGGCTATTCCTACCGAAACTCCCAAAAGTATGAATGGAGTTCTCTGCCGGTAGTGATCCGAAACCATGGCGTTGATGACGGTGAAGATCATGGCAACGACATAGATTGGAACTGTAAGGAGTTGCTATATCAGGAATCAGTAACCAAATCTACCGATTTACTCACATGCCAGCAACTTACGGCATCTGCAGCGGTGTATCCCAGTTCGAGAATTACTGTAGGAACTGTATAGGTGAAGCCGTAGGAGGAGATACTAGTAGCCCAATACATGAACTTCGAAAACGTCAATGTGGAGAACATATATACTTAAGCAAATAGAAAAGAACTCACCACAGCTGCCCACACTTTCCAGTCTGTGAGACCAGCAATAACTTGTCGTTTGTTTACTTTATCATTATTTGTGACCCTGCCTCGGCCGGAACCTGTGTCCTGTTCTAGCCTCAAGACGATGAACTCCCGTTCTTCAGTAGTTAGAAAAGGCGCCGTGTTAGGGCTGTCGGGGAGCAGAGACCAGATGAAAAATGAAAGGAAAACGGTAAAAATGCCTTCCAAGATGAAGATCCTATACGCTGACTTTTAGTAATATGTCGCTAAAGAGTTAATATTCATATAGAGCATTGAACTGACCATCTCCAGCCTTGCAATCCTGCGACTCCATCCATCTTTTGGATTCCAAATGCGAGTAGACCTGAAAATGCTCCGGCCAATGATACTGCAGCGTAGAAGAATACCATTCGAGATTGGACTTCGTAACGCGTGTACCAGACAGTAAGGAGATAGGTTGCTACAGAGATTTAGAGACGATATATACCCGATGGCGAAGTCGTCTAACTTACCTGCGGGAAAGAACCCAGCCTATTCAAGAACGCATTAATACATGTTATTGGCAACTGAAGAGTATCTTTTTATTAAACTTACTTCTGCAACACCGAGAAAAATACGAATAGCCAAAAGTCCAGAAAAGTTTTGAACAATTCCTGTCAAAGTACTGTTATGGTTATCTTGCATTAGCTACCGTCAAAGAAGAGTGGATTGAATAAGGCATACATAACTAGTCCCCAAGAAAACATCATCAACGAGATCCAAATGGATGGTCTGGTAAGCTTGAGGATGACATTGCTCGGAACTTCCAGTAATGAATAGGGGATAAAAAATAACGTGACAGCTATGTTGTACTGTGTTCCCGAGAGATGGAGATCTTTCCCTAGTCCAGCAACTTTGGCATTGCCCACTTCTTACCGTTAGCAAAGCGACGTAAATGCAGAAGCAGTAATATTGTGGTAGAGTTACAGTTCCCTCGGTCAATAAAAGACACGAGATATAGAAAAGACAAGAGCGGAACCAGGCGCCAGTCCACCTTTCTCAGGATTCGTTTCTGCTCTTCAGGGGTGAACGAAACCTGATAATTTTCCGCTTGTTCAATGGAGGGACGTTCTTTTTCGAACAGGTCATTTTTTTCTAGTGCCTCCATGGCTGGCACAGAAGTTCCGGACGGTTCTGTGGCTTTCAAAGTCATAACGCTGCGATTCCAGATATCTGGTGATTAAGGTGCTGAGAGCACGAGTAGCTAGATATCCAGCATAAGGCTACGATCTTGGTGGAAAGTCAATTGAAAGAGAGTGCTGACGCACAAGTTTGTTTTATACCCAATTTTGCGTCGTCCGCCTCTCACCTTGTATCCTCGCTGTAGCCGCATGAGGATGTGGTCAAGGTAGTCATGTTTCCGATGGATCCGTAAACCCCATGGGGAGTCGTGGTGTTCTCCAGATTTCAAGGGCGTCTATCTTCGTCCGGATTATTGACCGCTATCAATACGTGGGCCCTTAGCTGATCCAATGGTCAGAAGCTAGTGGCCATACAGGTGTAAAGAATACGTAGTAGAGCTGAACGTCGATCGGGGCGGCATTGGCTCCGAGCCATTACTGACTGGGCTGGGTAAAAGTGGCGGACACGGTGCCGAGCCATTGTGCTGCGAGCTTCGGGACGGCGTCCGCAACATGGCGATATTCTAAGTGCTTCAGTGGCAAAGAATACTATGTATGTTCGAAGGAATATCCCGGGGACGATGAACAGTTTTCGAAAGTTGGTTATGCCAAGCTTGTGGCTGGATACTAGATTGGAGATTTGACGCAAATGGACATAGCTTGCTTCGCAGCGCGGAGATGTCATAACTGGAGACGATGGGCGTAGTCTAGCGGCGGACGACGATACGACGCTGTATTCGGACGCAGATCAAATAAAGTAGTAATCTCTTTAAAACGAGCATCGTGGTGTTAGATCTCTAAAAACTAAGTTCACGTTCCTTTCATATGCGTTTGCTCAACGTCAGCATGTCGACCATTCGCTCCTCGTTCTGGCGCGGTGGCGTATGCAACGCCCTCATTTTCCATAAATCCGATCTTCCCACGGACCGGTCAAAATGGCAGCCTCTGTTTGCAGCAGCCCTGGGCTCTCCCGATCCGTACGGCAGGCAGCTAAATGGCATGGGAGGCGGTGTTTCATCCCTTTCCAAAGTGTGCGTTGTCTCACCGTCTACACGAGATGACGCCGATGTTGATTTTGAATTCGTTCAAGTCGTCATTGATGATGGATCACTGGATTTTGCTAGTAACTGCGGCAATATGACTGCTGCCATTGGACCATTTGCCCTGGACGAGGGACTTGTCGGCTCCTCCAATGTCACGTTGGCTTCTGCGATGAAACACGCAAGCGTACGCATCTACAATACCAATACCAAAAAACACATTATTGCTTCATTTCCCGTAAATGGAGATGTTCCGAAATTTATTCCCCATGGAACTTGTCGAATGGATGGGGTTCCTGGTACGGCATCAGAAATCCTGCTCTCTTTCCAATCGCCTGGTGGAACACAGACTGGAAAAGTGTTACCCACCGGTCAGGGCATAACATCCATGAATGTTAAAGACAAGAACGGAAGGAAAATAACGGCTTCGCTGATAGACGTGGCAAATCCGGGAGTATACGTGGACAGCAGCGATCTCGAAATCGCACCAGATATTACACCTGCTGAGCTAGACCATCAGAAGGATACAATGGCTTTGTTAGAAGCTGTTCGTCGGGAAGCTGCAAGATTGATGGGTATGGATCCAAACACTGGAAGTGTGCCCAAAGTTGTGATATTGTTCAAGCCTACGGATGAAGAAGCATCTAAAGGGGCCAATATTAAATCCTTAACCTTATCCATGGGACAAGCTCACAAGGCCATACCTCTCACTCTAGCTCTAAACCTTGGTGTTGCCTGTCGAATAGAAGGTACACTAGCTTATGGGCTAGCAAGGAATATGAGTCGAGATGGGAGGGTGACAATACAGCATCCTAGTGGGATGATAGACGTTGGTGTTGATATATCAGGGGAAGATGTCTTGAGCACAACTCTATATAGCACTGCAAGGCTATTGATGAAGGGCGAGGTGAATGTTGAATAGGGGTACGTGGTGTATGTTGAGTGGCAGTGAGATACAATTGGTTGTAGAGTACGTTCAACCGGGCTCCCGCAATACCATAGCTTCAGGGGATTCTTGACGTCATTTAAAACGACTTCAATAGTTACAGGGTATAAATAGCTTTGTAAAGAACAATTATACTACCTGATATGAAGTTAGTGATGCCTGATAAGTTCATAACACTACTTTGGAAAGCGGATCAAGGCAGTCATGCGCTGCTTGTCACATCCGTGTCCCAATCGCTCCATGCAATAGTAATTTAAACTCCCAAAATGGTTTAAATAATGCCAACTCACTTTTTTCTTTGTAAAGAGCTAGTGAGCAGCTGGTTCGTACATCACGCCGATCCCTATCATTCCCCTTTGACAATTCATCCTACTTACAACGCCCATCGTGGATCAGAGCTACGCACACAAATTGTGTGTTAACTCTCGCCGCAACTTTATAATGGAGCGTAACAGCTAGACTATCTCATTCCACAATACGGACAACGAGCGCCGTGATTACGGCGCTAACATCTTTTCACCTATATCAGACACGTTCTCTACAATTGTGGCTTCGGGCCGCCGTCCGCCACTCCAACACGAGCTCCTGCTTAATCATCCTTTTCTACATTCAACCACATAATACCTCTTAGTCCTTTACACAAGTACACCGTCCTCCTGTTGTCCCCGATATGGCGCTTTCCGTGATGGGTAGCACTGGCGAAGAGAGCGATTTTATTTCTTAGATGTAGCAAGCTCTTAGACCGTGATATGCATGTAGTGACCAGCAACGGTCAGTCAATGTCGATCTGGGATAATGGGGAAGCAGGGCTGAGATTCAGCCCGCCATTTCTTCTTCCTTAAATCTCGAGCTGCTATTTAAAACCTCAGAGCAAGCGAGATAAGACCATAATATGTGAATCCGTTTAAAACTGTATGAAAAAAAAAAAAGTAGAGAACGACAACTGAAAATAAGTTCCTGAAGACTTTTACCCCGAATCATGAAGAAATTCCACAAACTGAATTATCGTAGAGGTATCTTATTCGCAGGATCCTCGGCATGTGCCATAATGCCAATGCTGTATCCCCGGTTCAGTGGGAGTCTTGTGAAACACAGCCATCGGAATCTTCGTCACCCTGATAATCAGTTAGAGCAGGTGACAGAAACAATTTGAACATTGTCGGACAACTTGACTCCATTTGTATCTTTGGGACATAAACCGTCGTGTGGCCGTTCTCGCCACCGCCACAGGTTGAGCCCTCATACCTGAAGCTGAAGTCGCATTTAGCAACTCCGATATTGGCGCCGACATGATGTCGCCGCAAAGTTTACCACTAAAGTTGGACAATCTGAGATAGAAAGCGAACTTCTTGCCTGTAGATTCAATGCGGGCCTCATCATACTGATTATCCTTGCCGTTGCTGTAAACCACTGGCAGCGACATTTCATCGGCTTGTCGTTTATTTAGAAGCCAACTTCACCTCGTTTGTAGAGGTCAAAAGTTAGTCCAGCCAGATACAAGTCTTTATAAGTTCGGAGCGAGCTAAAGCTTGGGTAAAAAGCGGCAAGGCGCCGAGAAGAGTGGTGATAGCAAACTGGAACTTGAAGAACATCAGAGAGGGTTCTTCTAAATGTGACAAGCTTCTTGGACATATCTTCATCTTAACTGACCCCTACTAGGCTAGTCTTGTTTCGTTGAAAAATTAGTGAATGATAGGAACGAAGAGGCCAGTTGACGCTCCTACTTGGTCATATTGATGTAGAGTGTTTTGTAGGAAGGTTGAATATTAATAGACAAAATTATTCCTCTGGCCGTTGTTGATATTACGAAAATCAACACGTTTGAATGGGGGGGGGGGGGGGGTTTACTCGCCAATGTGATGGTAAGGATCTGTCAGAAGCAGCCCGCATATTCTTCAAATAGCGGTTTAGGCAGCCGACCTAACCAGAGAGAGTGCTTGTTGGTCCTATTATAGGGAGCCATTCATACCTCTTATGTGTGCTGAAAAAGTCATTTCTAGGGCAATTCTCTTTATCATCTCTAGATAGACGGTGGTAGAAAAAGATCTGGCCGCAATGCTACACTAATGCCCTTACACGTTCTACCCTTGCTACCCAATCTCATCTAATGAGCAAAACGTGTAAATTTGATTGGCGAAGAATATATGACCGCCTTGTCTTGCAACCAACATGCCTCTTGCAGCCCAAATGAATCACTAGATACTTGATAAACCAGTGTCTTGATGAGGGAACTACAAGTACTCCGTACATTATGGTTAATTAGGCAGCCTCCCTTATCCCGATTCCCCGAACCCCGCTATTGCTCAGCCTCCTTGCTCATTCTTGCTTCCACTCTCCCTCTTTTCTCTGACCATTTTCGTTAACCACCATCGACTTTGGTCCCAAAATCGCCACTGGAACAAATTCTATTAATGCGTTTTAAAAGCTGAGAGTCACTTTCAAATATGGCACAACAAGGCGGCACATGGCGTCCCTCAGGTATGGCCCGCTTCCCTGTTGATTATAAGGTTTACTAATAACCTGATAGATATTAAGCAGATCAAACAGCTTAAAAAGAAAAGAAATAATCCTGAATCGCTCGAAGACGAAAAAGTCCTCACGAGTCCCGAAACCTCGAGTAGCCAGGATAACAAGACCGACGGACAGGAGTGGGACATCGTTAAAGACTCTGATGCCGAGCCCGAGACACAAAGAGGTGGCTTTTCAAGCCAATTTAACTTTGAAGTCGGCTGGGGGAAATGGAAGATGACTCTACTTAGCTGGGACATTAACGTCCGAAGGAAAGCAGTACAGACTAAGGGAAGAGACCCGTCATCCGCTTCCATAACTAGGAACAAAAATAGTGATACTCAACCGGCTGAACGTGACTAGCTGCGGGAGTCTTGCTATTGCGTATGTAGCTTGCGGCTTCTGATCACATCTTATTTAATAACATAATCCATTTATAACGAATATGTTGTTTAATCAGCCCTCTTCCTTCCGTATGAGATAATTGACGGTAGCATTACTGGTAAGGTTTAACAGCTTCAAGACATATATTGGCCATGGATATGCTGCGACTGAATGTGATGTATACAGCTATACCCGACATTGTACATAGCTGTCGTTCCTACTTCTTGATTCATTATGTGGCCGGCCAAGGATTACTCTAGTAATCAGCTGCGTGAATAACCCAGAGAGGTGAATTATATTGCTACACTCAAAGGCTCATGCATAGGCACCCCTTGGACGGTGGAATACTGTAGTGACTCCTTTGTCTTTCGTTATCAACTATGACTGGTCGAAATGTTGTGTATTGGAGACGATAAGACACCGCTTGGTTCTTGCTCATTTAATACCGACAGTTTTGCCGTCTAGTATCCCAATGCCAAATGGCATTTGATTCATCCCGTAGGTGATTGCTGCGTGAACAGGATTGAGGTGGAAATAGGGTTGGAGGTGTGACGCTGATATAACTGCATAAGTTAGGAAACTGCGATATGTTTAGTTAGTGATGAAGAAATTTATTTGGTTGCTATAGCCCACTGCTACCTTTGCAGCTTGGTTTGCTGCATTATTGCCAGACACTCTAATGCAAACGAGAATTTACTAGAGATAGCCCGATATCCCACACCAAGATCTGTAACATTTCGTAATTATATAACTTCAATTAGTATGTATATATAAACTATTTATTAAGTATGCTTTTAGATTTAGGAAGCATTCGGGGATATGCTATTTGCTGAATCAAGTTAAGCAGCCCCTTGGACCTAATACCAGATTGCTCACTGGCGCTGCATTCGGATCATCAACCTTCTATCCTTCAGTGCCCTCATTGTCTAGCACCGTTGTATCTTGAGTGGCTCTTGTAATGCCAAATAGAACTACAGTACTTAGTCGTAATATCTTTTCCATGATTGTACTTCCCAAGTTAACAGATGCCCAAGTAACGTTTCAACACGTCCAAGAGAATGCCTCACTCGTTTTGGAGTACCTTAGTGGAAGGCTAGTATTGGGCGATAACTCATCAACTCACGAAAAGGCATGAAGCCCGTAGTCCTCTATACACGAGTACTGGAGACGCGTTAGGTAAACTGGTGCTAAGTAAGCACACTGAATGGAGCAACACATGAATAGTTATAATAATTTGTTATTATAAGCTAGGTAGCTTGGGGTTCTTGGTGCCCTTCAGCTGGTTCAGCTTGTGCTTTGCTTCGCCTAGCTTCGGTCTTTCCTTCTTTGGAGCTTTCGATCGCAGGTCTGCAATCTTGTTGATTGTGGATTTGGTTGTTCGTTCAGCCATCTTGCTGTTGCGATCGGGTTGCGGCTATTGCGGTGCGTTGTCTTGTTGTGCGGTCTTTTGAAAGCGTTGTGTGCGCAATCCATTTTCAGGGATTGTCGCTGCCTTTTATAACCTGATGGAAGGATCAGGCTTATCTGGTCTGGTTGAGTCATTGAACTATAAGTCGCGGGGCTTGAAGCGTAACAGTTGCGTTGTGCTTGAACCTTGTTGTTCGGGCCGTTTTGCGCACGTATCGGCCATACTTTGTGGCCTGAATCTTCGAGGTTTGACTTGGTCGGCTGTGGCCGATCGGGTTGGGCTACGGATTGATTCTGGATTTTGAACCAAAGGCTGGGGCGTAGCCTTCCTCTGACCTAGCTATTGCAGCTTTACTGACCCTCTTGATAATAAATATAACCTCTACAAGGGACCCGTGTCAATAAGGATTGTACGGCCCCGTGGACCTATGCGGCGCCCTATCTATGACATTGTTTGGTTATATGTGGACACTTGTACGCTAAACTGTTGAGGGAATCGAACAGTTTTGAACACAAAAGGCTGAAACTATACATAACACAAGAGCTGCAGTTAATTCGGTAAGGGTGTGCACTTATTGATTTTTTTGTGTGTGTATATACTTATGTTGCGGTCGCTGTTTTTCTGGTCGCCGCTTGATTGCGTATCGAATTGCAATGCTTTATACTTTGGATATGTTCACATACAATCTACCTAGGTACAATGTGCACTCAGAGGACCAAATTCGGTCAGTACTAGGTAGGTACCTACCAAGCCATATGGAACGTTGAACATGGCTGCTACCTTTCGTACAGAGGTACTGAAATCTCGCTTACCTCTATTTCACGTGCGAAAGCTCGCCAGGTGAATAAAACTTCATACACAGTATTCCGATTGTTGTAACAACGGTGTGGAAAGGTTACGTAAGGCTGCTGAGACTGACTTTTTGCCAGAAAAGTAAGCCAGTTGTCAAGAATCAATTCCCTGGAGGCAGTATATAAGTTGGTCAGCCCAGCTTTTCTCACTAGCATCCGGCATTGGAGAAAGAACACTAAAACTTGGAAATTAGGGTCATTGATTCAATTGCCGTTTATTCGATATCCTGCTCAACCAGAACCATGGCTACTAAGGAGCGCATACCCGCTTGCCGCATCCGGACAAGGTGTCTCATCATTTCAGACACGCATGGAATGCAGCTGCCAGTCGACATACACACGCCTGTCGACGTAGCTATTCACTGCGGCGATCTGACGCAACATTCAAGATTGGACGAATTTCAATCCGCCATCGAGCTTATTGAGAAATTAAATGCCCCTCTAAAGATTGTTATTGCTGGGAATCACGATTTCTCGCTAGACATACCTGTTTTTAAACAAAAGATCTTGGAAGCAAACAGACTTTCACTGGAACCTCTGGATAACGTGACCATAAGAAAGGAATATGGCGACTACGGCACAGCCCGACAGATGCTGCAGGAGTCTAGAAAAAAAGGTATCATCTTCGTTGACGAAGGTTCGCATCGGTTTTCCCTTCAAAATGGTGCTCTTTTGAGTATCTATGCAAGCCCATATACGCCATCAACAGCATCATCCTCCGGCTGGGGCTTTCAATACAGCGGCATCCACAATTTTGAAATCGAAAACGGGATCGACATTGTTGTTACCCATGGTCCGCCTCAAGGAATCATGGACTTATCTGCAGAAAGGAAAAGAATTGGATGTCCGCAACTTTTTGCGGCTGTCGCAAAAGCTCAACCACGAATTCACTGCTTCGGACATGCTCATGATGGATGGGGCGCAAAGATGGTAGCTTGGAGACCTCAAATATCCGACATGCCGTCCCACTTCACCGATATAGACAACGATAAGTCCTATGTCATCGAGAATATGATCAGCCTAAATGGATCCAAATTCGAATCAGCGGAAGAGATGAAGGCAAGAGAAGATAGGATGAACCGCTGTAAAGAGCGCGGATACTGTGAACAAGAATGGACTGACTATAACACGCTCGGAATGACCTTGTTTGTCAATGCTGCTGTGTCTGGCAATAATGGCTCAAATCAATTACCGTGGGTTGTGGATATTGAATTGCCACTCAATAGTTGACGTTTTAGAAATATTCGGTTTGGACGACTTGCATGTAATTCTAAATTAGTTCGGCCTATTTCTCATCGGAGACACGGACCAAATTTTTTTAGATGGATCTAATGGAAAAACGATGGGTAGTCCATTGATTTGTGTTCCAAGAAATAATATATACACAACGGCTATTAGATAGTTCCTGTATCATATACCAAGCAGCATCAAAGCAGCTTTTTGATTGTTAATACCCATAACAGCAACCAAAACCAACTGATCTAGCGGATCCATGCATTTTCCAGTATTAATTATATCATCAGCTTCTTTCTGATTTAATTGTGGAAGCATTTCACCCTTTCTGGCCAATGCTTCTACCAGCCACCGGAAATCTTCCATATCTCCGTCATCTCCACGGTCTGCAGCTGTCGCTGCTCTTAGTCTCAGAAGATCGGCTTTAGATGCCAGTGAAGCCCCGAGGAACGGCTCTACATGATGTATATGGTCGATATATCCACCGCCCATCTCAATGAGATCAACACGAACTCTAAAACCTTGGGATGCATCGTAGGCGATTCTTCCATCGGGTTCGAGGCTTAAGCCATTCGCCGCAGCCCGTACGCCATTCCAAACGCAAATGAGGACGTCAGGAGGTGCGACGATATCAACATCCTCAGTATACTATGCTGATGAATGCGCGATGCTGGCTGTGCCTCCGACAAGAATTATTTGGTGGCGTATTTCGGGCTGAACAAGGAGAACTATCGCCTGGAAGCACTCTAGCAGTGCATCTTGCAGCGATTTTGAGACTATTTGACTAGACTTTGGCATTGCGAATTAATGGGTCGTGGTCTGGAATTGTGAAATTTGGGCGAGTTCTGAATTGTATTGATTTGCCAAAATCTTGCTGGATCTTGAGACGGTCGCGCGACGAAACGTACAATGTTTCATGACAAGGAACTTCTTAAAAATTCCAAGGGTGATGGTTGGGCAATGGCTGTCACTACAGAAACATGAACTCAAAATTTTCCACTGCTTGATCTATGTTAGCAGTAGCAAATGTCTATGTAAACCGGTGCTAACTAAGCACACTGAATGGAGCAACACATGCATATTTATAATAATTTGTTATTATAAGCTAGGTAGTCCGGCCAGTTATGATGAGCTGATAACGTACTAAATAATGGCATCTATCTGTGCTTATATATAGCGGGTGTGCTTCATGAGGGCCACCTGCAGCCTTTACTCAACTTCAACAAAATACTACACTGACCGATTTAAAGGACAAAAACTTGTGCACTTTACAAAATGGCAGTCAACTCGATCAAACCTATTCGCGTTTGGCTGACACGTAAGTTGAAGTTTGGCACTACCAGTTTCGGCTTTTCTTGCTAATAAGAATCAACAGCTCCTGGACCTAACCCGTGGAAGGTGAGTATATAAAGAATCTTAACAGCAGCCCCTGATGCTGTAATGTCATGCTAAAAGCTGTTTAGCCAGTTTTCTTGCTTGAAGAGTTAGGGCTGAAATACCAGATACAGTCCTTTCGATTTGACGACGTTAAAAAAGAGCCCTATATCAGCATCAATCCAAATGGTCGCGTGCCGGCTATCGAAGACCCAAATACAAGGATAACGTTGTGGGAATCGGGTGCAATTTACCAGTATTTAATCGAACAATACGACACAAGTAACCGCCTATCGTACGATACTCTTTCAGAGAAACATAAATGCAACCAGTGGCTCCATTTTCAGATGAGCGGTCAAGGGCCCTACTATGGACAATGTGGCTGGTTTCAGCACTTACACTCCGAGAAGATCCCCTCGGCTATCGAGCGTTATAAGAGTGAGATTAGGCGAGTGCTGAGCGTTATTGAAGGCGTGTTAGCAGACAAACCGGCTACTGCTCAGTGGCTAGTCGGTGATAAAATGACATTTGCAGATATGGCTTTTGTACCATGGAACTGCCGCCTCAGCGAGGTATTGATGCAACCGTGGGATGAAATATGGGATGGTATACCCCATGTCCGCGCTTGGCACGAGCGGATGGCTGTGCTTCCGTCTTGGAAACGTTCTATGGAAAAACGGGATCAGTTGATGGATGAGCAGGGATTGCAGTGGAACGGGTTTCCAAAAGGCATTGTATCATTTCAGGAGTATGAGAAAGTCATAGCTCATAATGCCGAACTTGGCGACTAGATTCGGTCTGTCTTAGGACAATCCAGAGAATATTGGCTACGTACGTAGGGGCATTTTTTCCCCCAACGCTACGTGATCAGCCTAAAGAAACATACCCGAGCTCGTTCCTGTTTTAGAATCTGACATTATCAAGGTTGACAGATATTTTCTGGTTCACGGGCTCAAGTGCAATATACGCTAGAGACTGGTAATGCTAACACTCGTCATCACCCAAAACGCTACCTCAGTAGATTTGGACTTCAGTACTACCATTGCTAATAACAGAAGCATCGCGCATGCCGATAATTACAGGTAGCAAATTGAACCTTTGTGATCCAGATCCAAGAGAGAGAAAAGATTTTATTTGCGATAACCTGATTAGTTATATCATTTTTAACTTCATGTTGGAATTAGACCTACTATCCACAGTACTGCTCTCTGCCTGTTTATGCATCCGTGCTTAGATTCGCCTCAACATCCATGCTAGAGTTCAGCTTAACGATATGCCAAAAGTGTTGGTCGCACATATAAGGCATATTAGCAGGAATCAGACAACAACGCCCCAGGACCAATATCTCTTCTTCTGCTGTAGAGTATCAATTGATTAGATAGCTTCACCATGCTGGAAGTGGACGCAGCCATTCTCGACCAAATACTGCCCTAAAGGATGAATGGATCATGGGGATTTAGCGCGCAAGGTCTTATTCTCGTCCGATGGTCCGGGGCACCACGGACCTAATTAATTCGCGCAGAGTAAAAACAAACCATGGATTGCTAGACAATCACAAGTATTTTCCATAGACATAGCAGTGGAACCCTTATAAATCGGCATATGGGTTTAAAAGGTTGGTTGAGTGGTACATTAGATGGCGATAACTAATCGCCCTATGGGCCACATAGGACCGCCTCACGGCTCTTGGCGCAGCACTGGAAGCTACATGTACCGTACTGTAACGAACGGCAATAGTAGTAAAGTTACCAGATGCTGCCATTTTTGGCAATCTGTGGGCTATGAGGCGGGTAGCTACGCTAGAGTATTGACATGACGAGGAATGTCGTCAATTCCAGCAAAATCGAAGTTATACATTGAGGATGAATAACATGGTGGGTGGATGCCTTGCAAAATTGGTTGATCAGAGAGCCCGTTAGACAGGCAGACACGTCTTAGAGGCTTAGAGCGAGTGGTTCGTAGCGCTGACAGATGCATGGCTAGTAATAGATTGCTGGCCCGGTCTCATCCCACAACCGTCTTGTTCTTCCAAATGCGGGCTCGCTCTCGATACCGCCCTATTTAGGGCCAGCACGGCGCGAGATGTTCAGCAACAATCCCGAAACGCAATTAGTCTATCTCGAATCAGAAAAAACAAGATTTGTGGTAATGAATGTAACAATCACCTACTTCGGCTTTCCAGGCGTGGCGCAGTTGGCATTTAGGATCTCTTCCTGGCCTAAGGATCGTTGGCGCAGGAGACTTGGGCAGTCATGATTGGATTCGGTAGTCCAGTACGTTCTGAATACTGCAGATATATATATGTGCGTCCTCGCAAAATTGTGAATGATACCCTCTCAGCTATATCTCATCTGATTTCGAACATTAACGATATTTGGAACTACCTCTTATAAACCTTTACGACGCTCGACAGTACACGGTATCATAACGCCCAGATTAATAAAATGACCGTCCTCAGCTTTCTATGGGTAGTTGGTGCGATGGCATCTCTCGCCATGTCCACAACTCTATGCCAAGACTGTGACTTTATTCTCTGTCACAAATCACAAGAGAAAGCTGCCAAAAACTACATCGACACCTGGAATGGAGATTTTAGCCTCGAAAATATAACGTTTACACCTAATGTTAACTTATACCAAGACCGGTTGCCAGGTTCCAACGGCTCCATAGAACTATCAATTGGAACGTCCGGCGAATTCATCAAATTCATGAAAATGGCTCACACCGGCTGGAATCACTACCAATTTGTTGTTCAAAACATTGCTTTTGATAAGTATAATGTCGTTATTCGATGGGCGTTGAATGCAACCGTGGGGCCACATGACAAGATGATCATTCCAATGTAGGTGCACCCAAGTGGCAGGCCAGAAGGGTCACCCAATTTGAGCATCCTCACAGACTTTGGGCTAATGAGTTCTGATATTGTTGAATCTAGCAATAAACCTGAAGGAAGTCATATTACGTACAACGGTACAGATTGGCTGTATCTCGATGACTGCACGGGCAGAATCAAGCGGGTCGACTCGGCGCAAGACTACATAACTGCATTGCACGCACAAGGGCTTACAGATGTAAAGATTTGAATCTGCTTCGATGGATAGCGGAGGATTGAATCATCGTAAATATTATGTACGACGTATCGTAACTGGAATCACTGGATCATATTCTTATCAATTTTGGTAGATAGAAACGCCGTCCGACAAGGGCAATGTCATAACAGCTCAATATCTCGCGTTACGCGCTGCCACCTATTCCCAAATCTCATTGATTGAGACCGCTGTATGATGCAATACGTGATTCTAGCAGTAGGGAGTGATATTTTGGAAAACTCGATATGGTAAATGAGATAACCAACTGAACTTATGTCTACACTCTACCTTGATCATTTTTACTGTACAGTCTCAGTGGCAATGAGCACAAATTTTACCGAGTCCCCTCCATCTTCCAAGCCGATAAGAAAACCCGCATTAGAAAAAAAGGCGAAAGTCTACGATGATCCTTGAGCATCAGCAGTTGGTGTGCTATATGCTTTAATTACACGCGCACATAGCGATTTTCGAGCTACCAAGCAACGGTTCAAGCTACTTTAAACACCTTCTTCCATAAACGACTAAACCAATAGTGAAGACGAAGAGTACCCGATTGATCTCTTATATGAGACTTGCGAGCGTAATTGATCGATGGCTACTGCCAAATACGCGTTTTCTTTTCTTTTCTTTTTCTTTCGTGTTCTTAGGTCTTACAACTTGGTATTTAGGATCATCTCCTTGGTAAGGAGCTTCAGTCCAATCACTCATACAGAAGAACTTCTACGCTTATTGCAGATAATCCTTTATCTACTACCACAGTGAACGATTTACACTGTATAATCTGGCGAAAAGAAGAAAAGTTCAGGATAGGTGGTTTAGCTTAGCTTAGTACACGCTACTTCGCGGCCGCTTGACTCACAAAGGCTGGCTGAGCTTTCTTGTAGAGAATTTACCGTAGTACCGAGGGGCGATCTCGCGCCAAAGAATATCGCTACTCTTTGGCACAGCGCTACCTGCAAGCATCTCTCACTAGCTACATTTTTCAGTGCCAGCATATCTCAATATGTATGAACCTGCTCCTCCTCGTCCCAAAAAGACCAACATATATCGCTCTCGCACTGGTTGTAAAGTGTGCAGGCAGAGACGGAAAAAGGTATGTGGAGCAATTGATTGCAATCCGGGGTTTCAGTGACACAACTGACTGTTCAGTAGTGTGATGAGCGGAAACCTTGCGGCCTGTGTATGAAGCTCGGGGTATCCTGTGAACAGGTCTTCCCAACTTTCGAGTTTCGCAGCGTCGTAGGTCCGTCAAGGTCCCGTAAGGCTGGGTTGCGGCAAGGCACTTTGCAGCGCCAGCCTGATCGGCCATCAGACGAACGTGTTGCTGTAACATGGACTCCGCCAAAGCATGCGCGATTCTCGTCCCCCAGGATCGAGGCCGGTGTTGACACAACTTTCGGCCCTGACATTTTGTTAAATGAAGACACGACCCCAAAGACGGACTTAAGCCGACCATATGCCCTAGATGTTGATAATGGAAACCGAGAAAATCTTTCTGGCTCCCGCCCTTTGGAGGAATCGTCACACTTGGGGAGCGCCGACGGGATGTCTGTCAGCTTAACCCCACCCTGTCTGCTACAGCAAAGAACAAATGATGTCGTCAGATTTTACATGAGTGCTTGGGAGGTGCATTGTTTGCCGGCTCTAAACTTGTCATTCGACTTCATGGCTATCCGTGGTCATTCGTCACTCATCACGGACGCCATGGCCACCCTTGCAGCCAATCGCTTGAGTCGGAAACTGCCGCAGAGGCGATTGTTCAACTCGTCTGATTCACCATGGTTCTCTTTCCGACCAGATCCGGGTCATGAATGCCTAAGCAGTGAGCTGTATGGCTCTGCACTGCGTAAAATGGTGCGTTGGAGCTCTGAAGAGTTTGACTTGTATCCAATGTTGGCATTCGTCGCGTTGGTTCTCTTCTGCTATGTGGAATCCTCAATGGGTAACTTCAAAGAGTTTTACACACATTCCCAAGGTGTAGAAAACCTGTTGAAGAAATCCGCTAATCTTGTCTTTCCTCACGGTGCTGGCTTGCTTGCGGCCTGGGTGGAAGTCAAGATGCAGAATTGGTGGCGCAGGGCATATTTCGGCGTTCCTGAGTTCTTTCAGGCCTACACCGATCCGTTGCTCGATCCAAAACTGCAGCTCATTCTGGACACCGATAGCGGTCGTACTGCTACTATACTTTGGATTCTTTGCGAATCGCATCGTCTCAACACTGCGGCTCGCATTGCGTGCTGGGCAAGGCAGCCAAATAACGGTCCGACAACGAGAAAAATCGCAAGCTTTACAGATAATACTGCTCCAGCATCAGAGCATACCATTGTTTTCAGTGAGTTTGTGGCCCTGGTGGAGATGTACTCTGAGAAGCTAGATATGTGGCGGGCATCCTTCCCAGACTGGATCGAAGTCACAGGAAATCCGAATTGTCCAAAAGATCTTGACCTACGAAGTCCTGAAAATGAGGCAATATATTTCCCGTCCCATAAGTTGGCCATGAACATGGCTTATTACGTGGCGGCCCGCGTGCTGCACTGCTCCGGGCCACTCCAGAGCTTTGCAAGTGCATCTATCCAGAATATTGACGATATTTATGAGGAAACAGAAGCTTGGATCTTCATCCTGCTGCGCATCGCTGCAGGAATCAGCTGGGAGGAGTGTATTTCCCTCAATGCTTACACCATCGGATTTGCTGGACTGTTACTTTCGTGTGCTCTCTGTTCTCGACGTCTTGAAACTGGGCTTTGGATCCAAGAGTGGTTAGAAAATCGTGTAGAGCCAGGCAGATTTGAAGAGGGAAACTTCCCTGTCTTTCAAATTCTGGATGCAGTGCGACTCATCAATCGCGAACGCAGAAATGGCGTCGATGTAGTTTCACTGTTTCAAACGGTGGATGATGGGGGCGGTAGGGGGAAGTTTGGGTCATATTCGAGCCAGCGAATATGGTCGATGCTTGTCTACGGAAGGTGCAGAAGTACGGGAGAGCTGATCTCATACTATGTCTCGACAAGGGGCTTGGTGGACACTATTGGGGAGATAGAGATGTAGATTCTATATGGTATCGGTGATGAATATCACAGCCACCGGCCTAACTTGGTCAGTAAATTCTATACGAAGTATTCTTCTCAATTGACATACACCACAAGCGGTGTTAATAGCAGAGTTGTCCCCTTCCTTGTCTAGATCATTTGCTACTGCGACCGTCTTCTCCAGCGCCTGTCTTATAGTCCACGTCATACAGCTATACTGAGACATCACATTACTTCATACATGACAGGCTTTACCTTCTTTGCGATGATTGCTTCGAAATAAAGCTTTGCCACAACAGTTGATATCTCTATTACTTCATCTGAGACCGCCTCGACATAGACGTTCCCCTCGTGTGTGCACAAGCCTACTATTATGACTCTCACCTGCTTTCTAAACACTTGGAGCTTCGGACCGAGCTTAGCGTTTGTAGTGTACAGGAACGCAATGTTAGGATAGGTGTCAGACACTAATATCCTCGATTATTTTTGTAATATCTCAAGCCTTGCCATATCTGGTGCACGGAAGCGCAACCCATGTGGACAGGTCGAAAGTGTCAAACAGATACTGGGTCTGAATGTGGAATAAGACGATTCGAACTTTGCCTCTTGCGGTGAACGGGAGCGCCAGCAGGCAATTATCCATTGCGCTATAAGAGCTAATGCATTCAGCTCCTCCCCACTCACGCACAGGTGCTCAGAGATGTACTGTACAAAATTGCATCTGGGGAGTTAACGCAGGAAAAGGCGCCTTACATCGCGAATCATTGCGTCGTTCCTGAGTTGTCTCTTATTTAAGAGTCGCTTCCCCATAGTCGTCCTGAACAAAATCAGTGCCTTATTAAAACCAATTCCCAATTCAATACAATATAGAATAGTCCCAAATGTCTTTCCAAAAAGTCGGAGTATTTACTGACGAGGCGCCCACGCTTCGCCCAGGCGTTTACACCCCAGCCATCGTCGCCAATGGCTTCGTATTCACATCAGGTGTATTGGGTGCCGATCCTATTATAAAGAAAATTGTTCAAGGCACGGTTATTGATCGATTTGTATGTCATCTTTCTTGTCCAATTCTTAACTAAATCTCATTGTGTTTCGTAGCACCAGATTATGAAGAATCTTGAGGCTATTCTTCAGCAGGCCAATTCCGGCCTAGAGGGCGTAGTGGAGGTTACGGTATTTTTGACCAATATCCTCGACGCGGATGAGTTGTCTGTCCCCTACAAAACATACTGGGGAGACCTCAAGCCTGCACGCACGTGAGTTTAAAATGGCCTCTAATGTTACGCATTCTAAAACAATTGCTTTTTAAGCTGTGTTGCCGTGAAGGAACTGCCCTATGGCTCGGATATTGAGATCAAGTGCGTTGCAGTAGTTAAGGGTAGCTGACTGCTTTCTGGTTGCGCCGTGGATATTAGTGGTTCACCTCGATAGGATTCATAAGTAATATTTGTAGCAAAACGATTGCAGATGGTTTATATAAAAAATTTATTTCATTGTTTCTATGCAAATAATGTGAATGCTATATGGCAATTGGCATTTTCCACCCGTTTGCCCTTTCCCAGACATCTACAACTCGCTGCCCGTTCTCCGATGAATCGACTACATAATACCAACCATACAAGGCTCCGGTAATACAAGCATGATTTGGATAAATGCGAACAGTCTGGCCTACTTGCAGCGGTATTGGATGTTGAGAATTTCCATCGTCATGTCCCTTGATAAGTCCCCATGACGCAATGCAGTGTTCCTGACTCACTCGCTTCACGATCAGTCGGTGATCGAGATTAGGCGTATCAGGAGAATAAGCGTCGCGATCAATAATTCCCCATCCCTCATATGCCGCACAAGGCTCACGTCCCAATCCCAACACTCCGACTGCAAGTAAAGCTTCAGGTTGCTGCCGCTCGCCATCGTTATAAACGCTGCAGACTTCTGCCATGACAGAGACGGCTATCTCATCCTCGTAGTCTCCTAAGTGAGCTCGGGAATGCGTAGACAACTGTTGAACATCGAGCACAGAGTATACACCAGCGTGAAGTTCAAGTTTGGTGCGAAATCCACAGTGCCTTTCGGTCACGACCTTGTGCAAAGTCTGTCGCAAATTCTCGGCGTCCTCTGATAATACTCCCTCAGCCACAACCAAGTTCTCTATTGAAGTTACCTGCGGCGAGGCTCCGACACTGATGGTTATTTCTTTGTCACTCGAGAACAGGCGCGCGTTTTTTTCGAGCGCATCAAGACACCCGGTGAGTTCGCCTCCGAGATTGGCCATTGCTTGCTTGGCGGTGGAGTCATTATAGCTGAGACTACTGTGCGAGTAAAGCCCAATGAAGTTTATTTTGCCTTCATTGTCAAGGTTTATCAGCCTTGAAACCAAGTCGTCCTTGTTGAGACCTGATGGGGGTAGGCCTGCCCGGTGGTAGCCGGTGTCGACCTTCAAGTACACTCCAGCTGGAAAACAGGCTTGCTCTGCAAAGCGAACCACATGACTGAGCTGGGATGCGTGATCAATCATGACAGAAATGGTGCCTTGACCCAGCCGCCGGCCGATAGCTGCCAGGCGGTCAACCTGGGAGGGTGGCAAGGGGATACCGTAAAGGACATTGACCTGGCGGCCACTTTCCATGAATTCGTGTAGCAATGGTTGTAGATACTCAATTTCAGCAACGGTTGATGCTACGAGTCGAACGTCTTTTTTCCCTTCCCCAGCTTGCAGGCGAACTCCTTCCAGAGTCTATCGTTCCAATGTCAGCTCTATGAGTTTGGAATATTGGGGAAAGAGCAACTGTATCTACCTTGTGTGTCTTGATATGTGCCCGAAAGTCTACACCTAAATACTCTACGGCATCTAGTAGAGATTTGCAGTGCCGATGCATTTTGGCCTTGTCTAGTACCAAAGCCGGCTTCGGCAGTTGTGTGATATGTTTTCCGACATAGTGTTGTCGGAAATCACCCGCTGTCTGTAAAATTTGGCTTGTCGTTTCCATCTTGAAGAAGTGCGATGAATTGGCTTTTGAACGAATAACTGACTGCACTTGGAGTTGTTCACGGGAGAGCCTTCGATTTGTCAGTTCACTGCTGTGCACGCACTTCTTATAGCCTGGACTTGCAGTCTCTTCTACGCTCAGGGCCGTTTACTAGCTGAGTCCAAATTGATAACGTCAACCAAAAAAGGTGCGCGGGTGCGACATCAGGGACTAGGTATCCAGGATACTACGGCTATTCCGGATGAGGTGTGCGGCTGCGACTTGGACAAGAATTTAGCATCAGTGGGGTACGTGCTACCATCTGTCCAAAGAGAAAACGGGACATAAGCCACAGAAGCAACGCCTTGAGCTTCGAAACCCGTATTCTTCATCAAGAGCACAAGTCGTATATATAGGGTGAGTCTTGCTCATATGAGCCCATAGAGCCGACGGCCTCCCACGTTAACCAGTATCTTATCCAAATTCATCATACGCCACAAATTGTCCATCATCATCATGACGCCTTCATCGCCGAGCTGGAGACCAAAAGTGATTATATTCGACCTCCTTACCGCCCTGCTAGATTCTTGGAGTCTGTGGGATGCGTCCACGCCGTCCGCAACCGCAGCAGAGGGACGAGTTTGGCGTGCACGCTATTTGGAACTGACATTCAGCACCGGCGCTTACATCCCGTATGAGCAGCTCGTTCATCAAGCTGCAGAAGACGTTGGCTTGCCTGAATCAGCTCCAAGAACATTGTTGGAAAACTGGGACAAACTGCAGCCATGGCCCGAAGATGCCCAAGTGTTGGAGCAGTTGAGACTGCGAGGTTATAAGCTCGGCGTAGTTACCAATTGTTCGAAACGTCTGGGAACTATTGCCGCGAATATAGTTGGAAAATTCGACTCTATTATCACCGCAGAAGAGAGCGGCTTTTACAAGCCTACCGAACAAGCTTACCAGGCCATCTTGACGACGATGGGTGTTGAGTCTCAAGACGCATTGTTTGTTGCAGGCAGCGCAGGAGATGTTGAGGGCGCAACAAATGCTGGCATGAAAGTGGTTTGGCATAACAAGGCTGGGCTATCGAGAAAGGGCGAATCGGTTCCGCTCAAGGAGGCTACTCGTCTGGATGATGCTTTGTCCAGCTTCATGTAATGCTAATTGCTCTTTGATACGTAACACATTCTAGGCGAGTTTTGGTGCTCGGCTTGTCTTGATTTGCATGCAGATGTGATATAACGCCGCACAGATGGCGATACTACGGCTATTTTCGATGTCCTCTGAGCTATTGAGAGCAGCCCTTGCCAGTTAGGTTTGTGTCTCAGTCCAGCTTTGTATTTCTAAGCGTCTTGATGCCGAAGTGTTGAACTTCTTAGAAAAGACTTTAGCGCGTGTTAAAAAGGAGTTAGCCTGTCGACAACGAATTCCAATAGGCTGAGACAGCGGTGTAATAAGACGAGAACCAGCATTTGAATGCTAGTAGAGGTTGAAAGTTGCTTGTAATCTGTCCGTCATAGATCCGTGCTCTTGGCAAGGGCTCTCACTAGTTTGTTTAGTTATTATTGTGAGTCATTTCTTCTCTACAAGGGTTTCGTAAGCATTTCTTATTTCGTTGTCAAGCTCGACAAGAGAGATAGTACCAAGAGGGGGGAAGCATGAACTTTAGGAGTTGGAAAGTTATGATATATACTGTCAAGCGCTGATCAGAAAGGCATCATCTCCATATGGTATATACATGCCTTGAAAAAAACTGACATAACAATTGATACTTCCGAGTTATTTCAGATGAATCTATCGAGTGTTTATGAGAAAGATAGACAGTGGAAGAACTATCTACCTGCTTTGAGCAGTGTTGAGACTGGTGCTTTTCAATTTGCACTTCGGTTTTAAGCACGTAGTCTTAAATCCTAAGACCATAAGATCCTCAGCTTTTTCCCGCCTTTTCGAACCCCGTAGCTGAAGGATTAGGATTGTGGTATGCTTGTGTCCAACGCGATGATCCGACGTTCTGAAACGGCCGCGTCAGGCCGGGGTTGCCGAACCAAAGAGTGCTGCCTTGGCCACAAATGCCTAATTACCGCTGACCAATGGGGTACAAAGGCCAGAATGGTCCGATACCAGCGAGATCAACTAGGGCCTTGTGGAGTGTTGGTTTCAAAGCCAGTTGTCACTGCATCTGACCCTTTTCTTCATAGGGCTAATGCCACTAAACTTGCTCAGGTAAGGCTGTTGGTCAGTGACACGGGAAGTGGGAAGTGCGTGGACCCAAGAATCCTCTTCGGCGGTGGAAGTGCGCATGATAGAGTAGCAGACCCCGAATGGCCAATAAATATTTGTCAATACTTACCATTATGTTTTAATTTTAATTTCCACATCTCCCACTCGTCAATCCAAGTTCTAACATACCCAGCCCTACATGTCCTCAACAACAACTATCGATGTCAGACGCCATGAGCATTACTCCAATATCTGGTTCAGAACCTTCAGATTTCCAGACACACGATTTTAATTGGCTGGAGGGCCAGTACTCAGAAATAGATTTCATTCCGTTTACCGACACAGCTCTTAAATCGACTTCTGCTCTGGGTTGTGGAGGAGAAAGCTGGTTACTGGGCTTGAGTTCTACAAGCTTGAACGTAAGCGGATCAAGTTCAATGTGTCACGGCCTGACACGTTGTATTATATAATGAACCTCACACTAATATATTCAAACCTAGGATATATCTAATGTTGCACCGCCAGAAACAAGTCGCTCCCCAGCACCGGAAGAAGTAACAAGGGAATCATCTCATTCGGACGGCGTTGTTGACACCAAAAGAGCTCCAAGGAACGCACCACGCAAACGCCCCGGCCGTTACAAAAATGCACCTGCACATGTTTTAAACGTATGTGGCATCTCAATAGATATATTTGTTTTCTCTTGAACTGAAACTAAATATATGCCACATATAGCGTCGACGAGAACAGTGTAGAGTAGCCCAGCAGAGGCATCGTCAGCGAAAAGACAATCGTATAGCTCAGCTTGAAAAGGAGCTGAAAACTTTGAAAGAGGAACACCAAACTGTGTTAAATGCATATATGCTACTAGATAAGGCATACAAAACCTTTGCAACGGAAGTTTCATCAAAGTTTCCAGAGGGGGTTAGGCATGTGAGAGGGTTTTACCAGGAGAAGATTTAAGAAACTGAAGAAATGGCGTCAGTTTTAATTCAGGAAGAACTGTCCTATACACACAACAGGTTATCAGATCCGCTGATAAGATTATACCCTAGCCTTTAGGTACTGTTGCCTAAACGTTCATCAGATTAATAAAGTAGTTTATTTCTGTGTACAAATATATATTCGTCACGATTTCCAGCTGTGGTCACTGCTAACTGACATATGTAGATATTAATCACAGCTTTAAAACATAAGATGAAAGAGAGTTTGAAACAGAAAAGTGGTATACATATTCTAGGCCTTTCTTCGGCTCCATTCCGATAGGTGATACCAACGGCCAGACGTATAGACTCGAACACTTTACATAGATCGTAACACGTTGTGATGCGGCTGACTCCGAATAGACTCCACAGGCGTAAAGTCTTTCGTTCTATGTGAGTTCTCTTCAGTTGTCGCCCACATGTAACAACCATCGGAAGTACAAAAGCTTCTGTATAAATTGTAAGTACAAAAGTATGTATATCGTTGAAAAGAAATGATAAGTAAAATAAACCGTGTCCAATATGGGTACAATACAGTTCACCATAATATCTAGAGGTGCCAAATTTCTCCCTGAAAAGCTGAATGGAACCAGTAGCTTCAGCGTGGCACTAAATAGATGCATTGCGATAATTCGAGGTGGCTCCATCGATGCTACAGACAAGAAGTCCGGTTGGGCGTAATGGTTATTACTACAATTGGGGTCTATATCGCTTGGGCTGAGCTGTACATGCTTAGGAGAAATGGAAGGACTGCTAGGTGTGGCTAGAGTAAGAGATACCTCGGAACATCGTCTGGCCCGGAACTACTCGCTCATATTCTGTTTTTGGTCGAGCTGTAATGGCAAAGAAAAGGTGCTGGCGGACTTCAAGTTTAAAGGAATGGTAGAATGCTAGAGAGAGCGTACAAAGTTGACTGGTGTGAGTGAGTGGTGATCAGAGGATTACGATTTCGTTGAAAACTGATTGCTCGGGCTCTTAAAGATTAGTATAAGATGACTTTCCAAGAAACAAACCTATTGCTGAGGGCTATATCGACACGCGATTTGGTTAATATGGGGCAGCAATATTACTCAGCTCGTAATAATAATAAGAAGACCTCTAGTGAACAATTGAACGATATTGCGAATGCTCTATAAATGACCGGGTTAAGCAGTCCGAATAAAGGTAAGGTAAGGTAAACTTATTTTGCCGGTAGCTACGAAACACCCCATTGAACTACCTCGACTGACACCAAACACAACATTAGAAACCTAGCTTGACCAACTTCTATAAGGACCATGGTTTAAGAACACGCCAAGCAAACATGTGATCTATCTGGGACGGGCGCGTTTCTCTCTGGATCACAACCGCCATCTTAGCTACATTGGGTCGTGGTAGCTTGCTATGGTTCTGCCTAGCCCGCAGGTGACACTCCCGGTCGTCTTTTATTCAGTAAGCCATATGAGCGATCAACATAGCTACTTATTGCTAATGGAAGAAAACAAATCCCTCCAGCAAATATATACCAAATTAGGTCTCTAGGATATTTGGGAAAGCTGTCTCTCTTCGCTTTCCGTGTTTGAGGATGGTGAAGGGCAATCGGTCTTAAATTTATCCCCGAGGATTTACCCTGGATGCTGTCGGTGCAAATGTTTGGCAAATTAGGTAGTTATAAAAGATCTGTGTGGAAATCGCTTTGCGATAAAACAGAATACAAGCCAAATTATATACATGTTAATGTAAATTACTAAATAATACATCTTGAAGCCATTATAAAAGAGATTCATTATAAATATTACAACTATGTACACTTTGTAATAACACATTAAAATTTCTCCTCAACGAAAAATGACAAAAGTTATGCGAACATGCATAAGCACCATTTTTATTATTTCCTTATTTGCTTATTTATCTTCTTTATTCATATCTCCCCCTCCATCTTTTCTTTGTATTGCTCTTTCTTACCCTTTTCTCCCACCCCTCTCACATAGCAGTGCAAAATGGCCAAAACACAAATAAACCAATTTTGGATATGGATCCTCTCATCTGCTGCAATCATTGGAGTCCTGCTTATAGCCTTTCCTGCGCTGCATTCTCTCTCAGCAGCTTCTCCTCCAAGCCCATCAAAATCCACAAATAACGACGGAACAAAAGAAGCACACAATACTATCTACAATCCTGGCGACAGTGTTTTACAAGGGGCCAGATCATCCAACGAAAGGCCAAATTTTCTCTTTGAGTTCCTCGAGCGCCATGATATCGAGTCGCTGGATAGCGCGGCTGACGAAGCGTGGGATCAATCAATGAGCACTCCTCTCGGTGGCTTTCTCTTGGTTAAGCACAATGAGACGTATAACTTGGGCTGGGGTGTCAGCATGTTTCACAGTGTCCACTGCTTGAGAATGCTGCGCGCTACGATGCAGAATTACTTTGGCCTTGCTGCAGAAAACACTGGCCATGGGACACATACGCATGGCGGACGCGATGGTGCGACCCTGAACGTAGATGAGAGAACGCATGTTGAGCATTGCTTGGGCTATATTGGTCGAGTGCGTTACCGTTTCCTCCTCTTCTATACGGAATTCAGATTCATATTAACGTCGCTTCTCACCGCATTTAGGCTTTGCTATGCAATGGAGATGACACTCTGGAGCCACCATTTACGAAAAAAGACGCAGATGGTAATATCCTCCTAAGCGCGGTCAATGGACAGGGCCATCAGCATTCTTGCCGTGACTCAACGCTGGCTTGGCAAACTGTGTTTGCATCCGAGGAGGATCCCGTAGAACCTTTCGAATGGTCTGCCGGAGATACAGTTCGTAGTGTATTCGGGAAAAAATAGTCCTTGGAATGTATGAGTAGTCACAGATAGCAAGAAGAAGCACAGAGAGTCACCAGGAAATGCAGTGAATCTGAAGAAGTCATAGTTTTTTACATATTCTTTTTCTTAAAAATAATAATAATTGGGAATTAATTCTCTGCCCCGCCTAGATGTATACTATTCATCTCCTCCGAATCGCGCATTCAATTAGTGAAAATGGTCGACTCTGTAGTCGCCTGGTCTGGGAAGCAGGGTGGCGTTGGAGTCTAGAGTGACCATATGCTGCATCATCCAATCGTGCAAGGTCTCGAAATTACGGCATGTGTGCGTCCGACTGAACTCGGGATCCGTCTGACCATCGTCTCCGACCCAGTAGAACGGAACAAGTCCAACATCAGCCGTACACATGATCCGTTGGCGCAAATTGTCTATGCAATGGTCTGCGAATAACAATAACAAATTAGCACACAACTCTTGGTCTTGACTCAGAACCATGTTCTTCGTAGATGAATGGTGCCCACGTACCAACGTGGACGGATAACGTGCGATCTGGATGCTGAAACTCGTCTGCGCCGAGCTTTCGATAGTAATCATGGTTATACCATGTCGCCTTTCGAAGTAGATTCTACACAGAGAAGAGTTAGATCAAAATGTTTTGGGAGAGAGATAAGCGCGTCATACCAAGCAATGTAGTTGATGAAATACTTCAACATCGGCAGGAATCCCCGTCAGATTGGCTTGATCTGGACCGCCAGCGAGATGAATGTGATCAGATGTTAGATCCGATTCACTGGCTTGATCTTCGGGAATGAGAAGGAATCCAACTGCTCAACTATTAGTCTGATGATGGTATAACAAATGATTGGCATAGGGAAGTAGGAGATAGTAGAATATGTATCATACAATTGGCGCCTGCGAAGTTCCACGCAGCATCAGTCTCCGGCGATGGAGGCTTACGATAACGGCTGCCCTGGCTATAGAATGTTGAGTCAAACTTGACATGTATTGTCTCGAGGTTCAGATCTCGAAGCATCGGCGCGAGGCTTGGAGGTTCCGCCACTGACGCCGGAGCATGACATTGTGGTCTAGTGGAAGCGGTGATCCAGAAGGTAAGAAGGTTGGTTGCACATAGCAGCACTGGGAATCCGATGACAACACTGTACCATCTACAATTGGAGCTACGTGATCTCCTGGGTGCTGGTGAGAAGTTTGTGCTTGCGTCTGTGTCTGTGTCTGTGCTGCTTTCTTCCAGAAGACCCTGTCCCTGTTCAACTTCATCAATATCTGAGATGGTCTTGCCATTGATCTCTTGTTTCCTGAATTTATTCATGTTGTTTTTCTTTCTTTCCTTCTTTCCTTCTTTCTTTCTTTTGCCTCTGCTTTTCCCTAATTCTGCGGTTGTCTTTGGCGGGGTATGGACCAAGAGTGATACGTGGGTTGAGGGAGCGGGATGGATGACGGTCAACCTCCGTCGTCCAGAGAAATGCCCATTCGCATGCGCACAAGTAGAAGAGGGTCCAACATCGTGTGATATTAGCGGGCTTTGTGTATTCAGGTTGCCAGGTTATAGATACGAAGTAACCGTGGTTTGAGCTGCATTAGTATGCAGTAGCTAGCTTACTCTTAAGTCCAATGCAGTAGTGCGTCTTACTTGAATGCATTGCAATATATCCATGCGTCTTTCCCCCACTTACTCGTACGAACTACTTATTCTAGTGAGTGATAAGCGACCCGTCGCTGCTGTATGAGGGATCATCTGGCGGGTGCGCGGCTATATCCACCTCAACCCGCAGATTACTCGTACAATGAGGACATCTACGGAGTAGGCAATGCAGGATTTTTTGCCTCCCGTCCATGGTTCTCCGCGGCCAGCGGCCACCCTTCTGCAAGAGTCGGGCAAAAATTAAGTAATTATCGGAGAGGGGTATTGATAGTGCCGGATTTATCTCCTTTAAGGCAATGTCAATCTTTGAGGGAGGCAATTGTTTCTTGGTCCGCACCTCATTATCGCATTAGAGAGCAGAGACGATTGGGATCAAAATTTTTTTCTTTCTTTCTGGCCGTTCCAAATCCTTCTTGTATCGTAGTCTTAAGTTTTTAGCTCGCCCAAATCGTATTTCTACAACGATAAAAGCCAAGCTCCACCTCATTGATGGCGTCATCTCCTTCTCTCCCCACTGTAAGCTGGTCTGCGCAGTGGCTGGAGTGATGAATACTAATCGTCTTGTTGTCGATGTATTGCTCATGGTTGTTAATAGCGAACATGATTTTCCGCCACTGGAATAAGCAGTGTTCCCCATGATAGATGTGTGTGTAGACCTTGATATTGCTTCCACGCCAAAGTGCCTCCGATTCGACTTCATTCTAAGTAACAAGTCAGAAACCTTTTGTAAGGATTGTTGATGTTGCCGGACTGAGGGAGGTGGACCATACTATCATATCCTTTTCGAGATACCATTTTCTGTCTTCAAACACCGGATAGCGGTCCGAAAGCTCTTTGTACACGCACTGTTTGGGCATCCAGCCGTAGAATAATGGCTCCATGACACATCCGCGTTGCATGGCCTCTTCACTTGACCGTCCACAATGATTCCACTCCTCGTCCAGCGCATCTCGATGGCCACGAGTAATCCAAAGCCAGGCGCCTATATTCGCAACACCAGCAAGAATAAATTGAACTACCATCAGGATGCTGAATTTGCTAGGGCGCTCCATGCACGACGGTCGTTTCGTACGCCGTATATGCGATGGAACTCCAACTTCTTCATACTCGATGTAGTCTCGAACTTGGTCTTTCTGCTCCATCTTAGAGAGAGAGAAATCTTCCTTTTCGTCGATGGAGCTTCGCGGGCGAGTGAAACTGAATGAAATTAGAAACAGAGAGGAAAGGACTGATCTGCCCAGGAAATGAAACGAGTTTGCGTTTGCACGAAGAATCCACGGAGAACAATGTCCGATGCAGAACGCATGTAACCGTCGCCCAGGTAAGGTGGTAGTTCTCCAGTGTGGGGTATAAGATAAAGAAACGAGCTGGGGCAAAAAAGCCAACTTAGATCCAGAGTAGTAGCCGGGGTCGCTAGACAAAATATCCCGGTAACATTGGAAAGAGAGTGCGTGATATAGCTCTGCGTTGTCACATAAGCATTCTACACCTTCTGCATCAAGTTAGATGGGAAATGTGTCTCAGATCTAATATCACACCGTAAAACATAAAGAAATGTTACTCAAAAAAATGATTATAATTGTAATAAACCCAGGGCTGTATAAGATTGATAAGGGGTGTTGTACACCGTAGCCGTAACTTTTCGTTAACTTCATAATAGCAATTGGTTAGCATATTTACGATTCAATGCTAAATCTCTGAATATAGCAAAGTTCCCTGTGATTTCTAGTTCAGTAAGTTTACAGCTGCAAGTCGAGCAATAGAGAAGCCTCCACCCTTACCGTGCTTTTGTTAGGGTGAGATATTCCATGTACTCGTATATGCCCCTCTGTTAAATAAACCGGTGACACTTTCGGTCTAGCCTCCATATGCATTATACTGACAAATTCAGTATTGATATGTAAGAGTATGACGGCATGTTTTCGACTAATACAGTCGTCCGATTGTACCAGCTTATACACCTGCCGTATTTGGAGAAATGGCTCTTCTTTGCATCTGGAGATTCTCCAATAATTAGAATCCTTCGCCAAGATCGGCCAAGGCACGACCTTTTGAACAATCCAGTCTGTGGATACCGAATCTTTGCTTGCTTTGAATCACAATGATGATTGAGGGGGTTCAGTGGCTGTATCCGGCAAATGTTTTTCTCACTGGTAGAATCTGAGAGGGGCTCTGAGGGGTAGGGAACAATTTGGCAAGCCTTTAAAGCTCCCTACACCAAGTATTTTGGTATCAAGTTTTCTTCCTTCTGCTCTTCTTTTGTACCAAACCGATCTTTTACCTAGCTTTACGCTGTTGTACAAAGTCTCCACTAGCTTTTGACACAATGAAGGCTACTCTTCTCACATTTACTCTTTGCACGGTGGCTCTTGCAGCACCGGTTGCACAAGAGGGTATGGATCGCCTCACACCTTCATCTATAAGTTGAAACGTACAAACTTTCATTGACTAACAACTGCACCTTACTATAGCCAAACGTGACAAGCTTCAGAACCTGTTTTACGTTCCTGCCGGCGCTGAGGGAGAGTCACCAGAGAAGCGTGACAAGCTCCAGAATCTCTTCTACGTCCCAGCTGGTGCTGAAGGCAAGACACCAGAAAAGCGTGACAAGCTTCAGAACTTGTTTTACGTTCCTGCTGGTGCCGAGGGAGAGACTCCAGAGAAGCGTGACAAATTGCAAAACCTGTTTTACGTTCCTGCCGGCGCTGAGGGAGAGTCACCAGAGAAGCGTGATAAGCTCCAAAACTTGTTCTACGTTCCCGCCGGCGCTGAGGGAGAGACACCCGAGAAGCGTGACAAGCTCCAGAACTTGTTTTATGTTCCTGCTGGTGCTGAAGGAGAATCACCCGAGAAGCGTGATAAGCTTCAAAATTTGTTCTACGTTCCCGCCGGCGCTGAAGGCGAGACTCCAGAGCAAAAGTAAAAGAATCTCGTTGGTGAAAAACAATTATATGTCGAGCAGTGTGCTGCCTTTATCGCGTCATAGCTAGTTATATAATTGTAACTCTTGCTCAAACTACCTAGATGCATTGTGATATTGGTTCAATATGAAAGAGTGTTGGTAGCCAAAGGTAGTCGATCGCCTTCGCCCACCGGGCATTAGGCAGTTTCTCTAGAAATCTAGGATTTCCATACCTTGTAGCGGCAATGAAGAAAGCGAAGAAAAGCGGGAGATGCTATCCAAAAAGAAATCTTCCCTCAGGAGCCCATACTACAATGTTAACAATATCGGTGTCTTGTGTAGCCCAAATTACGATGCCTCTGGAGTAAGTTGGTCATTACCAGTGGCAATGTATTAGTTATCATTGCATTCGTAGTTGAAGAAATATATACAGGTATTTTTATCTAGGGTAGCACTTATTTTTGGGGGGGGAGGGGGAGGGGGAGGGGGTACAGTATATTGGCCAACAGGTGATCTGAAGAAGTGAAGGCTTCCCTATTATAGGCTAGTACCAGACATGTCACGTTGGGAATCCTCGATCTGATTCCGGAAGTTATATATATATATCATATCACATAAAGTAAGCAGAGATAGATGTATCATTAAACATTCCTTTATCAAATGCATGATATTTGATGACCATCTTGGTTTATACTGATGTATTTGTAACCATAGAAAGGGTTACAGTAAAAATCTTTGTTTTCCCAACAGTTTGTTATACTATATATCCAACTTCTTCTCCAAAATGAATCGTGCTCTTAACGTCAACACTTCGAATATAAAAATGAGGATTTTGGATGGTTGGCACATTGTTTGTTTCTTGAATCATTAATACAGGATGCGCATCCGGGAGCCATTCAGAGCCGTGACTGAACTAATTGGGTCTTGTTATTTCGAAGGATCGATGCTTAGAAATCAAAACAGGACGGCATGCGAAGTATATGTATTTTATTCTAGTTAGTTAGGCCGCGTCGTGCTAAGCACGACATAGTCCGCCACAAGTCACGATCTTTCTCCGCAACTCCGCTGTGTTCGTTGTTGGTTGACTGACTGGCTGCTTTGGACCATATAACGTACTAAGATACCCACGCTTTCTTGTTGCGCCAATTCGTCTTCGACAACTTTAAACGTGACAAGACTTATTGAAGTCGTCAATTTCCTCTCTAGAATGACGATGTTTGTTAGAAATGACGAACTATTTCAGCAGAATAATGAGCAGTTCGACTTTAATATAAAGTTTGAACAAGTATTTCTTTCTATTTTACCATCCGTTCTGTTTATAATAGCTGCATCATGGAGGACAGTCGCTCAGGCTAGAAAACCTGTGTTAGTAAAAGCACCTTTTTTCCAGACCATCAAAGTGGTATGTTCATCCGTTATATGATTGAATGTATAAACTCAAGTTACTGATTCTGTTGCCCTAGGCGGCTATAACCGCTTATACCGTGCTTCAACTCGCACTTCTTATTCTTGCAGCAGCATTCGGCTTATTCCATACAGCAAGCATCTTCATAACTGCGTTAGTTCTCAAGCTGCTATCAAGTATTTCCATGATCCCTCTTACGGCTGTAGAACACAATAGATCCTCCCGACCATCAGTGTTATTAACAAGTTACTTGCTCTTGTCTCTGCTCTTCGATGTGACGCAGGCAAGAACGCTCTATCTATCCTCAGCTACATCTGCGGAGCTCTCCTATAGCAATCTCTTCACCGCCGCCGTTGTTCTGAAGGCAGCAATACTGGTCTTAGAATCCAGGAAAAAGTCTAGATGGATGAACTGGAATGAGAAAGAGCACAGTCCAGAGGAAGCCAGTGGCATCTTGTCGCTAGGTGTCTTCTTCTGGTTGAATAAGCTATTCCTAGACGGCTATAGGAAAGTTATGTTGCTTGACGACCTCTACTCCCTTGATAAGTCCTTAGACCCCGAAATAATCCATGAGAAGTTCTCTCGTAATATGGATTATTCTAAAATGAAGGGTGACAAGTTCGGCCTTACTAAAGTTCTCATGCGCACACTCATAGGACCCCTTCTTCTTCCCACAATTCCACGCCTAGGCCTACTTGGATTTACACTGGCTCAACCTCTTTTCATTGAGCGGCTGCTGGATTATCTGGCCCAGGACACACTCGACCCAAATACCGGTTACGGGTTCATTGGAGCTAGCTTCTTCATCTATGCAGGAATTGCCCTTTGCTGGGCCTTTCATCGGTATGCCTATTCATACAAATCATCAGTAGCATAACAAAACGCTAATGGACAAGTATAGATATTATCATCATAGAATGAGAACTATGTTGCGATCAATACTAGTCACGGATACTTTCATCGCAGCCACAAAAGCCCGTATTGGGACGAGCGACGACAATGCTGCGTTGACTCTCATGAGCACTGATATTGAACGAATAAGAATGGGTTTCAGACAACTGCATGATATTTGGGCAAGTGTGCTCCAGGTTGCATTGTCTTCGTGGATGCTATACAGTCGGGTTGGCGTGGTCTTCGTCGCTCCTATTGGAGTGGTAATCTTCTGTTTCATCTGCCTGGTGATTGTCATGAGCTTCATCGGAAACGCACAGAGAGACTGGATGATATTGGTCCAAAAACGAGTCGGCCTGACTGCTACAGTAATTGCTAGCATGAAGAACCTGAAAATATCCGGCCTTTCCTCCCCGGTTCGTCAATTTGTGCAAAAGCTTCGGGTTGAGGAACTAATAGCCGGAGTCCGATTCCGCAAGATATTCATCGCAGCAGCTCTTTTCGGGTTCATTCCACTGCTTTTGAGTCCAGCTCTGACCTTTGCGTTGACTCAAAGTCGACTGGATGCCTCACGGGTATTCACGAGCCTTTCATTTCTTACGCTTCTGACTATGCCTTTGTCTCAAGTGTTCCAATCAATCCCCGAAGTGATCTCCGCTCTGGCCTGTATAGGTCGAATTCAGGCGTTTTTGGAGGGTGAAACGCGTGATGATTTCCGCCAGGTTTTGGCCGATATAAAGCGGCATTCTGGAAAAGCTCCAATAGAGGGTATACTTCCTTTTGAGTCAAAAGTGCTCATAACAGATGGAAGTTTCGGTTGGAAAGCAGACAAACCAGTCTTACGAGATGTGAACATCCGGATACCAAAGCGCTCGCTCACTGTTGTCGTCGGACCTGTTGGGTCAGGAAAATCTACCCTCTGCAAAGCGCTGCTAGGGGAGATTCCATTCCACGAAGGCCGAATTATTTTGGATGCACGTATTCCACATGTTGGATTTTGTGACCAAACAGCGTTTTTATCCAACGGATCAATCAAGGATAATATTATCGGGTTTTCTTTAGTCGACGAACTAAGGTACGCCGAAGTCATCGATGCTACAGCCCTAGCTTTCGACTTTGCCACTTTCACAGAAGGAGATAGAACAAATGTTGGATCTGATGGCATCTCCTTGTCCGGAGGCCAGAAGCAACGCGTTGCTCTCGCGCGAGCTTTGTATCTACAGACAGACTTTCTCGTTCTTGACGACATCTTCAGTGGTTTAGATGTTGATACGGAGCAGCAAGTGTTCCGTAAAGTTTTCGGCACGGAAGGGCTTCTCACGCGACGACGCTCTACTGTTGTTCTATGCACTCATAGTGTTCGACACTTGCCTGCGGCAGACTACGTGATCGTGCTTGAAGGTGGCATCGTTAGCGAACAAGGCACCTTTAACAAGCTTATGGCAAATCAGGGCTATCTCCAGCGTCTCGGCTTGAAGAAGTCTTCAGAGAATAATGCTCGGCCAGAACGGTCCGTCGCCAAAGAGAATATTCAAGAGTTAACTTTCGAAGAAATTAGGACGACGCTACCTATTGTGAACACCACACCCAACGCGGACGCGTCTCGGCAGGTTGGGGATAGAACAGTATACAAGCATTATATGATGAACATGGGATGGTCCGTGGCGGTATCTGCCTTGTTCTTTGCCACGCTATGGGGCTTCTTATTAAACTTTTCTACGATCTGTAAGTCAAGATGGAATGAAAATAAATGCCGAGAGCCTATTGGTTCGAACTAACGATGCCATGTAGGGCTCACGTACTGGGTCGACGATATAGATGCGGAAAATCCGGCGCACTCCCATGCTTTCTGGGCTGGCATATATGCTTTGCTTCAAATCGGCGCTTTGATATCATTATTTCTCCTCGGCGCCTCAATCTGGGTTGTCTCAATCAAACGTGCAGGTGCCAATCTTCACCAAGATATCTTACGCACACTGTTCCGAGCAACATTGCGCTTCTTCACTGAAACTGATACTGGCGTCACCACAAACTTGTTCTCGCAAGATTTGAACCTTATCGACACAGAATTGCCAGATGCAACGGTCAGCACTCTGTTTTCGGTATGTATACAGTGATATATGGTCCTGGAGAGACACGAGTGCACGAGTTAATAAAGATAATAGATCACTCAAGTTATCGGGCAAATGGCTATCATGCTCACGTCGTCTCTGTACCTTGCAATCAGCTTTCCGTTCCTTATCGCTCTTCTTTATATGGTGCAGAGATTCTATTTGCGTACATCGCGACAGCTACGATTGCTCGACTTGGAAGCTAAGAGTCCTCTGTAGTGAGTTCTGGAAGCCTCACGTGGCGCCATGTTTTGTACTGATCTATATCTAGTACACATTTTCTTGATACTGTCAGAGGTATTGCAACTTTACGGGCATTCGGTAAATACAATAACCCACGCACATTGGTTGCTCAATTATGGCGCTACTGTTAACCACAGCTTTGTAGGCTTTATTCCCAATGATGTTTACAAGAATTTCCGGCTACTTACTTCCAGTCAGAGGCCATCGTATCTACTTCTCATGATCCAGGAGTGGCTGAATCTCGTTCTCAACGTTGTCGTCATGCTACTCGCAATAGCCCTTACAACGCTCGCAGTTCGCCTCCACTCCAATTCTGCTTTCGCTGGTGCTGCTCTGTACAGTCTTTTGAGCTTCGGCGAAAATCTTGCCGGTATTGTCCTTTTCTGGACCAGTCTCGAGACCTCACTTGGGGCGATTGCAAGACTCAAGACGTTTAACGATACTGTGAAGCCGGAAGACAGAGACGGAGAGAGTATCATTCCACCTGAAAACTGGCCACAGCGTGGTGTGGTGGAGCTGAAGGGGGTATCCGCTACCTATTCGTAAGAAACCTGAATAACAATCTTCCCGGCCGACCACTAACCCCCAAGACAGCCCCGAATACCACGAGGGCAGCACAACTCGTCTTGCCCTCCATAACATCCATCTGACGATCAATTCTGGGGAGAAGGTGGCCATCTGCGGTCGTACTGGCAGTGGTAAATCTAGCTTTATTGCCTTGCTTCTCAAGCTGCTCGACCCCACATCAACAACGGCTGGGAATATAGTGATTGATGGCCAGCTGCTCCAACATTTAAACCGATCTGAGCTACGCCAACGTATCATCGCGGTGCCCCAGGAAACTGTCTTCTTGCCCGATGGATCTACCTTTCAGGCTAATCTTGACGTATCCGAAGAAGCAACGCGTGAGGAATGCGAGGCTGTGCTTAGAGCTGTCGGTTTGTGGGAGTTTGTTCAAGAGCGGGGTGGTTTGGACGCAGGCATGAATGCGTCTACCTTTAGCGCTGGACAACGGCAGCTGATGTCGCTTGGACGTGCTCTGGTCAGGCGCTCTATTCGACAACGAAAGTATGCTACCGGTACAGAACATGGTGGCATCTTGTTACTAGATGAAGTCAGCTCCAGCGTGGATCAGGAGACAGAGCGTGTAATGCAGCAGACGATCAAGACTGAGTTCAAAAACTATACAGTTATCGCGGTTGCCCACCGGTTGGATATGGTAATGGATTTTGATAAGGTGGTCGTTATGGATAGAGGGGAAATTGTTGAAATGGGTATTCCGGCGGTATTAGCACAAGAGGCGGGGAGCAAGTTTGGAGATTTGGTGGGAGCAAGGAATCAGTAGATATGTGAATAATCGGACGTCGTCGTTGCGTTGGCATATACGGTACGTAAATTCGAGCGTCTTCACTAAGTACCTACTCAAGAGTTTAGATCTGGGGTTCCATAGAGCTTCTAAGCTCTTTATCCTCACATATTTAATTACATTTACAGTGCTCATTCCTCAGCAAATGTTTGACTACAGTAGCTGTGTACCCTGATGATCTCATTGGGCGTTCATTCAGTCGTAGATAATCTTACCTAGGTAGGTAATTTTACTCGCAACCTACCTACGCTTCAAGGCAATCCTACCAATCTTTAGCGACATATTTAGTGAGCCAGACACTAAAATATAGCGGCGTGAATTGGAGTTTGCCCTCGGCACACATTTGTGGTTTCATCATGATGATCCTTTTCTACGATGGGATCTTGTAGAAGGAGAATTCTTCACAAACGGCAGAAAGTTTCGACATACACGGGTCAGGAATGTGCAGATTAATATCTGATATTGTGATTATTTCCTATTTCCTATATCAAACTCCCATACCTGATCCATTATTCAATTCTATACTATTCCTTGCTACAAAGCACCGACGCATTTGCAATCTTACTAGCTGTTGCAGTAATTGGCACAGCTGCCATAATATCAAAAACACTAACACGGGCTTCGATCTCCTTGAGAGCCCAGTCAACAATCTCGATAGCGACGAGAGAGTCTAAGCCGTAAGAATGTAGTGCCCGCGAAGTATCGACATCTTCTGCCTCTATCTGAAGCATTTTTGCTATGCGGCTTACAAGCGACGCTGTTATATGCCCACTCGCCTCAACCAAGTTCTCCGATTTGGATATCAACGCTCGAATTGAATCGCTCTTGCGTCTGTTATTTGAGTCGCCGGCAGAATCACTCACTTTTTCAAGATCTGTCGTAGCCATAATAGAGAACTTGGCATCCGAAAGATAGAAAGGAGGAGGAATACCGGCTACTACAGCGCTACCACCAGTAGCAAGGCCAGTTAAGACTTGGGCGGGCAGACGGCCGGCAATTGCCAGTTTGACCAGGTTTCGTAGCTCGCCCTCACGGACACCATACGGCTCTTCCCATTCCTTGAGATTGTCTGTCATGCCGTTTTCTGCCAGAACGCCTATGTCACGCATAAGGCCAACGTCAAGAGTTGTGGCCTTCTTTCCTTCGTCGCGGCGCTGAAGGGCAAGGGCATCTTGGTATGCGCATCCTGCTGCATAGTTACTCTGACCACGATTGCCAAATGTACCGGCAAAAGAACTAAGTGCCACAAAGAAATCGACATCAGGCAATGCATTGTGAAGGTTTTGCGTTCCTTGAACCTTGGGAAGCGTGGATTCCTGCCACTGAATATATGACATGTTGGTAAAGAGGGTATCTCGCAAGACCATCGCACACTGGATTACACCATGTACTGGACCAAGCTCTGCTGAACAGGTGTCCAAGGCGTGCTTGAGTGCCGATATCTCTGATACATCGCACTGCAGACATCTAACCTGCACGCCGAGCTCTTCAAGGTCGCTGATAAGATCGTTGGCTGAGGCTGAAGCTGCCCCTGATCGCGAAAGGAAGCACAATTTTCGCGCACCGTTTTCCGCGAGCATCATGGCCAGGCTGCGACCCAGACCACCGAGACCACCAACGAGGATATAGCATGCATCGCTTCTTAAGTTTAGGTCAATGGGTTGACGTTCACCAGATCCTATCAAAGGTACAGAGTCATTGTCATTCCATGATAATATGATCGTCTTGTCTTGTCCCTCTGTCTGCGCATACTGAACTGCGCTCTCCACTTCAGAGGCCGAAAAAACTTTGAAAGAAGCTATGGGCTTCGTAATTCCTTTGGAGTGGAGTTCGAAAACGGCGGCTATGATCTGAGCCATAAGCTGAGGACTCTTGCGAGCAATGTTGCTGAGGCTAAAAGAACTGAATGTTGTGTCCTGAGGGACAAAATTTGCGTCCAACACCTTGCTATGTGAGCTGTCGAGTAGACCAATCTCTACAAAAGTACCAAAGGCCGCAAGGCATTGCGACGTTTGTCTGTGAGCCGCATTTTTCGGCGAGCCGAGGATGATGTCGATACCACGGCTTTTCGTCATGTGCTTGATAGTGTCCACTGTATGAGAATCCTGCAGATTGAAGATGTGGTCACTCGGAATGTCATATGTGCCACATAGCAATTCTCGTTCTGCCTCTTCCTTGATGGTTGCGTAAATTTCCGCGTTGTAGTTACGTGCAATCTGAATTGCAGCTTGGCCAACATCTTCCGCTGCAGCATGGATCAATATCGATTGTCCGCCCTGAATCCGAGCAATTCGGTCCAAAGCATACCAAGCTGCCGCATGAGCAGCAACCCCACTGATTGCTTCTGAGAATGTGTATCCCGAAGGTAAACGATGACAAAAATCTGCCTTAGTTCTCTGCAAAGTCTGACCTGCGAGGCCAAGACTATACGTGACCACCGAGTCACCAGGCTGAAACTTCGTCACGCTAGATCCAACGCGAACAATCACACCCGCTGCTTCAAATATGAGAGGCTCATCAGTATCGGCAAATAGATGATTAGAGCTGAGTACCCTAGTTAGCGGTTATGTTCGACAGGCTGGGGACAAGGATGGTTATTACCTGATAGTGCTTGCTTTGACATTGATCTCTAACTCGTCGCCCTCGAGATCTGCTGTCGGAACGCTATCGCGTTTAAAGCATACTGTACCAGTGCTAGTCATCGTTAAGCTTAGGGGAGCATCTATGCTAGTCAATGGAACAAGACTGGTTGCATCGGCGCCGACGTGTTGCGCGTCATCAATCTCGGCACTCAGTTCCTCATCTATTTCGACACGGCTGGTATATATCATGTCGTTTTCAACAGTAAACTCGTTGTCAGAAGTTTTCGAGTCCAACAGTTGACAAATCAAATGTGAAAGATGCTTTGGCTGTGAGAGAGTTGCTGATGATACGTGAAGAGTCTGGAGCTGGCTTCCCGGGATTTCGTTGCGTACTACTCGTGTTAAACCATTGATCAGACCTTTCCTGGCATCATCCAATGCATCAATCCATAGGAGACTTTTGCATTGGGTGATGAGCGTTTGCACAACATAAAAGTCCTTCTCTGTCAGTGATTCTAAGACAGCGGATCGGGCTTCAAGAAGAGCAACGCAGTCCTTGTTTTTGAGAGTAGATACGTTGTCGATGCCCCACGTGTGAATGGACGTGCCATAGCCAAGAGCTGACAGTGTTGTCTTCAGTTGCTCCGCCACTGCGGTAACGGATTCATTCGCATTGGCTGGTTGAATTAGCACGATGTCCTTCTCTTTTAGACCAGCACCAGCAACATTCCCGCCACTCCCCAAAGAGCCAACCAGGAATACAGGCTCGCCAGAGGCAGAGTCCCCAAATTGGAAAAAGTTCGTGAAGCCAGCTTCTTGAAGAACAGACTTTGCTGTTGCCAATTGTTCTGGGGCTTCAATTGCGCAAACCCTTCCATCCTCCTTGAGCAGAAGCCTTGCATTATTGGCAATGTTTGACGGCGCCGAAGATATAGCTGAGCAGACGACGAGATCAGCTGTCTTGGCGTTTTCCTGGAATAAATCTTGATCGGCTTGTAGAGTAACCCCTTCGGCCGCAGGAGAAGAATTTCCTAGTCCAGATTTGGTCTTTCCATCGTATCCGAGGGTTGTGTAATTTGCCGTCTGCAGCACATCTTTCAAAATAGTCTTATCCTGAGCAAAGATAGAGCTTTCTTGCGCTAGTTCTACAATGCGCATCGTCGGGGTTGTATGGTGAATGATGTTGATGAACTTTGAGAAGCCACTGTCAGCCAAAACCAAGCGATACATCCGAAAGAAGTTAAAAAGAAAAGAGTCACCAATTCAGAATTCACGAAGGAGGAGAAAATGGCGCCCGAAAGGACACAGAGTAACTTACCTCAGAGAGCTGCTGATAATTGCGCACCTGTGTTGGTGGCTCTGTTGATATAGAGACGATGCGTTGAATATCTTCGTTGGTGATGAAGTTGATAGATGGCCTCCAGACTAACTTGCTACACATCTTTCGGGCCAACACGGCTGTCTTCTGGGCGGCGCTTGTCTGCGCAATCTCAGTGCAGTGTAGCCCGGAGATTTCGAGAACTGACTGTTGCTCCTCTTCATCCACGATCCCGATTGTTGCCTTCAACAGCCTTCTGGACCCGAGCTTACGAGCTTTTGAGTAGCCTTTCAATTTGGTCTGCGCCAAGTATGGTATGTCAGTTGAGATATACATCTCATCCATAGACTTGGGCACCATGGGTACGGCCAGCTTGCTTAGATGATTGCTATTGGCCGCTGCGAAGGCCAGATGGAATATGGCATCCAAGGTTGCGGGGTGGATTACATGTGGCCTTTGTGTATCGTGTAGACCAACACTTGGAATAGTCACAGAACCGCAACTCTGGCCGTCACCTACCGAAACCTCGGTGATGTTGGCGAAATTTAGCCCATAGTTGTATCCCAAGTCGGTAAGCGTCTGGTAGAACTCAGCCGGCTGCTGCTCTTCCTTGCATGAACTTGATGCCTGCTTATACCGCAGCAATCCAGGATCTTCCTGGGCTTCCTTTTTAGTGATTAGGTTTTCTGCACCAGAGTCATCATAGCAGACGCGTATGAGCCCTCGACAATTCCGTACAAGAGATTTGCGATCAGGCGAACTGCATATAACAAACTCATTCCACAGCTCTTCCGAAGAATTGGTAACTGATGAGTGAGGTCTCAGAGTTATGGTGTGTTCAAGCTCTTCATCTTCTGGTACAAGCATAGCCGATAAGAACTCAATGTCACGCAAGCTCAAGCCCTTGACATTATGCGCTGTGTCTGCACCTTGCAGTGCTGCCTCGATCGCCATGGCCAAAAAGCCCGCTCCAGGATAAAGGACAGAGTCTTGAATGTTATGGTCTGCCACCCAGGGTTCTTCAGATAGACGCAAGAAGCCCCGCCAGACCCTTTCTCCCTCCAAGAAGCTTGGAACAGGTGAACCCAGTAAACTGCTAGCAGATACAGGTCGGTCTTTGCGTCCGCGTGCTAGACGTGACTCTGACCAGTATTGTTGGGCATGATTCCATGGATAAGATGGGAGATCAACTAGTACTTTATTTTTCCCAGTCACTGTCCCATTCACCCGCGCAAGTTCCACAGGTCTACCGTATGCTATCAGCGTGCCTATCAAATTCAGCGTCGTTTCAACCGCGCTTTCATTGCGCACTACGGCTGACAGATATGGCTTGTTGTTAACGCCTAGTGCTTGGATACTTTGAGTTGCTGGCCCCCGAAGCGCGGTGTGTGGACCAATCTCGACGAGGATATCGACGGCATCTGTGCCACTGGATCGTGCGTCTGCGTCGGGGCGCATCAAATTCTGTATAGCTGTGGCGAACTTCACTGGTGAGACCAAATTCCGAACCCAGTAATCGGGTCCCAAGTCTTTGTATGTGATCTCGGATTCGGTTACACTGGAGTACATCTTGCAGGCTGCGTCACCGCCTGTTGTTGTGTTTGCTCGAGGCCGGATATCTGCAATCGCTTTTGCATATTGCTCCGCTACAAGCTTCATATGCTTCGAGTGATAGGCAGTATCCACTAGAAGCTTGCGTGCAAATATGTTTTCCTCTTGTAGTGCCGCTTGTAATGAGATTATAGCTGCTGCATCTCCTGATAAGGTTACGCTTGATGGCGAGTTAATACAGGCAATGTTGACTTTGTCTGGGCAGACGCGCTCAATAAAGGCTGAGCAAGTATCTGGTGATGCACCGACAGCCATCATGGCGCCTTCTAGGTCTGGTGCCGCAGTCTTCATGTTTGAGCAAACCACGCCGCGACAGTAGGCGATTCGCCAAGCATCTTCACGAGAAAGATATCCTGCGCAGTACGCTGCACCAATCTCTCCGCTTGAGTGACCAACAACAGCATCGGGAACAACGGCCCATTTGCGTAATAGGTCAACAAGGGCAACTTGCAGTACGGTACACAGCGTCTGCGAATAGAGCGCGAGTCCTAGGCGGGAGGTTCCCTTGCCGCGAGAAAGCTCAGCCCGCGCTGACCACGGGCAGCCAAGGGTTTTCTTAAGAAACAAGTCCGCTGCCTCGATACTGGCACTGAATTCTGGAAGTGCCATAAGTGCCATTCCCATGGTAGCCCATTGTGCTCCTTGACCGGTGAACACGAATCCGAGACGCGGCACGCTGGATGACATGACCTCTATTCTGCCACCGTCAGAGGATTCCAGGGCATCAGCTAGCTCATCCAAGGATGAAGCTAGGGCGAAAGTCTTCCATTGCAATCTTGAGCGCTTGTCGCTGAGTGTGTAGGCCAGGTCTGCGAGGTACTTCTCTGCTTGTGAATCATCATGCAGCTCATCTATCTTGGTACGCAGATATGATGATAATGACTTCTTCGTACGCGACAAGCCGGCACGATCTTGGGCTGTAAGCACATAAACTCGCGGTGTAGTCGGTTGGGAGCTGTATTCATCGTCCCCCTCTTCTTCCTCTCTGTTTTCATGATCTTCCGAGGAAACGTAGTGCAACCCCCGAAGGCTGCGACCTCCAAGGTACGAATACGCATCATCAAGGATTGCATGAGCATTGGTCCCACCATAGCCGAATGAATTGATACTGATGCGGCGTGTTCCTTGACTCGGCCACTTCATCAATTGGGTAGGAATCTGGATGTTCCAATTCTCAAAGTCTATCTTTGGGTTCGGGTTGTGAAAGTGAATGTTTGGTGGAATGACGCCGTGCTCCAGCATAAGCACACTCTTGATGACGCCGGCCAACCCGGAGGCAGCCTCGAGGTGACCAATCTAAATAAATGATGTTAGCTCCATGTGATTCGCCAGTTCGCATATATATACACATACATTTGCCTTCACTGATCCGACCACAAGTTTGTTTTTGGACGAACGGCCCTTGGCAATGGTCCTAGACAAGGCCAACGTTTCTGTAGTATCACCAGCCTGTGTGCCTGTACCATGAGCCTCCACGTAGCCGGTCTGGTCAAAATCTAATTTCGCGAGCCGGTATACATCTCGTATCAGCGCCTCTTGTGCATCGGCACTAGGAAGTGTCAAGCTCTTCGTGTGTCCATCCTGATTTGAGCCAGTTGCACGGATAATTGCTCGAAGAGGATCCAGTGCCACGATGGCATCATCGACTCGTTTTAATACTATGGCAGCGACACCTTCACCGCGCCCGTATCCGTCGCCGGACGCATCGAAGCTTTTGCACTTGCCATCTGGAGAGAGAAAGCCTTGACCAGAAAAAGCCACAAACATGTCAGGATTCAGGAGCACATTTGTGCCGCCCACAATGGCGATATCTGATTCCCCGGTACGCAAGCTCTGACAAGCGAGGTGAAATGCTACTAACGACGAGGAACACGCCGTGTCTAGAGCAAAGCTGGGTCCACGCAAGTCGAATGTCCAAGAGATGCGGTTAGCTAATGATGTTTTGTTCAGTCCGGTAGTGGCGTACGGCGGTATCCCATCGGTATCGCTTATAACAAGTTCCTTGTAGTCACTTGTGAAATGACCCATGAACACTCCTGTGCGCGTGCCTGCTAGGTCTTTAACTGAATAGCCTGCAGATTCCAAGGCTTCATACACGACTTCCAATGCGAGCCGATGTTGCGGGTCCATAGCATTGGCTTCCAAAGCTGAAATATTAAAGAAATTCGCGTCAAAGTGTGAGACATCGTGCTTGAGGAAGTGACCACTTTTGGTGACACTTCCGTGGCCCTTCTTGCCACCAGCCCAGAAAGCATCTCCATTGAAGCGCTCTTTAGGTATCATGGACCATGCCGCTGTTTAGAATTAGCTTCAAACGACCTGGCAAAGCTAGCGTGAGATTCGAACTAACATTTCCCTTCGCTTACCAACTTCCAGTAATTACTTGGGTTATCTCCATCGCCAGGAAAGCGACACGAGAGCCCGGTAATCGCAATAGATGTGCCGTCATTCCCTGCTGTAGCCATTATGGTAAGGCTGGTTGCTGAGAGTACGCAATGCGTGCGTGCACACGAATGGCCGACATGTCGACTTATGAACCTAAATGCAGCAGTTCATCACCAAGCCAACACACCCCTTGCGGCTGATTGCAACGCAATGTCCATTGCCATAGGCAAATTTCCATGGACCGGTGACTTTTTGTGGTTTGTTTTGAAAACACCGGGATATTAATCAACCACGCCGGACATTAGCCAAAATCCATATAAGCTACAGTTGTTATCTAGGAAGGTGAGATAAAGCAGAAAATAATCAAGTACTTTTGCCCATCAAACGCTTTCAATCGTGCATTCATGGGCTGTTACTGTAAGCGCCTGAATGCAGGCTCGCTGATTGTCGGTAATTATTTCACAATACTGAACATAATATACACATGCACCAGCCATTTATCCAGTTAATTGCAATCAATCAACTAGGCTGGCTTCTGCATGTGTGAAAAGATATCGATATCTATGTTACCAAATTCCGAACTCTAACAGACCTTCATTTCATCGTTTTTTTTTTTTCATCATTACGAAGCTAAAAATGCCAGATACCGCTGTCAGTCCCGAGGAGGAGCTCCTTGCAGTGATAGCGGAAGAATTGGGCATGGACATTGATGATCTTTCCGATGATACGGACATTTCTCACTTGCAAAACGACACCGCTTTATCCCGACTCATCCTGAAAAGAGTTCCTGTTGGTCTTCAAGATGATATCAATCGCACAACTTTTCAATCTTGCACCGATATTGCGGATCTCAAAGCGCACATCGACAAAGTGATGGCGCTGCGCGAGCCTCCTAAGCAATCTGACAAACGCAAAGCGAAACTTCCCATTGTGTTACTTCTTAGAGGAAACGAGGCCACGGCTAAGAAGAAAGTATTTCTACTTCCTGATGGCTCGGGGTCTGGCATGGCCTACATGTCCATTCCACCAATGGATCCAAGTATTTGTCTATATGGGATCAACAGCCCATATCTTCACTCTCCTGAGGTTTTCAATGGTACAATAGACGATTTGGCTCAAATCTGGACCGCTGAAATACAGAAAGTTCAACCAAACGGCCCGTATACCCTCGGTGGCTGGTCTGCTGGAGGGTATTTTTCTTTCGAGGTCTCCAAACTGTTAATAAGTAAGGGCGAGCGTGTTGAGAAGCTCATTCTAATAGACTCCCCATGTCGACTATTATTCGAGGCTTTACCCCCTCAGGTAGTGGAATGCCTGGCGAAAAATAACTTGATGGGAAACTGGAGTGAAGGAGGCACACCAAAATGGCTAGTCAATAGCTTTGTGTCGACTATTGGTGCAGTGGAAAAATACATGCCCACTCCAATGGTAATTCCCGATGGTGCCAAAGCTCCAGAAGTCTTTATAATCTGGGCGTCTGAGGGAGTGTTCCCAGATGGTGTAGAAGCATATCCGGAGCTAGATATGAGCGTGAGGGTCACTCGATTTTTAGTCAACAAGAGAGTCCAATTCGGTCCACTTGGTTGGGATAGACTATTTCCAGCTCAGGATATTAGCATTGCCAAGATGCCAGGCAGCCACTTCATGATTGTTCATCAGCCAAACGTGAGTATGCATGCACCATATAATTCAGAAAGATTTACTAATCCATCTTCAAAGGTTGATACACTGGGGAAGCTGCTAAGAGACATCATCCAAGGCCGCCGAGCAGACGCGAAAAGTGATTGGCAGAAATGGCGGAACAGGTCATGAAGGGCAGATTGACAAGGACATTAATAGATAGCATGCTATAAATCCTCTTAAAAAGATCATCAAGTAATAACAGTATACCAGAAATGCCGAGAAACGTATAGTTGCGCTTACTCAATTGTGAAAGGCAAAACTCTCGAGCTCTGCAACAGTGACTAATCTCATGCATGGGTTTTTGCTAAAACCAACCATATAGTAGTAAATATCGATGCCTATTGTATAATTCCAATATATATATATATATATATATATATATATATATGAATATAGCAGAGGAAATCGCATACATCCAACAAGCTCTAAATATTTATTTACGTGAAACCCTCTACTCATTACCGAAGGAGTATATAATGTAACTACAAATTCTGTCTATAAAAACGTTTAGTTAACATGGGACCATCTAGCTGCTGACCAGTCGGAATTAAACGCCCCATTTACAGCTACTCTTAATACTACCGGAACATTTCTCTCATCTGCGTATTTTTCACTATTGTGCTCATGTTTCAATATCCTGGTTATTTCTGTGATGAGCAATTTTTCTTCGCCCTTGAGTTATCAATGGCCAAGACGTTGCATCGCAGTAGACTTGTGTGGTTTGAGTAGAGAGGCGAAATGCTGTCCGATCGCAAACCCACCCGGAAGGTATATCATCAATAAGCGAATCCAAGAACTTCATAAGTGGCTGACAAAGGGTTTATTTTTCCTCAGCTATTTTTATTGGATACTATCAAGAGATTTATCATTATTATTAAAAATGGTATTAATCGCATCTCCATGCCACGCAGCCCGGAGCGACTATGTCTCGTACGACAAGTTGGTCGCATATTGTGTCGCCTCGTAAGAGAAAGGAGCCGTCAGAAGTGGCCGGTTGGCAGAGGTGTTTGCTGGGTACACTGCACATTCCTGATTTATATCCCTGGCTGCCCTCCCCAATCTTCACTTTTCCTCTATGAACAAGCATACCATCATTAGCCGCCATATTACGAACGACACTAGCTTCCATTAAATAAGCAACGCTCCATTACAATGCCAATTCGCGTTATCATTGTCGGCGCTGGGATTGGCGGCCTCACAGCTGCCGTATCTCTTAGGCAGGCTGGGTGCGAAGTAACGGTAGGTTATTTGGAGATTTCTCTGCCCCATGCATACATTAATCGTAATCTCCTCGTTGGGATCTCTGCATAATAAAGCTCCGTTCGGGTTTTCCGCAACACTATGCCAGGCTACGTTGCTGACTGTCTATTTTTTTGGGGTTTCCATAGATCTTCGAAAAATCATCATTTGTGGGTGAAATAGGCGCAGCACTAGGACTTACGCCCAACGGAGGTCGAGTCTTGGAGCATCTTGGCTTCTCATTCCAAAAGGCCCGCACCTGCACATTAAAAACATGGGCTACTATAGACGGCCTCACTTACAATACTCTCAATCAATTAGACCTTAGCAATGCCCAGCGTGCTTTTGGGGCGCCGGTGCGTGCAGTCCACCGAGTAGACTTGCACACTGAGCTGCTACGGTTAGCTACAATGTCTGGAGAGGGTCTGTCCCAGCCAGTGACATTGAAGCTGGGCAGCCAAGTCGCTGAAGCCCATCCCGATGGCACGATTGTTCTTCAGGACGGCTCTAGACGTACTGCTGACTTAGTAGTGGGAGCTGATGGGTTAAGATCGGTTATTCGCGATGCTGTTCTAAGCGAAGATGATCAAGCAAAGCCAGTCCATTCAGGCCAGGCAGCGTTTCGATTCCTTGTTGACACATCCACATTAAGAAGCGACCCAACTCTTGCACCTCTAGCAGATGGTAATACAGACCAACTGAGCCTTTTCGCCGACACATCTGAAACCGTACGAGAACGCCACGTCATTTGGTACGCCTGTAGAGAGTAAGGCAGCCCTCCCTGGCCGGTATTACTGTATCAGAGCTAATATGATTCGAATGTAAAGTGGTGAAGTGCAAAACTTCGTTGGTATCCATCCTAGCCTAGAGGTTGGAAACCAAGAAGGCGACGGTAAGTTATGTCTACTGTTGTAAGATGAGCAGAGAGTGTCTGACAAGAATGAAGAAGCCAAGGCGGCCATGATGGCTGAGTTTGCACACTATGACAAGAGGATCCTCCGCTTGTTTGAGTACGTATATGAATGTCAGACATATAAAGTATTGAACAGACTTTGACTGTTGACTGGATACAGGCTTGCTGAAAATGTCAAACGCTGGCCTCTCTACATTCATGACCCATACCCTACTTGGGTAAAAGGAAGAATTGTCTTAGTTGGAGACGCAGCTCATCCGGTAAGTTATTATAACTCGGGCGTGGAAAACTACTTTGACTGACTCAATTCGCTGATATAGATGCTACCATTTGGTGGCCAAGGGGCAATGATGGCCATCGAGGACGGTGGTATCCTCGGTTCTCTCTTTACCAACGTCCTCCCAGATCAAATTGACGCACTCTTATCGAAATTTCAGCAATTGCGCAAAAATAGAGTTTCTCGTATCCAGTTGCTTTCTTCAGTACGCGCGGGACGAGAGAATGAAGTCGACGCTCGCATCAGCCAATACGCGGATGGCCCAACTGGTTGTCAGTTCTTCTGTACTAATCCACCATTTATTTATCGAGATACTAATTTTTTCCTCAAACAGCTATACCGACAACGCATAAGGAACGCACTATTCACGATTACAGGTGAGATATTATGTCCACCAGACAGACATAGGGCAGCGCTAATAGTTTACCGGCTTCACAGTTACGATGCATATGCGGATTTGGAGAAAAGCCTTGCTTCAGATATATAATCTATGTATTTCAAGTAGCAAGAAATGTTTATATTAAGCTAGGAATATGAATCAAGACTAGATTTAGACTATGAGTTCCTTTACCATCTCTCGAAGAATTTAGGCCTGGCTCTCAATTGAATGCTTCGTTTCATTTCTAGATACCTATAGGGCATAGTTTTGATAGACCCCGAGCCTTTTTCTCTCATTGCCTTCCAAAACTAGGCATATCAGAAAAGACACAGTAAACAAACGCACTTTACAACGAACGTCATCTCTGGCAGTGAACTAATGTGGTAATTTGCAAGGCATATGGTGTGTTGAACGATTCAATTATCATTTCCCGACATCTATCTTCTCATCATCAGCCGTCTGTACACGTATCGGCGAGTTTCAGAGGGTTATAGTGCCATAATTCTCCAGCATAGGCTAAAATGCGACATGGTGCAGCAATGCTACCCATGAGCTGCAATAGGCAATGCCCCACTGAAGCGGCATATTAATGAATGAACCGTGAAATTTAGTGGCCGGTGATCTCTTACTATCCGGGGACCAGATGTATTATCATCTCACGACTTCATGGGGATTCAACGATGTACCCATGAAGCGCAGCTGTGTTTGGCTTGCTGAAGAGGCTTCTATATAATGTTTCCTGGTATGTTTTCAAAATATGTATTGAGCTTTCGTCACATGTTTATCTTGCTAGGAGATTTCATATCTTCAAGTTAAGCATACAATGACGGCAATCACGAGACGACATCTCCTGCTGTTTGGAGACCAAACAGTAGAGAAGCTCACATCGATACGGGCGTTGGTTCGTAATGCAAAGACTTCTCCTGCGGCCAAGAGATTTCTCCAGGAGATCACGGATGTAATACAGATCGAGTTTTCTACCCTAAGCAAGAGCGAGCATGGCTGGACAGGAACTTTCGACACACTCCTCGGGTTGGCGGAAGAGAATGACGAACAAAACGGCGCCAATACCTTGGTGTCAACTGTGCTGATGTGCATCGGGAGGCTTGGAGAGCTGGTAGTGTGAGTTTATCATGATCATTGCGGGTGAAGTATCTAAACTGATGTTGTAACCAGTCATGCCGAGAGAGATCCTACTATTCTTGGAACACCAGAGCGTCCTGTGGAAATACTAGGCTTTTGTACTGGTCTTCTACCTGCTGCGGTAGTAGTAGCAGCCAAAGACACATCAGAACTACACACTCTGGCTCGTGACATTGTCCAAGTCACATTTCGCATGACACGGGAAATAGTTCGCCAGACGAAATTAGTCGAGGACAGCTCAGGGGACTGGGCGAGAACCTATATCGGAATAACCCGCGAGAAAATGGAGTCTATTCTTGACGATTTCCACACAAGCAATGTTAGTCAAGCCAGGGCCCAACATGACCTTTTTTTCCTCCAGATGAAACTCAGCTGACAAAGTTCTCAGAGCATCCCCCCCACAAGACAGATATCTGTCGGCGTCGTATCAGAGAAGTGGACAACAATTATAGGTGCGCCATCGTCACTAGCCCGATTATCGAGCTGGTCTTCTGAGATTCAGTCGGCATCACATGCGAAAACAGACATAGGTGCTCTTATTCACTCCAAAGTCCTGCCACCGCTTGATCTTGAAAAGATACTGGCTCCTTTCTCCTGGAGAGACAGGGTGCTTGACTGGACAAAGGCAAGGATGATATCTCCTGCCTCTTGTACCGATTATACAAACAGCTCCCTCGGTTCACTCGTTGGCCAAATAATTAACGATATAGCAAGTAATGCGCTTCTTATCGATGAAACCATTCAGGCTTGCATTTCTCGTCTAGATAAGGCGACCGCATTCAGTGTTACTGTACCTGGCCCGACGGGTTATCTGCCGGCAGTTGAACAGGCCTTCAGATCTTCCAAAGTCCAGTACGAGCTGAATAAACAGACGACGGATGCCACAGGTTCGGGTCGAGGTGGATCTGATATGATTGCAATCATCGGCATGAGTGGAAGATTCCCAGGTACCAACAGCCCGGAAGAATTCTGGGACGATGTGCTGGCTGCAAACTGTCATATTGAGAGTGTTCCAAAAAGTCGCTGGGATCTTGATGTCTTCTTTGATCCAGAAGACAAGTCAACGAGGAAGAATGCAACCACAGCAATGCATGGCGCTTGGCTTGAGAGCCCTGGACTCTTTGACAATCGGTTGTTCAACATGTCACCGCGCGAGGCCTCGCAGGCTGATCCGATCCATCGACTACTGCTGACGACAAGCTATGAAGCCCTTGAATCAGCAGGCTATTCGCCTGATGGTACTATCTCAACTGAGAGCAATCGAATTGCCAGCTTCTTTGGACAAACATCGGCCGACTGGCAAGATGTACTAAACCAAGAGGGCATCGACATTTACTACATACCAGGCGTAGGAAGAGCGTTCGCGTCTGGGAGAGTGAATCATCACTTCAAATGGGGCGGCACCTCCCTTTCGGTCGATGCTGCCTGTGCTACCGGTATTGCCACAGTCAGTCTCGCCGTCTCCGCCCTGCTTGCTCGTGAGTGTGACATGGCTTTGGCTGGTGGAGGCGCTGTCCACGTTTCTCCGAACACATATTCTGGGCTTAGCAAAGCTGGCATGGTCTCAACCACTGGAGGCTGTCGAACTTACCATGACGATGCTGACGGCTATGTCCGGGGCGAAGGTGTCGGTGTGGTTGTGCTCAAGAGGCTGGAGGATGCAGTGGCAGAAAACGACAACATCTTGGGAGTTATCAGAGCCGCGGCACAGACATACACATCAACCTCGTCATCCATCTTGCATCCTAGCCACGTTTCTCAAGAGCGCATCTATAGAGAGGTATTGCATCAGTCAGGTCTCCAACCTCAAGATATTGACTACGTTGAGATGCACGGCACGGGGACTCAAGCTGGCGACGTGGAAGAAATGACATCTGTCATTAATGTGCTGGCCAAGAACCACACCAAGAATGAGCCTTTGACAGTCGGTGCGGTGAAAGCCGTGGTCGGCCACGGTGAAGCAGCTGCAGGTGTTACTTCACTCATCAAAGCGCTGATGATGCTCCGTGATGGCCTCATTCCCGCTCAGCCGGGATGGCCTTTCAAAGTCAATCGCAACTTCCCCTCCCTGGCCAAAGCCAACGTCCGGATTGCAACAAAGACGTTGGATCTCAAGCCCAGCTCCAAAGCTGACAAGAAGGCCAAGATTCTGATCAACAGCTTTGGTGCATCGGGCAGCAACAGCTGCGTAATTGTGGAGGAGCCACCAGAAATTCCAGAAAAACAAGATGATCCTCGAGGCTTCCATGTTGTTACTTTATCCGCAAGAAGTGCCTTCTCTTTGAAGAAGAACCGAGAGAATCTGGTCGACTACCTGGAGAGAAAACCAGAGACCAGACTTGCGGACTTGGCTTATTCAACGACAGCACGACGCATGCATGAGACGCTCCGCATAGCCTACGTCGGCAATAGTGTTCGAGACGTTGTTCGTCAGCTACGACATGATGCCACTAACGGGGGTCCAAACGATCCCAAGTCCAAGACAAAGAAGTCTCCACGTCTCTTCTTGTTTACTGGACAGGGATCGCAGTATGCAGGAATGGGTGCCGATTTATTTGCCGCCGATAAAGGCTTTGCAGAGTTGCTAGGAACCTACCAAGACATGGCTACGAATCTCGGGCTTCCCGAATTTGTAGACATAATCCGCAACAAAGAGATTGACATGACAACAAAGTCACCTGCTCAAGTACAGCTGGCAGTAGTAGCATTGGAGATTGCGATTGCGCACACGCTGAAGAAATGGGGCGTATTCCCTGATGCTGTCCTTGGCCACAGCCTCGGAGAGTATGCGGCGCTCGCCGTATCTGGTGCTCTGTCAGTCGCAGATGCACTATACCTTGTTGGAAAGCGTGCTTTGCTTATGGAAAAGCATCTCGAGCCTCATACATATGCCATGCTTGTCACCAGCTTGAGCGCCGAAGATCTTCAACAAAGGATTGAGGAGCTGAAGCTTGAATCTTGTGGCATCGCATGTGCTAATGGACCTTCTGTGGCAGTGGCTAGTGGGCCGGTCAATGATCTGAAGAAACTGGAACAGCATCTTTTGGACACAAGCGACATCAAATCAACATTCCTCAAGGTCCCCTTTGGCTTCCACTCGGCTCAGGTCGAGCCGATTCTCGAGGAGTTTGAAAAGATCGCTGACGGTGTTACATTCTCCAATACTCATACTACTTTCGTGTCTAGTCTTACGGGAACGACTGAGTCATCTGTTTCACCTGCATATTTATCCAGGCAGACGAGGGAATCTGTTCAATTTACCAAGGCTCTTGAAGCTTGTGAGGCGGCGGGTTTGATAGGTGGAAATAGCCTTACCATGGAGATTGGGCCAGATCCAGTCTGCCTTAGTCTGGTTCGCAGAACTCTCAATATTCCTGGGTCGGCAAGGCTTATCCCGTCCTTGAAGTCGGGACAAGACAACTGGAGCACCATCTCGACTGCACTTAAAGCTGCGTACGAAACTGGCGTCAACGTCAATTGGCCGGAATTCCATAAGGGCTTTAAAAACTCTGTTCGCCTGCTTGATCTTCCCACATACGCATTCGAGTACAAAGACTTTTGGACGCGATACCAAGAGCTTGAGCCAGTGCAAACAACAGCTCCTTCTCCAGTTGTCGAAAAGGTTCAACCTCCGAAATATCCTGGCTTTACATCTACTTCCTCGGTGCAACGAATTGAGTCAGAAAGTATTCAAGGCAGCAAGATTACTGTTATATATTCTTCCGAAACTTCAGAACCTGCCCTTCTTCAGGCTATTCAGGGTCACTCCGTAGTTGGCCGAACAATATGCCCAATGGTCGTCTATTGCGATATGGCCATAGCAGCAACTAAATATGCGTATTGGAGATTACACGACACAAAGCAGACGCCCGATCTGTCAATATACGATATGGAGATGGCCAGGGCGTTGGTGATTGAAGAAAGAGGCTCGAGACCGGTCATCAACATAAGAAACATCTACAATCAAGATCAAGGTTTCGCCCGTGTAACGTTTTATTCCATCACGCCCGAGGGTAAAGAGGTTGCTTATGGAGCCTGCAAGGTCAAGGTAGCCAAGGGTGCTGCCCAGAAGAACTCCCCCCAGCAACTAGATTTCCTCCTTCGGTCGCGAATGGTGACCTTACAGGAATATTCCAAGAACCGAAAAGCTCATGCATTTTTGAAGCCTGTCGTATACAGGCTGTTTGCAAATGTGGTCGGCTACGGTGAGGCCTACCAGGGACTCGAAGAGGTCGTGGTCGATACTAGGGGCAGTGATGGAATGGGCACCGTCAGACTACCGCAGAGTGACAGCACCGGCCATTTCACCCTCGATCCATACTTGAACGACGCAGCCATACACTTGTGTGGATTTCTAGTCAATAGCGGGCTGAATTATCCACAAGACGATGTTTTCATTTGTCCCGGATTCCAGTCGTGGCGCTTTTTCGAAGCTCTCCACCCTGGGAAGGCTTACTCTACTTATGTTTATATGCAAGAATCAGCCTCCAATGATGGCTCCATGTTGGGCAATTGCTATGTCCTTGACGGAGACCGGATTGTCCAGGAATTAGTGGGCATAAAGTTTCAGAAGATGAAGCGAGCCGTGCTGCAGTTGTCTCTTACGAGTACAGGAGCACAGCCTAGGCACCCTCCCACCGAGACTCATCGACCGAAATCACCCATTCCACAATTCTCGTCCATAGAGCCTACCACGATCTCAACCACGGAACCCCAAGCATCCGACGACTCTGCTTCAACCGGTACCAAGACCCCTGAAGCGTCAGACTCGGAGATCATTGACACTCTGCTCTCCATCGTAGCTCGCGAGATTGGAGTGAACGTAGAGGAGATGCTGGATGAAACAGCTTTTATAGACCTTGGGGTTGATTCATTAGTTGCTGTTACTATTTTTACCACATTGGAACGAGAAGTGGGATTGAAGCTCCAAGCATCCTTTTTTGTTGAGCATACAACCGTTGGAGATGTGAAACGTGCACTGCACGAGATGCTCTGAAAGATCATTGTAGGTCATTCGAGGCATCGATACTGATGATATTACAAATGGAGGTTAGAACATTTTTGTTAAGGATAAAGTACTGAAATTACGAATACTCGCTTTGCTTATTATGACGTTATTTCTCAATGGGGGTTTGCAACACTAATTAGAAGCTATTTGATCACATTTTCTTGTGTTTTCTATTGCAAACTAACATTCAAAGTCGTTAAATCAATAGAAACAAATTCATTTGACGAACTCAATGAGGCACCGCTTTTGAAACAAATTACTTCAATAACACAAATGAGAACAGGACACACAAAGGCATATACATGGGTATATTTTCCGATACATCTAAACACTCCAATAGCCGTCTATGACATTTTCGACAAATTGAGAATATTGGGTCGCTCATGGGCTTACGCATCTCTTGTCTTTCTAGGAGAAGCCAAGATAGACCTTGATAGATGAGTGAGCCCGTCTATAGTATGTTCCACCATTGACAAATCACCAGATAAGAGAGCTCCTGGCTCTGAAAAACGGCCTCCGGACACCTTCTTGCGCTCTAATACGCTCCTAAAAGACTCCAACACGGTATTGACTTTCTGGACCATCATGGACCAGAGCATATATAATAAGGATGATTTATCATCACCGGTTAGCTCAAAATCCCCAACCGTCACCACTTCAAGCTCCACATCTCCCTCTGCACTGATGCCAGGAGAAACATGCTCCGATGCGGTAAGTGATACATCTTGATTCCCACCGCAGGCCCAACTCACGTTTTGAAGCTGTAACAGCATCGATCGAACGCACATTAGAGCCAATATCAGCACTTCTTGATCGTCGCCTCGCATGCAACTAGTACAGCTAGTCAAACCAAGCCAAGCTGTCTGAGCCTCTTGCATATTCGCAAGAATACTCTTCATTGACATCTTGCCCCCGGGTCTAAAGACCTCTGAGCCTCTTAATTTGCAGAGCAAACTCGTTTGCTGCTGGAGGCATGTACAAGTCAAAACACTGGAGTGTTGAAGTGGGCTGGGAGTATTGGACACTCTCTCTTCCTGGCTCATTGATACACTTTGAGAGAGATCTGCTGAAACCGGTACCGTTGTTGGTGGAATCGCAAACAGATGTGCCAGTTCTGATTGGCTTGCCGCTGAAGCCTCGGAAAAGGTTGGATCATGTTCTTTCTCGAACGTCTCTTCGTGGTGGAATAGGCCTCGGGTCTGCGTTGAGTCATCGTTAATCGATCTGGCTGATACCAATTTGGAGTCAAAAAGAAGGCATACCATATCTGCGGACGCAAAGTCTTCCTGTAGTCCCCATTTATCTTCTGGGAACGGCAGAGAGAATTCGAATGGCGAGGTAGCCCAGGACATGGAGTTTACATCAGTGAAAGGAGATTGACCATTGCTTTTTGGACTGGATGAGTTGTCCGACGGCACGCTTGCAGGACCTGCAATACTCTGCGTTGCAATGATAGGGCGCGGTGATAAGGTAACTTGGTTCTCGAGATGTATGGAGGAGCGCTTCCGTGCCTTGCGTGCTTCTCTTGGCCCTTTATTTCTCGCAGCACTCTTTTGATTCGCTAATGATTGTGTTTCTCTGCCTCCTGCGTCTCATCGAATTAGCGTTCAATGCCGGATTACTTGTCGAGCCAAAAGATGTCTCACCTGCTGCCGCCGCACGTTTGTTTTTCGAACCCAAGGGCCGGCCAAGCCTATTTGACATGCTAAAGACACATGTTCTGCACGACTCCGTACACGAATCGCAGGGTAAATATCCCGAACATCGAACTTTCAGCTGGTGACACGCATCACACGCGGAGCGGAGCCGAGGAGTGACGGGCATGGCTGTGGGGTGGGAGCAAAACCGACGGATTTGACTTGACTCCTGAGAAACAATACTACCAAGGCGGGAAAACGACGTTGTCCCAAAGTTTCCAATGTCACAGTCAATGGTCAAAGCAGAAATCAACGAACTGCTGTAACCCTTCCGGAGTCCGGATTGCCCGCTTACATAGCGAGAGGATAGGATGGTTAAATGGATACAAACTCCCAAGATGCGATGACAATATCAACATACGAGCGGCCAGATTGCACGCCGCATGCCCGAACAAATCCGGCCAGATTCCATGCCGAGTGCTACCCCTCCCCGGGCCGCCCTGGCCCGCCCTAGGCCGCCTTTTGGTAGGGTTTAGTTTTGGAGATAGGCGCGAGTGGTTCCGTAAGACGGAAATGATGCCGATTACATCCTTTGACAGCGTGTCAAGCATGGGTTAGAGAATGCTTCATTGGCAGTTACTAAACGTCTCTGCTGCTGCTCGACGCGATGCGACGCAGACTTGGTTGTTTCTGATGGGAATGCAATGCTACGAGTACTACAGTAAGCGCACTGCATGTAATCCTATCTGACATGTATGTAACACTGCCAAGAATGCAATGCTATACTAGGTAGGTGTGTAGTATTGGCCAGCAGTGACCGTTAGATAGACTCTGTATCTGTGCACGAACTTCTTCAACGGAGAAATTAATTGTTCTCCGCACCGTACCTGCTACTACCCGCTAGCTTCGCGAATATTGACTAGATGGGTAGGAGATTGATAAGTGCACATGAAGGATCTATATGACATACATACCATACCTATTCGGAACTACCACTTGGATACCCTATGCCAACGACTACTTGGCTTATTGATGGATAGAAATTGCAGCGTAACCTTTTAGATAGCACTTGAGGTAGCGGTTGAATCTGCAAAACTGAGACAGACACTACGTATAGTGGTTATCAGGCAGTAGACAGTCGAATCTAGGAGGTGATAGATCAGCAATCTTTGGTTCCTTTGATGTGTTTCAAATTGGCTTACACGTGCCAAAGGAATATATTAGCGCAAACGCAATGTCGAGGCTACTACCTACCTGTATTGTCTACACACCACTGTCCCACCAGTTTCGCCGGCTAAATGTGCATCACTTCGTTGGCCATGATCGCCAAGGTAAATCCAGGCGGGCCGAATGCAGAAGGAAAAAAGTAGCTTGTTTTGAGGACATGAGATCGTGTCAATCTTCAAAGCACAGACCACTACTTAAACTTAATTAGCTGCCATTCTGACTTAAAAAGCGCCGATGCAACGATGGCGAAAGAATACCACGGCAACGTCAAATTTTCAACTGTCACCACAACAGTCTAGAACTTCTGACACACATCTTGGCAAGATTTCAAGTGTCTTCAAGGGCTTCCCTCGTCTATTGATTACTGAGACTACTGGAAACAGCAAGAATAACACGTGTCATTATTAGCTATTTCTGTCTTTACTGCAACTGTCAAATACAGCCATTGTGTGCTTCCATATCCTCTCTGCCATGCCTGTTCGCCGATATTCTTCCAGTAGGTCCCTATTCTGCTTCTGTATCTGTCCATCCCAATTCAGTAAATAAGCCCCCGACCCTCTAACTCCATCGCTCCCCTCGGCCACACCATTCTTCTCAGTCGGCGCGCCGCAGCTAGAGTCGTTCGGAAGCTCCGATGGGGGATATCGGTTCGAAGTCGCCATGAACAAATGCCTCTCTCCTGTCTCCTGTAGTCCAACTGTCCATGGAGCTAGCAATGGCCCCGCAACTTTGAACGCAGCTCGTAAATAGGTCGGCAATCCTGATCCGAGGTTTGTTTTTACCACACCAGGAGCCGTGTGAACAAACGCTGTTCCTTTCCATGTAGCGTCGAATCTCTCGAGCATTAAATCCGTCATTACACCGCAGTGTGCGCCGCAATTAGATAGAGAAAAGTTGGACTTCAGATCAAGATCACTCTCTACCATCCGGTTCCCAATGCCGGCACCCAACACGGTCATGACGCGGGACAGCTGGGAAGATGACGCAGAGCTTGTGAGAAGTGGAAGCAAATTCGAGATGAAACGCATGCGCGAGTAATAGTGGACGGCCATTTTACGATCGAGACCTTCAGGTGATTCTGTTCAGGTTGGCAATTAATTAGCATTTTTATCCATTGAGCCGGAGGTGAGTGGTACCGTTTCTGCCGTCAACAGTCAATATTCCCGTCGTTAACACTAGTAGATTCAACCGCTTTTCTCTTTGGATAATATCGGAACAGACGCGGTCGACGTTTGCTATCTCAGAGACGTCGGCTTGCAGAAATTCCACCTCGCTCGTTTCGTTGACTTGTCGGCACTCTTTTATAATGCGATTGGCAGCATCTTGGCTTCGACCTACAACGTAGACCTTTGATGCTGCAGTAGCGCCCACGAATGCCTTCAAGATTGACTCTCCGATACCGCTTGTGCCCCCAACAAATACAGCAACAAGTCCTGGGCCGAGGTTCTTGAGGGTAGCATTGGAAGTGCGGACAGTGTCCAGGGAAACACCTTTCATGACTGCAGAGTTTGAAGAAAATGTCTGGCCCAGTATCGAGAAGAAGAGATGGGGCGACAAAGATATAGTTGACCCTTGTGTCATCAAAATTTCTACATTGAGACTAGGACTCGGCTCCTATACCTTGAGCGGCGGCTCCTATATCTCGAGCGGCCGCTCTGAACGATGAAGCGGCCGCCTCCATACTGAGGGGCAGTCTACCTATTAGTGGTTGTACCAAGTCTGATTGGCTACGAAAGAATTGAAATGAAATGCAAAGTGTCGATATTCATGCCATCATCAGATGAAATACGGTGAAAAGGAGTTGTCGGTACGTCGGAATGCTACGTCTGCCTATGTCCGATTTCAGAAATGCGGCGATAAAGGTTCTCTATGTAGGTAGTTGTACACGTATAACCAACTTATAAAAATGCGAGACTCCCCGTTGAATGCTTTACAACTCATCAACCATAGCCCATCAACTATAAATCATCAATCAGATCAAAACTCTTTCTATACGAAAATGCCTCTTCCCATCACCCCAGCACAAGAAGCCACTATCAGCCCTCAGGCTGTCGAATTTCTCTCTGCGGCAGAGGGTATCCCAATAGAAGCCATCCAAGCAGTAACCGTGACTCGCCAGGCGTTTCATGCTGCGGAAGAGCCCGTGGAAGAAAGTCTCATTGAGAAGTTCAATCTCAAAACAGAGAAGATCACCATGGGTGGCATTCCCGTCCTTATTATAGGCTCTTCCTCGCCAGATCCCAAATATAAGGGGCGAGTTATCTTCGACATTCATGGAGGAGGCTTCGTTATGGGCACTGCTAGGGAGCGCACAGCCCTCATGATAGCTGGCGAACTTGGTTTGACAGTCTACTCTGTCGATTATGATCTTTCTCCCGAGGTCAAATATCCCATCGCCATCGAACAATGTCTCACTGTTTACCGTGAGATGATTGTCAAGTTTGGTGCCAAGAATATTGTCGGCCTGAGCAGCTCTGCTGGCGGCCAAATCATGCTCTCACTCAACGTGAGGGCGCAGCGGGAAGGTCTTGAACTGCCTGCTGCTCTAGCCTTTTACACTCCCAATACTGATCTCTCGGGTGTTGGTGACTCGAATGTCTTTAATGATGGCCGTGACCTAGTCGATAACAATGTTCTTGTTGGAGCAATGAGCACTCTATACGCTGGCGGAGTGGATCTAAAGGACGAGCTGATATCACCAATCTATGCTGAACTGAGCGGGCCTTTTCCACCTACAGTCATCAACACTGGTACTAGGGACTTACTTTTGAGCCAGTGTGTGAGACTGTATTGGAAGTTACGGGAGGCTGGGGGTAAAACGGAACTGCTCGTATCTGAGGGTATGTGGCACGGGTTCAACTGGGAATTGGAGCTGCCTGAGGGAATCCGCGCACGAAAGGCTGTATACAGTTTCATCAAGAACGTTTTGGATGAAATGTAATCATACAGTAACGAGGCAAACCTCTTTTGGTAATTAGGCCAGATATTTTTATTTCATTAGTACCTTATCTATAAATACTTTTCACTTCTCAACATCACTGGTAATTTCATCCATGCCTGGCAAAAGTCATAATCGCATGTGTAGAATTTGGGTGTCCTACACATACACCAATGGACTTTCATCGACATCTTAGTATGCTGCTAGCGATGGGATATCTTCGGTACAAGCATACTCAGCTTATGTAGCTCCAGTGGGATACGGAGAGGCAATAGTATGAATTAGAGCGCTACTGCTTGGTAGATTTACATACAAACAAAGTGTATGATATATCATATGATTTGAGTATTTGATTACTTCTCGATCAGCCCTGTAAGAATACTTTCTAAATTAAGTCGACAAATTGCAGATATCGATGATGAATAACAAATTTGGTACGCAAGTTTAGAATATAATTAGCTTTTTGCTATCATGGGCGATCCTGTCATGTCGTATTGTTTTGGTCCAAAGAACATTGCCAACACGGACATAGACATTCGGCAACCCAAATGGATAATACATTGTATTAGCCTATTGGTTGACAAATATATAGAGCACTCTTGTAAGAGACACAGTCATAATAAGCTGCTCAAACCAACATAAATTATCACTTGCCCCTGGAATAACATATACTCGTAGAAGCCAAGTCGGCGAAAGAACTATCTGGCGATAGTGCGAGCGAGACACATAATGTGTCATGACTATAATCTTGAACGAAGTAACTTTACAATTGTAAACAGTTCGAATTCTTGTTTTACTAAACCGGAGATATCTCATATATTGTAGTTATGTATCTTAAGGACAAAGCCCTCGGGTATACACAATACTTCTGAGGCGCAAATAGCATTCAAGCCAGTTGTATTCAGACCTCCGAAAGCTGAAGCCCCTCAAATTCAATGCGGAATCTACAGAACCGCTAACTCGCATACCCAATAATCAAGCGCTGCAATCCTGCTTCTGGACGCTCCCCTGCCGTCCAGTCCACATTGCCGAAGCCCACTTGCTTCATGATTTTCTCCCAATGAGTAACAGGCGCAAGTGCATGATGACGCCCATCTTCAAACAACCACCAACCTTCCAAGAGCCCAAAAACGAAATCCACCCATGGAATTTGCTGTGTTTGCTCCAAGAGCATCACAAACCCGTCCGGCCGTAACATACTATGAATATTCTTCAGTGAAACTGGAAGGCTCCGCGTCGCGTGGATGCACGCTGTAGAGAGAATGATGTGTTGACTGCGTAATAGCTCCGGGTCAGGTTGTGATTCAACATCGACCACCTTGAACTGCATAAATGGGTTTTCGCGATACTTTCTTTTAGCAGCAGCCACTAAGGAGGCTGAAATGTCCGTCATGGTATAGACGATAGGCACTCCGAGCCGCGCCAAGACAGGTATCGCCGTTGATGTTGTGCCGCCGGTTCCCGCTCCCAGCTCCATGATTCTTAGCGGTTGCCCATTTTGAGGCACTCTCTTAACGAGCTGTTCCAGGAAATAGGCAAGCTGTTCTATCCAGACGCGATTGATTGGAGATAGGGCATAGAGATCTGAAACCCGTTGGCGGCCCTGGGCTGTGCCGAAGATGAGTGCGATTCCATCTTGCTTGCCAGATAGGCAATCAGCTAACGATGGTCCAGTCACCTGTACAAGATTAAACTCTGGCGCATGAGAGGGCTCATCTTGAAGTAAATCTTCGAGCAATTCGGTCGCTGATTTGGTTGGACAACTTTGTGCTGCTCGGACAATTTCGGACCCATCCATCTCTATCAGAGCTTGTTCGCGGAGCAGTTCATAGAAGAGGTCCATGAATTTGTCATATTTCGGTAAATATGGAACGCGTTTGAGCTTATCTCCTGGCTTTGCTGACTGGATGCTACAGCCAAGCTGCTCGAATGCTTCAACCAGATATGCTATGCAGAGCTCTGTTGATCTGGGCATCACCTCGCCACAGTAATTCCCCATATGGCCATCGACAATGAGTTCATCTGTGATTTTCTTTGTTGAACTGAAAGCCTCTTGAATTACAGAAGCTGGAAGAGTATCATTGGTGGCAGCGGACCTTGGATCCTTTGCCTGTTTTCTGGATGGTGTCTCTTTGTCATTACCACTTGTTGTTTCATTTCCGATATCGAGAATGGACTGTATGTAGTGAACAACACCTATGAAATTTTCCGATTCCAGGATCCGGCTGCTCTCTACCGCGCGACCAGAGAATCCACTGAGCTTCCGTGCCAGCTCTTTGGCCAAGATAGTGTCGACTCCAAGCTCATCTAATTCTGAGTCTTCCTCGACTTCGTCTGCATCTAAACCAGTAACATCACAGAAAATTTCACGAACTTTTTCGAGTAACTCTCCGCTCGTTGCCTTTTGAGCTACCATTTCTTTTTCTGCTCTAAGTTTGCTGGAAACCAGTGGTTAGATGGAGCGTAAAGGACGGACACTGTAAAGGGCGCATTTAAGAGAATGCTGCAAACTGTGAACTGTTGAACGATACGATGTGGTCAATACAGTGGACAGCCCACTAATCTATACCTGACTACACCAGATAGGTAGTTGGCTAAGTCTGCATTTGTAGGCTTACTCTTTGCGAATGCCGCTATTCATCAGAAAAAGTCGCCGGGGTGAGAGGCAGATACAGGGGAATTAATTAATGGGTAAAGAATGTGCCGGCTGTAAATTCACCGATTCACTGGCTACAGCTATACAATTTGAGAATGAGACCACATCAGGCTAATTTTTTTCTTAACTCGTTCGTACGCTATTTAGCCACATTCTCTAAACATCACCCACAGGACATCTTTAAGTTACCCAAGTACAATACTCCGAATGCTGATGCGCTATGCTATGGGACTCTGGATATAGTACGCCACATGTACTCGGTATAGTATACATTTACACTGAAGACGACAAAAAAAAAAAGAGCTCGTCATTTTACCCCCATAGTCTACAAGCTCCAGATATTTACTGTAATTGGTTGGATACGTGCGATATCTATCTCTATTTGAGTAGTACTTTACATGCCCAAGTAACAATCCCACCAATGATATACATATATTCTGCTATGACAAGAGAAGCCGATATTGTAAATACGCGGATGGCGTGTTTGTGACCACCCACTAACAACTATAGCTTCCGTAAAGATGAGCCTTGCACACTTGCTCCTGCAGCGGCTCTTTTCCTTTATTTTTCTCTTTATACCATGCTTTCCCATTGGGGTTTAATTTCCCCATTTTTTCTATTACATCTTGCTTCTAAAGTGTCACAAAGTCACACTACCTATTAATACTCCGGATAAGGTTATATACGAGGTCTATATAATGGAAGGAGCAAGGACTATTGCGTCTTGTATGTCTATATGCGGTATCTTTGATTCAAAATCTTTAGCATGGCCCAATCAGACCTTACACTGGAGAGCCTTGCCGCTCGTGTTGTTGATTTGACAACTACTCTAACCACTGCGCTTCAGGAACGCAACAGTCCGCAGCCATCATTCTCTGAAGATGCCCCCGACCTCCTTTCGCCTGCTCCTGAGGTGCAGGGTCCTCGATTACAGCTTGTCGAAACTCTGACGAGAATGCTACATCTAGCTACTGGGCCAACTGAATACCTGATTCAGCAGTGTCTTTTTGTGAGTTTTCCATCTTCGTAGCTTCCTTAGTTCATCACAGCTAACACCTTTTCAAGCCCAATGCCGACGGACTGATTCTGGACTTTCTCAATCGGTTCGATATCTGGCATCTTGTTCCGCTAAATGGTTCTAGCAGCTATGCTGAGATTGCCGCTGCTATCCAGCTTCCCGAAGTGACAGTCCGTCGATTCTTGAAGCAAGCGCTCACCATGTTCTTTTTCCTTGAGGAAGCGCCCGGGTCAGATCGCATCGTGCACTCAGCAGCATCTGCGTACGTTGCTCGCGACGCCGCCAGGAGTGCATTCATAGGACACTGCATGGAAGACGTGCGTCCCGCTGCTGCAGTCGGAGTAGACGCTCTTCAGAAGTTTTACGTCGGACATAAGACACATAGCGAGGAAGAAGAGCATTGTCCCCAATATTTGGCAAGCGACAGAGGGAAGGTCCGTGGAAAGGCCTACTGGGCGTTTGCCGAGTCGTATGAAGAGCCTGGGAGGCCGAAAGGATATCGTGCCGAGCGATTTGCTTTGGCCATGAAGGCATTATCTCAGACGCAACTGACGGCCCAGGTACTCGAAAAATTTGACTGGGAAAGTCTTGGAAATGCGACCGTGGTAGATGTATGTGGATGTCAATTTCTCTTTCTATTCTTTCTCCTTTTGTCGACTATTGTAACAAGATGACAATGACGTGTGTGCTAATTGATGCTCTTTCACAGGTTGGCGGATCGACGGGTCACATCAGTCTTCTACTTGCAAAAGCCCATCCTAAGCTGAAACTGATTGTTCAAGACTTTCCAGATGTCGAACCCAGTTTTAATGAGGTAATAACTTCAACCGAACACGCATCACGCATCTCATTCAATGCGTACAATTTCTTCGAACCACAAACTCTCACAGCCGATGCCTACCTATTCAAGTCGATTTTCCATGACTGGTCCGACAAATACGTAGTGCAGATCTTACGGAACTTACTTCCGGTGCTCAAGTCTGGAGTGCACATCATCATTTTTGACAATATTATTCCCCCAGATTATGACGAGCAAGGCAAGCCCGTAGTACCGCTCTCGACCCGAAGACTTCTTGGAGCTGTCGATTTACAGATGTTTGTAAATCACAATTCGAAAGAGCGAAAGGCGTCAGATTGGACCGAAGTTGTCAAGCGTGCAGATAGCCGCTTCGACCTGAAAGGATTCTATACCGTGGTTGGATCACCAATGGGAATTATAGACATTGTCTTCAACGCATAGACGCATAGCACGAGATGAATATTGACGTCTTAAGATTTCTCCGTACTTTACACCACCCTCATGCCTACTTATCTCTGCTAGATGTGATATAAAACTTCCACATACCGTTTTGTATAACTACCTGTGTAAGCAATGCCATCAACCTCCCTACGCTCTTCCTTTCTTTTCCTTCCTTTTGGCCTCCTACTTTGATACCACGTGGTTACGTACCAGAGGTCTCGTACCGCGTATCACGATTAATATTCACAACACCACGAATTGGCCAGAGAGCCCAGGCGATTTCATTACCGTCACATTTATTGGATCATCGGCTTGAATCTTATTGCTATTCACCTGGTTCAGTACGTTCTACGGATGAAAAAGCGAAGACTTTTGGCCAGGGATACGCATTGCGGGAGGAAGCATCGCTGAAGCCTCTATCGGAACTCGTTGTGGACGAGCAAAATTTTCTATCAGAGCAACGTGGGGGGTGGGGAATGGCACGTGGATTCGACTCTTCTTCACATCCAAGGCAAGCCTCGGAAATGCAATGAAAAGAAAAAAGCCTGTCAGACGTCCATCGACATCCACCCCGCCAATGCGCCCGAAGGCAGACCATCAACGGGGTCGAGATCATCAAGAGAAAAACAACTCTCTATACAGCAGATGCACAAGGCTTCTGCCGCCATCCTTTCGGATGATTCGAGAGGACCAAAAAAATATTCACTCTTGGATATCGAGGATATACAATCATCAACCAGGGTGGATTCGATGGCTCTTTTGGGAACCAAAGCAAGAGACGAATACTATAGAAATGATTCTCCTGTGGGCGATTTATTAGCAAAATGTCGTTGCAGTGGTGTTGAGCAGTTGGGGGTGCACATACTGAAGTATTGTCGACGTAAAGAAGAAAAAAGAAAAAGAAAACTGAAAAGCTCGCCAGCGAAGCGAAGTTTTATAGGTGACCAGGATAAGTGGGTCTATAGGCTCGGCCCGAAACATTCCGTACCTGCCTCCATAATTCAGGGCAAAGGTACATAGCGGCAGGTACCTACTAGGCAGTACGTACTCCGTACCATGGACCGAGTGGTGGGTTAAATGTTGCTCTCGATATTATCCCGCTATTCACTTTATGAGATGTAGGGTAGCGAAGATGAAGGCTATCAGAATAAATGAAGAGTAGCAGAATAATTCTTCGTGCGCATAGCATACCATGAAATACTATATCTACCATGCTGGCAAAGCTTGATTTATAGGATAAACAAGGCAAAGATTGAAATATCTACTCCGCGTGGCTTAATATCTACGAGTGCCCTAGGTTTCCATCGCCAGTGTCGATGGCTTCTAGGTAGTGTAGGGAGGTACAAAGTATTGCTTGTCACAGCAAGACAGTCATATGGAAAAAATAGCAGGCATAATTCTCGACTGACTCAGGGAATTCAATTCCGCAGCGGATTATTGATCTCAGCAGTACAACAGATGGTAGCAGGCACGTGGTGAAAGTTCATAGTGCGGAGTATCATCGCTTCTCGTCCGATTCTGGCGGAGCGGACGGACATGACGGAGACGCGATCGACAAGGATGAATTCTTGATGCCGTCTTGGTCAGCTCTAGCCCCGGAACAACGCCTCTTTATTGGCTGGATGCTGCAGGGATCGAATTCGGCGACGGCGCGATTAGTCATTTCTCTGGGACCAGCTTAAGTCGTTTTCGCTCTCGCTCCGCCAGATTGGTCTTCGCGACAGAGGGCGCAAGGGAGACTTCGCTTCATGAAGTTGGAACAATGAAGATTTGAATAGTAATTGTATTTGTTTTGCTAGCGAAAGCATACATATGCACTAGGTATTTAATGACTCCAGAGTGGCTAGACAATTTCTTGCTCACAGAGTAAAACAACTTGTCTTCGTTTTCTGCTTCACGACTACTCATCAAATATTACGGAAATGTCTTCCATCTCTACTATTGAAAACCGCACCGCCTTGGTGTTTGGAGCTTCCGGCATCACTGGATGGGCCCTTTTGCGCGAGGCTCTCAAGTATCCCACCACCACGGCGTTTCAACGTGTTATTGGCCTCACAAATCGACCGTTAGACAAATCGACGTCTTTTCTGCCCGAAGATAGCCGCCTTACACTGGCTCATGGCATCGACCTCACCAAGAGCATAGATGATGTGGTTGCCAAGCTGGCGGATATTGAAGGCATCAAGGATGTAACTGATGTGTATTTTGCGGGTATGACTTAGGATCAACCCCTTACCAAAGCATCGTTGTGAAAAGCTAAAGTGAATGCTCTTTTTAGCATATGTTCAACCCGCTGGAGCTTCAGATTTCGAAGGCTTTGACATCCTCAAAGAGGTCAATGTTCGCATACTGGAAACGGCAATTCAGGCAGTTGAGCGAGTCAGTCCAAAATTGAGGTTTTGGACTCTGCAAACTGGAGGCAAGGTTGTTGCGCCCAATTCATCCCAGATTATTTATATAAACTAATCTCCTATTCGATAGTCATACGGTTTTGTGCATGTTCCGCAACTGGGATTTCCCAAAGTCCCTGCCAAGGAGACAGACCCGCGTATTCCTCAGCCATACGAGGATCAAGTCTTCTATTATGCTCAGTATGATGCACTCCAGAAACTTTCTGCTGGAAAGAGTTGGCGTTTTGCGGAGATTCGCCCAGATTTAGTGGTAAGGTCCCTTGTGACTTATGACGATAGCGCTTGACTGATGGAATCTAGATTGGCTTCGTCCCCGGTGGCGGTAATGCAATGAATTATGTCCAGGCTTTGGGTATTTTCCTTAGCTTCTACGCATACCGTGAGAAAAATTCCTCGGGGACAAAGAAACCTCTTCCGTACCCTGGTCCTCTGGCTGTCTACAACAGTCATTACACCGAAGTTGGCCAAACGACCTTGGCCAGAGCGCACATTTTTGCTTCCAGCTTGAAAGAAGCCCCAAATGGCGAGGTTTATAATGTTGGAGATTCTCCAGTCACCAAGGGAAATAATTGGGCCGAGAAATGGGCGTCAATTTGCGACATGTTTGGCCTTGAAGGCATTGCTCCAGAAGAAACGCCCAGTCTTAGCGTGGCCGCATACATGTCTCAACATCGCGATGAATGGGCGAGCTTCGAGACTAAGCATGACTTGATCCCAGGTATTATCGGGAAAACTAGCTGGGAGTTCATGGATGTGCTCACATCAATGCCTATATTCGATCGGCAGTATGACTTGACCAAGTTTGCAGCCACAGGATTTGAAAAGAGCTCAGATGTGTTAAAGAATTACACAGAGGCCTTGGATCTGATGAGGGCGGCCAAGATGATTCCTTAGTTATAGATTCACGGAGCACGGATAACTTCATGAAAACTACTAAGTAGCTGAATACATGGGAATTCTATTTTGTTGATGAGATTATCGACTTAATTGGCTCGTTGTTTCGCCGATGATTGCATTGTGCCCAAAGAATATGAGTGAATGACGAATTTAACCGTGGCTTGGATGGACTATCAGTGGGGTTTTCACTCTAGTGGTAAGCCGTTGCATGGAAATCTCAAAATTTGTGGAGTATTATATGTCTGATGAGATGACTCTGAAGGATTCAGCGATCCTTCATCCAACTTCTAGTTGGTTCAATCAGATCGCTTTCCAAGGTTGAAGGATTCCACCGTATGAGCAAGTCTCACAGCAAGTTGCATGTACTTACGTCAGTAGGATCTGCTAGTGATGGCTGTGAAGTTGGGCGAAACCCGACTTTTTTAATTATTTATTTACTACTAGTCTTGTTATTATTGTGTCGTTAAGAACATATCTTGACTTCAAAACATTTTTGTTTTATCATTTGCATTTTAAGTGCTGTGGAAACGTCGGTTAATTGGAATTCCTCAAAAAAGTTATAGCAACAATGGTCTCCAAGTCATTGTTTCTGGCAACATGCAGTTTTCTGACCTTAGTCGCCTCACTGGTCGCATTGCCGCCGCCTTCATTCCACCAATTGAACCATCGCGAATCGCGTCTCCTTCCAAATCGTGTCATTGCTCAATTTCCCGCCGGCACTTGGATTGAGAATATTGCCGTTCGAGCCAATGGCAATCTCCTTCTCACAAGTTTCCTGCCAGACGCTACACTATACGAGGTTTCTGACTTGGACTGTCTCTCGCCAACCGTTACCCGTCTATTTACCATAGACTCAGTCACCAGCTTATTTGGGATAGTAGAAACATCTACAGACGTTTTTGCTGTTGCTGGCGGAAATTTTAGCCAGTCAACAGGGGGTGTTAAAGGGACATCTCGTCTTTGGAGCATCGATTTCAGACATGGCCAGTCCTCTTATCCAAGGCTGATTACTTCTATTCCCGATGCGGTTCTACTCAACGGCGCGACAACAGTTCCTCAAAGCAGTCACATAGTTCTCCTAGCGGATTCGATATTGAACACTATTTGGCGTGTTGACGTGGTTAAGGGCACGGTGGATAAAGCGGCTCAATTCCCGCCACAGGACACTGCCCCATCACAGCCCGTAACTATTGGCATTAACGGTATTCACATCCACGATGGGTTTTTATGGTTTACAAATGATACATCAACAACCAATCCGTCCACGGGCAGCCCTGAAACCTCCATGTATCGAATCCAAATTGACAAGAATGGATACGCACCTCTCAACACCGCACCCAAGAAAACAATTACCCTACCATCAGAGGCACTGGATGACTTCATATTTGGCCCCGACGACAGAGACATCAAGTGGATAGCTACAAATTCAGAAAACAAAGTACTTGCGGCTGCTCCAGATGGCAGATATGTCCGTGTTGCTGGCGCACCCAGCTCTTTCGAAGTTGCGACGGCAACGGCCTGTCAGTTTGGGAGAACAAGCCGGGATTCGCATGTTCTTTATGTAACCACTGGCGGTGGGAAAATAAACGGCACAACGGAAGGAGGCAAAGTGCAGGGTCTCGATACTAGTGGATTCAGCTTTTGATGCATACGAGTAGCTGCTGGTTTATGACAAATGAGCTGTATACCAGTAGGAGAGGCAGTGCGTCATAGACGATAAATCATATACTATCTGCCATGCATTTCACACATGGAAGTTATGTCCAGAAAGAGGGTAGTCACGAACATCTGCAGAGTAAACTAAGTAGCCTAAGCATTAGTGCCCGTATGTTTGGGGGCCGGAGGTTATTAAAAGATGACAGGATGTTAAAATGTTACACTATTCACCCACAGGTTTCGGCTTCTCGGATATCATTTGGTTTACAGAAACAAGGTGCTACGCTGCCCTCTTTAAGCCCCTGAAGGCAACAGCATTTCTCGCTACGCTTAAGATATGCTATTTAAGATACTGTCACTTGAATTAGTGCGTCAGAATTGGCTATAAGAGAAGAGAGCAAACGAAATACCATGGGAAGGTAGTTAACGCTTGGCTTAGGTCTATAGGCAACTATCGTAAGAGTTAATTGTTTGAGTTACATTAGAAACAATGATTGTGACTTAGCGTATAGACGTTGAAGCAACCTGTATGAAACGGTTAGATGTTACAAAAGAAGAAGTTTTCAGAGCGTAAGACCTAAATCCATGTGGCTTGAGCCGCATGGGACGAATGTCATCCTCTTCTACCAATTCACAACTGACTGGAACCGTGACTTGTGTTTTACCTGATTTGCCAGGCTGCCTTGCTCCTGACGTTGCGTTGGGGGCTGCAAATAGCGTTTCTTGTCTGGCTTGTCTCTGATTCGGCCGCTGGCTCGATCAACACCTGGCAAGCGGCATGGCTGATCCATCACGACACCGTATTTATTTAGCGCTTCTCCACAAGCAAACCAACTGGTGGACAATTCCTGCCATCATGATTCTTTGAACCACTTTGGGGTCGGTCGCCTTTATTTCACAGGGCCCACTGCGTGACTCCGCCTCAGCCCAAGTTGACTGTCAATCCAATGACAGCACAAGAGGGTATGTAAGAATAGTAACAAGTGGTAACAAGTGGCCAGTAGACGAGGACGGCGTCTTGCCATGGATTTTGGTTTAAAAATCCCTCGTCTGATAAGCTGTTAGCTGCGGGGTTCCTGGTTCTGCTAGTGTGCCTTTGCTCTTCGTGAAGCGCACTAAAATCACAGGTTGTGCAAATCCTCCTCTTGACTGTTCAATTGTCTCGAGCTCTCAGCGTTGAGAACTTTGTAATCTCCCTGATGATGTAACTCTTTAAGCAGGTATTGCCCAGAGATTCGGATGATCCATGACCACTATCGACTTGGTTAATTGGGGCATCATTTCGGCGTCCCAGACTCAAGTTACCGGATGAAGGATATTGCATCTTGAGTCTACGCTAACTCGAGGGGCTGATAATAAGCTGCATGATCAGCCCACAGGCAACGAACAGGGGATCATGCGGCCATCGACATAGAGAGGAATCCTACGAATGAGCCATTCAGCTGCATCTCTTGGTGTGCTGTGGAGCACATTATAGGGCTGAATGCACTCTGGCTGTAGCCGAATATGGTGCATTTACCGATATAATGGTGTTGGTTGAAACGATTTAAGAGAGGCTGGGACCCCATATATCACCATTTTGTCCGCATAGTTTGGAGCTGTTTCGTGACCACTTATACGAAGAAAGATTAAATGTAACCTTGCCCGTTCTAATTCTGCTTTTTCTTTGCTTGGTTTCAGTTGATCTTCCCCCTCTCTTTGGCAACATGGCGTCCAACGGGGAGGAGAAGAAGAAGATAGTGCCAGAAGACCTGGAGAGTGATAATCGCGATGTTGCCGACTTGTGGAAGCAAGCCCTCAAGCAGTACAAAGGTATCGTGGGCTTTGACTTGCAGCCCAAGTTCAACAATGTTCAGGCTATGATAGACTTTGGCACGAACGAAATGAACTCTTTTCACAAATTTCGACACAATAGCAAAAAAGTGGACAAGCTCCGCAGCCTTTTTGCTGCCAACATCGATTACATTGAGAAAGGCGCCCAGCAGCTGATCAGCGCTGCTGTTCCTGCATTTCCTCCAGCTGCTGCTATTGGCACGGCTATTACATATCTTCTTTCAGTAGGACTCTCTTTGCAAGTATTGCTGTGTATTAGTAGCATTTCGTTGGCTAACGTTGCACCGTACCTCCATAGGCCTGCAAACAAGTTTCAGCCGACTATGATGTCGTCGTTGTGTTCTTTGATGATATGAATAGCTTTTTGGAGCGCGTCGTCATATTAGAGACTCGCCTTCCATCACATAAGGCCTATCAAAATTGTCTCATGGACGTCTTTACGTCCTTCTTGACGTTGACAGGCTATGCGCACAAGTATATAGAACTTGGCCGTTTCAGTAAGTGCCTCTACTTTGAAGTTGTAATTAAACTGCGGCTCTGCTCACATGACATGCAGAGAAATGGATCACCAATTTAATTGAAGGAGAAGATAGCGATTTGGGTGGTGCCCGAAAGAAGATGGACAAGGATCTGACGAGGCTGCAGAATGCGACGGAGTTTGCCATCCTGGGCAACAGCGAAGAACTTAAGAAAATGAATACAGAGCTACAGAACAACCAGGAGGCACACACCAGAATGCTCGAGGAGCAGAAGGAGATTATGTTCTCAATTAGTCAAGATACTGGGAGCATTCGCAGCGATGTCGCCAAGCTACTCAAGGCCTTTACGGAACAGAACGCAAAGCACGATCACAAAGGAAAGCCGTCGACTCAGGATGCAGGGAAGCCAGCATCCGCCAATAGAGTACGAAACAGAATGCCGAATGTTGAGGGAGATGGCCATGAATACACAATCCTGAAAGAGACTCTGATCCCAGACACTTGTACCTGGGTCTTTTCTCAACAAGAGTGGGAAGACTGGGTGAAACAAGACGAAGATGTCAGTGTGCTGAAGCCAGTTCTTGCTTTAGCAGGACAACCGGGTACTGGTAAGAGCCATCTAGCTGCCGCGGTGCACGACAAGCTCTACGACTTGGCAAAGGAAGACTCCAGCCAGCGCACCTGTGTCGCACATTTTTACTTCCGAGAGCAGCGTAAAGACTTGGGTTTCTTCAGAAGCGGACTGATCACCACCATCAACCAGATAGTGGAGCAGAGTGTGCCGCTCTGCGAGAGGATCAACGCAGAGATGGTCCGCGACGAGGTTTTCTATAATGTCTTTGAATGGAGGGATTTACTCCTCAAGATTCTGGGACCATCGTTCAGCAATGACTCTCCAAACCGTCTTTTTGTCCTATTTGATGGCTTGGATGAATTGATAGACTTCCCTCAATTCCTGGAATTTGTCAAGCTCGTCAGACAGGAGAAGTTTAGAATATCGATTGTCGTCACCTCTCGCCCCGACCTTTTGGCGAAATTATCAGAGCAGGCAGAAGTCAGCACCATCGAAGTCACAAAGGAGAAACAATTACAGGACTTCAAGACGCTCGCATGGCATCGAATTAACGATCTGAACTACCTCAAGAAGTTCACACGCTACGTCCAACAGAGAATTGCAGAAAAGGTGGAAGAGGCCTCACCTAGTAAGTCGGGACTTTTGAGACAGTGTGAAGAAAGGGTCTGACACATTTCTTTTTATTAGACTTGTTATATGCTGAGCACACCCTGGAACGACTCAATGCTCTCGGCCGCGAAGGTGCTGCTCTTCAGGTGCTTGCGCTTCCAATGCCAGAGAACCTGCATGGCGTATACGAGATCATGTTGGACGAATGTCAGCGCCGAATGCCTGCTGACCGTCAAGAAATTGCGGCCAAGCTGCTCCATTGGATTGCGTTCTCATATCGTGTCCTGACCCTTGATGAAGTAACGTCCCTGCTGGTTTATCTTTCTAAAGACGACAGCTTTACACTCGAGGAAATTCCCGAAGTTGCATCCAAGTTTCTCCAGATTGGAGACCCCGCCTTTGAAGCTCAAACGCGAGAAATAGCTCATAGAGATACTTCTACTGGTTCTATCGAGGACCTCGAAAAGGCAGAAGCAGCATCCGATAACCAAGATGATGTCTATAATGATGGCGCATTACCTGTCAAGTTCAAAGAGAGGTCAATGCGTGCATTCTTTAGGGATGCATCTGATGTAGACTCAAAATGGCATTTGAAAGCATCAGAAGCACATCGCCAGATATTTTTGGCCGGCGTTGACCTGGTCAAGCCGGAACCCCTGGGGCCCGGCCACCCGATCAAAGAAGGTCTACGGCTATACGCTGCCTATCGCCTCCTCTCGCATTTCGTCGAGCTCAAGTTGGAGGAGCACACGCCTCAAGAGAAAGTAGAGGTTATGGAAGGGCTTGCTATGGCTTTATCACACACCGACTTTGCAGATACACTCAGTCGCACGGGAATGACATATAACAGGGGCATCAAAAGTCTTGTAAACGACAGAGTTGCTCTCTGGGCCGAATCCCTCAAAACCCCAGAAATTTCGTCTCTCTTGAGCCCTGATGCAGCTGCATGGTGGGCAGATGTTGCCATAGATTCCCGAAGGTGCAGATATGGGATGGTTAGGGGGTACGTTAGCCGCATATATACTGCGGCGAACCTTGAAGAAGTATTAAGTGCATATAAGCTTCTCTATGGACTTTTGGGCGTAGTAAGTTTTCGCTGGCCGTATTCCGTTCTTCTTCTTCTTCTTCTTCTCGGATATTACAGAGACTCTTAACTGATGACATCACAGTCTGGACTTGATGAGCTCCTTGTTGACAAAGCTAAAGCCAACTTCCCAGACGAGGTTTCGGCACCAGCAACATCAAGCGATGATCCACCCACTGACGATAGTGGAAATGCTGCAAATCATGCCACGGGAGAATTAGGGGAAGAAAAGAGCTCATTGGGTTTGCCAGGAATCTTCAGTGATCTCGAGATGGACGGAACGGCTTACCGAGCTGTGGGAGAGCTATTCTTCCATTATAGCCATTACAAAGCAGCTGATTTGATGTGCAAAAAGGCATATGATATCTGTCATTCCGGAGACGACAATGTGGAAAAGTTCAAGATATCAATTCTGCACTCCAAGGTCCTGTTGAAGCTACACGAAAAAGACAAGGCTTTCGAAACTATTTTGGAGCGTGTCAAGGACATTAAAACGGTCGATGTCCCTACGGCCTTGAAGCGCGCAGCTCTCTTAGCAAAGGCTGAAGTTGAGACAAAGCTGAAGATGCGACAAGCCGCAGCCGAATCTTACACCAAGGCAAAGTCGATCGATCCAACTGGAATGACTACGGGAGATGCTCTTGTGAAAGAACTTGAGCTTTTCGAGAAGGTTGATGATTACGCTGGGTACTTTCGAACACTGAAAAGTTGGAGCCCTATCGATAGGCTAACTTGGATGGCATGGAACTATTGCTATGATGGCCGTGAGCGACACGACCAGCTTCGCTCTCTTGCAATCAAAGAGGGCGAAGCCGACTTTCTCATCGAAATATATAAGAACGCCATCCAGTTTCTTGATCGGCTCAACTCTGGCGCCCCATTGCGTCTTGAGTTGGCAGTGACGTACTTTAGGGCAGCAGGGGACCTTGAGAACGCTCGCAAATATTTAGACGAAATATTCAACACTACATCCGGCGGATACCCGTATTCTATTACAGACGAGCAACCTCAAACAATGCTCCAAAGGGCTGTTGACGTTATGTCAGACGTTCTGTACGAAATTTTCCGCAGCTCTCGCGATCCCAAAGTCAAGCTAGAGGCTCTTGAGGCACTCAAAGGTCTAATGGATAGGCCACTCTCTTTATCTGTACCGATCTATACCGCTCTAGACCTTGTACATCGTCGCATCGTTATTGCGTCAATGTGCCTGAAAATGGGTCAAGGTAGCGAGTTCCAGGAGCGACTCCAGAGCGTTTTCAATGACTGCTTCGCCGGCCTGAGCGATAAAGTCTCTTGGAACGATGGGCAAAATTTGGAAAAGCTGGGCCATGCACTTATGATACTGAGCAAAGCCGTTCCAGAGGGGCAAGATATCCAGCGATATGCACGAATTGTGATATCAGCCATGTTTTCCAAAATCACGACTGCTTCAGACGAGGAAGACGGGTTGAGCTCCGAATCGGATGAATCCGGCGATGAAGAAAGCGACAGCAGCGATGATGAAGATGATACACCGCCCGAGGGAGTGGTACCTCTTGCTAGAGCTGGTAGAGTTGGCACGTTTGAAGGAATGGCAGCGTTCGAAACCATGAACAGCCTCAGGAGTGGAAATAAATCATCACCAAAAGATGAAGGAGACCTGGGCAACCCCGACATTGTTGTATACAGCTGCGATGGAGGCATCTGCACTCCCACAGCTGGGTACGCCTGGTGGGGAGATTCTGTGGTTCATTACTGTGCCGAATGCTCCACCACATTGGTTTGCGAAATCTGCTACAACGCGAGACACACTCCTGAGAAGGTTGGATCGCCAAATGTGATGCATTTTTGCGACAAGAGGCACAATTACATCAAGTTGCCTGTGGAGGGCTGGCGAGGCATCAAGGATGGCGTTATGAGGGTGGATGGAGAGGAGCCAGTGAAGTTTGAGAGCTTTCTGAATCGCTTACAGAATGAGATTTGCAAGGATGCTTGGGATCGGTTCTGGACCGGCGCCTGAGGGGCTGACGAGATACGATGTACGAATTATGGACGGTTTTGGTTATTATTCCAGTGTGTGCACTCTGATACGTATAGTAAATACAACACCACTCACACGGTTTTCTTAATGTAATTGAATTAGACCGTAGACTACTGGCATTTGGCTGTGAACAAAGAAGCCCGATGCTCCGCATCTCGCCCAGCTAATCTTTAGTGCCAGGCTACCTGCGCAAGGAGGGGGTTTCTGAACATCTCGGTGCTAAAGCAGGAGTTGGCATTGGGAAAGATTTCTGATAGACCGTATTTGTTCTTTCTTGGAAATTAGCATGGACGAAGTTATTTCGCAGCGGAGACTTTCTTCAAGCCAAATATCGGCAAGAAATAAATTTAAGCTTATAAGCTTATCTTACGGAAGCGGGGGGTTGCTTGTATTGGAAATATGTTTTGACGGGCTCTCCAATGACCAAATAAATCACCCAATTCCCCCCCGCCCTGAGCTGGAAGATGTTAATTTGCCTTTTAAATTATAATCACGTTAACGTAGATGTTGTACTACACAGCTCAATGTTCTCTTCCACAGATGAGTGCCTGTATATACAACAATGGCCGTCACCGCGTTATTGGGCCTTGTTTCACATATACTAGATGGGTTTTGACGCTTGAGTGCGCTAATATACCATCTCCGCTCCAGTGCCCATAATAGGAGTACACGCACTGCAAAAGGTGGTCACCGCCAATTGGGAATCATGGTTCTAGAGTCTTCTGTTGGATTCCTGTATTTGTGTACGGTTCCTGGTGGTTGTAGTTAATGGTTTAGCTTTTTCTCCGTAACCTGCCTGGATACCACTCGCATAGGATGCAATAGGCAATGTATGCTACATGAAATATGCCGAGAAACGTTCCACGACGACCTGTCATGGGTAACAATGATTCCGTGTTTGTACATATAGTAATTCGTCCGATGTTTTTGAATCACGGGTTGTTCGGCTCGACAAGAGAGAGCCATCTCTCAGGTAACATTCCGTGGAGTCCGTATAACACCTTCTAGCAGGAAGAGGAAGGAAAGACGTAGAGACTGTGATCGCAACAGGGAAGCGAAATGGACATCCTTGCTGGCGGCACAGTCCTCACCGACAAGCATGCAAATCTTGAACCTAATCGGATGTCATGTCAAGAATAGAGTGCTCCGTAGCGGCGCCAAGATCTGCAAGCACGCTTATTTCTCTCCCCTGTTTCCGTCTGAACACCTGTTGCTTGCTTCGTGAAGTGCTCTTTTCAGTGTAGCGCGCCGTCAAGCTCGTATAAGCTTTCGGCCCACGGCTGGCTCAGGTCTGGGCCAAGGGGGCGCCCCCGCGTAACGAATACGGCTACTACGTTACAAATGTGTCCCAGAGGCAATTTGTGTCCTGATTTTCCTCCAATCTTACCCAATCGATTCCTTTGACCTTCCCTTTTCACTCAGCAACACCAAGCTTCAACAGGTGATGGTCAATTTAGATGCATGTCAGCGTTTCAACGATGAACTCGGCGGCGATCCGAAATGGCGGTGGTAGAGTAAGGTTAGGTAAGGTGGCAGGGAGAGCTGATCTGTCAAGGTGTTAAGACAAATGGAAGGGTTGAAGATCAGGTTTGAAAGGGTATAAATTGTACGAACCATGCTCACACAATCTGTTTGTTTGGCATCAGCCAAGAGCTTCTTCCACTCTAATAAACACTTTTCGCTACTTACAACTCATAACTCATTAAAATGCGATCCAACGCTCTTCTTGGCCTCGCTGCCTTCGGCACAGTTGCCTCAGCCTTCTCACTCCCCGCCAACCTCAAGACCATCTACGACAACCACAAAGTAAGTCATATCCACACCAAAGGGCTAGCGAGATTTGTCCCTCATACTTACTGTTCTTTAAGTCCGGAACGTGTGCCAAGAAATTGTCGGGCACTTTTAGTGGTGGAGCTTCATACTGTGGTGACCTTGCCGGTGCTATCTTCCTCAAGGGAAGTTCTGGCAACTATGACAACCTCGACATCGATTGTGATGGTGCCAACAACTCGGCTGGTGCTTGTGCCAACGATCCCAGTGGCCAGAGCGAAACTGCCTTCAAGGATACCGTGAGAACATTCGGCATTTCTGATCTCGATGCCAATATTCACCCGTACGTCGTCTTCGGCAATTCGGGCAGCAGCCCCTCTTTCAACCCCCAGTCATCCGGCATGCAGCCGCTTAGTGTCATGGCTGTTGTGTGCAATAACCAAGTTGTAAGTTTGGATATCTTATTTTGCTCTATCATAAGCCAGAAGCTGATACAAATCGCCAGTTCTATGGTATCTGGGGTGATACCAACGGTGGCACCTCCACCGGAGAAGCTTCCCTTGCTTTGGGTAAGCTTTGCTTTCCTAACGAGGGCCTTAGCGGTGATAACGGCCATGATCCCAAGGACGTTTTGTTCATTGGATTCACTGGCTCCGGAGCTGTGCCAGGCAAGAGCGGTGCAAACTGGGCGGCCAAGAACACCAATGACTTTGAGAACAGTATCAAGGCATTGGGAGACAGGCTTGTTGCTGGCCTCAAGGCTTAAATAACGGTGCCTTGGCAGACGAAAAAATCATGAGATACGACCTGAACAGCACATCACGCAAATATGAGTACATATTCGGCTACAGTATATAGTTCCCGACCCAAATACATACGAATGAAATGCTAGTTCGATCCCAATCGGTGTGCTAAGAAACATTTGTGGCATGTGACGAAAATAAACTACGCGGGGGAGAACTCAGTGGACGAATCGGATGCATTCTCGCAACACCCGAGTACTATTTCGTCCTCTGCTACTATATGACACGAGCCATTAAATCCCAGGTTATTACCGTCTCGCATCTTGCATCATATGTTCAAATCTGGGGATCGTGAGAGCTATTGGTGCGCATGACCTTCGTATCGCCATTGTGGATTTTGCGGAGATCAACTCCAATAGTAAACGGCACTGGTGGTTTTATTTCCCCCAGACTGCCCCATTGTCGAGTCAGTCCCGCAGACGCCATTGGTGCGCATAACCGACCAAACCTGGAGAGATCGACAGACTTGCCGATGGGGTTTGTTACTCTGGCGTAGCAATGATGATTGAACGTAAGCAAGAACAAACTGAGCATGTCTTTGCTGCACGCTTTCCCCGTGGAGGACCCCATGATTGCCGGGTTTTTGCGGCAGATCTCAATCGGACAATGACCGGATGGCTCCGACGAAGCGTTTAAGCGTCAGTGCTGGCGAATGGGGATCGTTGTCTTTCACGATGGAGCTCTCTTTTGGATACCCATTGACTGAATTTGGCATTCAGTGCTGCCTAAATGCTACACGGGATGCCGATCTTCGGCTTCCACGATGATGCGCAAGTATATAAGATCCTCACCAAGCATTCCCTCTACGGAGAAGGAAATGGATTGAGAGGAACCCACATACAGCCATTGTTTTCTGCGCAATTGACAGCATGGCCAACCTCACCGGGCCGCTGGCCAAATACAATGTGGCCCATAAACTTTACAAAAGCTCCCTTCTAAATTCCGTCTGCCTTGTAGCGGGGTTATCAATTTTCTTCTTCGGTTATGATCAAGGATTGATGGGCGGCGTCAATACGGCGCGCGATTATGCTGAGCGCATGGGCTTTGGTCACTGGGATGAAAACCAGGGTATTGTTGTTGTCGATAAGCCCTTGTTACAGGGAGGCATCGTTGCCGTGTATTATCTCCCGGGGACTCTATGCGGGTGTCTCCTCGGAGGCTGGCTGGGCGACCGCTATGGCCGTATCAAGACGATTGCTTTGGCATGTGCTTGGAGCGTTTGCGCTGCTGCTCTGCAGGCTTCAGCCATGAACTCAAACTGGATGTTTTGCGGTATGCTACAAAGAGATCATTTATAGGCAGATCCTGTGTTATAGTGCTTTGACTGACTGAAGATATGGGAAAGCGCGTGTGCTTAACGGTGTTGGCACTGGAATTTTAAATGCGATTACACCAGTCTGGGCAACCGAGACCGCTGCTCATACCTCTCGCGGACAATTTGTTTCCATTGAGTTTACTTTGAACATCCTTGGAGTTGTTGTAGCATACTGGCTAGAATTGTTAGTAAATTCTTCAGAGGTTCTGTCTTTTTAGCAGCTTTGCTAACATGAGAACAGTGGCACATCCAAATACCACGACAACACATCCTCATTTATCTGGAGATTTCCCGTTGCCTTTCAGATTCTCCCTCTGATTGCGCTCTTCATTGTCATCTGGTTCATGCCTGAATCTCCGCGCTGGCTCGTCAAAGTTGGCCGTGAAGAGGAAGCCCGCTTTATCCTAGGTCGTCTTCGTGGCAACGAAGGCGAGGATGGCGTCAAAATGGAAGCAGAGTACCAGGATATCATTAACATTCGTAACCTGGAAGAAGATACTTCCAAGCAGCAGGGTTATCTTCAAATGTTTTTCGGTATCGGTTCTGGAAAATTGCACACTGGTCGGCGCGTTCAGCTTGTTATTTGGCTTCAGATTCTTCAAGAATGGATCGGTATTGCGGGAATCACCATCTACGGTCCTGAAATCTTTACCATAGCTGGAATTAGCTCAAAGGACAGGCTTTGGGTCAGCGGTATCAACAACATCACATATATGGTACGCCAGCCAAGTATCTGTGTCCAAAAACTAATAGATACTGACAATATGCTAGTTTGCCACATTGATCTGTGTCTTCACCATCGATCGCATCGGCCGTCGTTGGACCTTATACTGGGGAGCAGTTGGACAGGGCATATGCATGTTTGTCGCAGGTGGCCTCGCTCGAGCTACGATCAATGCCGAGGGCAAAAGTAGCCAAAGCCATATTGGCGGCGCCGCAACATTTTTCGTATTCCTTTATACTGCGATATTTGGTGCTACTTGGCTTACTGTTCCTTGGCTCTACCCAGCTGAGATTTTCCCCTTGCAAGTTAGAGCCAAGGGCAATGCTTGGGGCGTCGTTGGCTGGTCCATTGGCAATGGTTGGTGTGTAAGTTTTTTTTCCCATCCTTAAAACTTTTATTTTCCTGAAGCCATTGCTCATCAGCTTCCTAGGTTCTGCTGCTTCCCACCATCTTTAAACGCCTTAACGAGAAAACTCTCTACATATTCGGTGCTGTCAATGCTTTATCCATCCTTGTCGTCTGGGCGCTGTATCCTGAGTCCAATCAGCGGACGTTGGAAGAGATGGATCTCGTGTTTGCCAGTGACAGTATCTGGGCCTGGGAAGCCGAACGCAATTTTGCGAAACTGAAGACGGAGAATCCTGACCTTGTTCAGAGTTCAGGACCAAAACCTGGAGTTGTAGATGTTGAGCACGCCGTCGCACCCAAGGAGTAAGGGCCGATGGAAACTATACAGTGTCTGTGGCTGTGAATCCTTTGTTATTGCTTCTCTTACCATTTTCTGAGGAAGACCACATATGAAAGCCAAGGTCATAGATATAATAGAGTTATTGATAGACCATTTATGATAGCATTTTTGGGTACTATAAATCAGCTTCTGTACATTGTAGAGACCCAAGAAGCATCTCATATACTGATGAGCATTGAAATGGTCAACGCGGCCAAAGAGTAAAAGTCTACATGATATGAATACAACCTCTATGCACTAAATTTGAGACAAATTTTATAAAATTTCTAATAGCAATGCACTCTTGTACTCTCATATAATTGTAGATTTTGTCTTTTGTCTTTTATATATAATGACCGATAATATGCACTGCAGCTGATGGTCTACGTTTATTCTGACCATAGCAAGAGTCTCTCACTTCTTTGTCCTCAGGACTAGGTATTGAAGCTATCCTACCAGCAAAATCCAAGCGATATATTTAGGTTGATCTACGTTTTTAAGCCTGAAGAGTAGCATACTCATGCATCTTATGGTCATATTTGAGGGAAAGTATGGAAATTCTCCTGGTGTCTATTACAGTAGGTTTATATTCTTTGGATAGTATAACAATGTTATAAGAGTATTCTCAGCAATTCTATTCAAGCTGGGGTAAACCTGTCCTTGGCTTGGCTGCAACATTGAAAAGGCCATCCACCTCCTGTAACTTAACAACAGAATCCATCGCTGAGGGGACTACTACATCAGGTTAGCAAAACACAAGTCAACGTATCATGAAACCTAGACAACTCACATTTTTTGTCATAGATGATTTAGCAGAAAGCCCGTGTATCCACCAAGTAATGAGTCTCAAAGTCACAGCAAGCTCCTGTAGCACCACATGTCCGGGTACATGTCGTGGTAGTGCTAGGGTGCATGTCGACCACGTAGTTACCATGACCCGTGTTCCAGTGCAGGTATTGGCAGTTCTCTACCCAGGCACTATTGACAGCGCCACTGATTTGCATGTCACAATGAGCAAAGTTGCTGCAGCTCGTATGGCCAGATGCTTGATTGTTGTCGTTGGCGTTGATGCTGACGTAGGGATCAATGGAACCCGACTGGCATGACCCTGAGATGGTAAGGCAAGCCTCGGTGGCAGCAACTGCCAATGAAAGAATTGATAAGAGACCCTTCATGGTGTTACGGAAGAAGGAAGATAGCGGTAATTGAAGCTTGTTAAAAGTGGTGTTTGATCAAGGTGTTTGACAGTGGGTTATTCGGTGGTCTTTACTTTGGTTCTTATACTTTTTCTCCTTGGGGAGAAAATAACACTAACGCAAGGAGCAGGATTCACATCAACGATTTATTGGCCAGCAATTGTCTTCCTCAGAGATATTTCAGTCACAAACCTGCTTGGTATAGTTGGGTTACACTTCATTATTCCCTTGTATCGACCCAATTGAATACAGAATTACCTGTTTAGCACCCCAGAGCGGCTTCAGAAGCTCCCTCTCGGTGCCGAGTTGATATCTCTACTCTCCGCCCCCACAGGATGTTACTTCGTAATACCAGGCCAAGGCAATCCCGCTGGCTAAATAAGGAAGGTCAAAATCCACACCAATGCACTCCGCACATCCCTATTGGTTGGTAGGCCCGATTTCAGAGTGCAATTTTATTTTTGGATAGGATTTAGCTAAGTATACAAACATGCATAGTTCAGCTGAAGACACCGGGCGATAATCCGACGTATGCCTTTAAAGATGCTATACTTGACTACAAGGGGATCTAATTTTCCTGTTGCGGTGATACTTAGGCAAAAGAGCATAACTTCCCAGTCGGTCAATCTGAGGATCATTGAGCGCAGAGGGCTATACCACTCTAATATACGCAACTCTGTTGTGGGTGGCTCAGGGTCATGCGTTAGGTGCTAGCAAGCCTGTAGATACAACTCCAAAGTTTGTGTGCTTTGAGCGCTGACTACTACAAACATCAATCCTAGCGTCGTCATCACTGGACCATTTACTTCAGAATAGATATGCCGGTATTATACGTAGAGTAATAATTGAATGGAGAAGAGACAGAGCAATGGAAAGCGGCTATATATAGGAACGAATAAAATTTAAGTGCTCTAGAGAAGTTCTTACCTGTTGCTAGTACATGTATATATAGGTAGGCTTTACAAGCTGTTTCACCGGGCATGTATAAAGGATTTAGCATCTTAGTGCTAGCTGGCTCTTGCGATCACGGATTATGGCATGTTTCGGGGATTGTGATCCGACATTCCGACATACAAACTCATATATTCTGCCTCGCTACACTGCATATGTTACATCCAGTTGACCGTGATCCCAAGATTCCGTTGCTCTGTAATTCTATGCTTCACGTGATGCTCGGAATATACGGAGACCGCATCACATAAGCTAACCCATCAGCGGCGGAAATATCCAGCTTAGCCATTTAGAGAAAGCGTTCTCTGAACCAGGGCAGAGTGGCAAATCTCATACTCCGAATTGCCCTCATATTGTTGGGGTTCATTTAGTACTGCACAGGCAAAAGCAATGACAGACCCAGCTATCGATGGCTTCCAATTCATTCTGCACGCTCCTAATGAACGACTTTCGAAAGAGAATCGTTCCAAGATACGCAGGCATGCTATGAAAGTAGTGGGGGCGGCACGCCGTACACCAAACGACGCGTCGCATAGAGAATCCGCCAAGTATTACAAAACTCACCGAGGCATGGAAATGTCAAGCTTGTTACCTCCTATGCCACTCTCTGGCCTGGAGCTGCTGGTGAAAGATCAGGGTTTGGACCCCTTCGATCTCTCATCGCTCACAACTGTTCATATAGGGCCTATGTATGTTGTCGGTCGAAGAATCTCATGAAGAAAGCTGACGGCTTTAGTGCCTCGTCATTACTACAGTTAGATTCCAGCCAATTACCAGGCGTCTTAGCATACAGACAATGGTCCTATTTCTCTCTTATACCACCACGTTTTGGACATGTGGCTGCGCTGGATGATGCGTTTCAGTGTCTCGTTACAATTACACACTCACTTCTTGTTCCTAACCATCGGCAGAGTGACAGAGTCATTCTCCAGCAATACGGGAAAGCGCTCCAAAGTCTTCAGAAAGCAGTAGATGAACCGAATAGTCGTTACTACTCTGAAATTTTGTGCGCTACTGGGATGTTATCAATCTTCGAAGTCAGTCAGTTGATGTTGAAACCACTTGTTGGTGAAAGGCTGACATTCTTGGTATCACAGCTCTTGAACTCACCAAACGGACAATTATGGTATCATCATATAGCAGGAGCCTCTCAAATTATACAATATCGGGGCCCAGAGAGATTCTCTTCCGACTTTGACATTGCCTTGTTGTTGTCCTTGGGTTATCCTATAGTAAGTTTGTTGTTTCATTAGGAACATGTTCACTTGTTCTAGATGACTGATCGTAACTAGTGCGCAGAGTCTCTTCTCAATAACAAAAGTTGTTTTTTGGACGACCCTACATGGATTCAAGTCATAAAGAATGCTATTGATGATCGCGAGATTTTTACTGATCGCTCCCCTCTCGGTATAAGGCTTCTGACACTCATGGTAAGAGTACCTGGCCTTGCCAAGAAAACTTGTCACGCGGTGACAATGCAGCATTCTCTACAACCTAGAGATTTTGATGCCGTAGCAGCAAAAGTGCGCATTTTACGATCGGATGTTGCAGCTTGGCGCCGAGATTTCAACATGACCTTGATTCACACTCCTGACACAACAAAGAAAAATAGTACACTTGATACTGATAAACGGTATGAGTTGCTTGGGGTTGCCCTCATCATTCAAATTTTAGTGAGTCGAATGATTGTTTGTATTTCACCAAACGATCGCGGCCTCCTTGAAGAAGAGGTTCAGAGCTTTGCCATTGAGCTCAAATGTCTTCTTGGGTCTGTAAGACATCACCGTCGAGCCGAGTTTTTCCTAACGCAAAAAGTCAAAATTGCTAATGCTGCGCTTGTCACGCATGACGATTTTGCTGCTGCAATTGGATGCGATCGTGTAATAGAGGCGTGGAAGCTAAAGAAGTTTGACAATGCTTTTGGGAGGAAGACATGCGATGGAATAACGTGTTGTGTACTGGAGGAACGATGAAACTATCCAAGGGTAACACTTCCCTTGTCGCGGAGATGATCTTATATCATATATGCTCTTAAAATCTTCATGCATGTTAACCCCCTTTTGTTTTTCTTGACATATACAGCAGGAACCTCCATTGTAGCAGCGACGGAATAGCCTTTCTTGGCCTTTCTCTTTTTATCTTTTTTTTTTAGGTTGCACAGGTCATGATTGTATCATGACTGCATTGTACTACACTATTTGGATACTGTGACCTCTTTTGTGTTACTGACCTGAACAGAGATTTACGAGAAGGCTGTTTATATAGATACAATAAGTATATGCTCTACATGTTGGATATAACGTGAAAGTCAGGGCAGATGGGGTTTATCCGCTGGCAATAGCTAGATAGTTTACTCTTTCTTAGCTCACCCTGTTAATCTGCCCCTATTTTCTGGATGGCGTGGGAAAATGCAATGAATGAGTATATAAACGCGAAAAAAATGCCATATCGCCATAATAAAGTATGATGATTCTCATAAAAACCACTCTAAATGGTTGTGAAATGAGATATGACTTACACGCGGTTAAACTCGTAAGTTTTGCCTTGCCGAGAGTGTAGGGATGCTGGTGATTGCCCTACAACCATTTTTCGTTTATGCGGCTCTAATATTTCATCATAAGTCTCTTTTAATCAGCAGTATTTTTTTTAATCCTCTAAATGTGCTCATTCGGGGCAACGTGCATTCCGACTTCATAACTATTACTAACTGTTTAGTGGTAACTGTTATTCCGCCACTTCTTAACAAAGGCCTTAAGGTAATAAAGTCGGTAATCGCTAGCGTGTCTAGATGTGGCATGTGCTAGGCTGGACCATATGCTTAATTAGGCATTTGGTATTTTGTGGAGCAACAATGACACCCTCGCAACTCGATTCCAGTCATGTACTACAGACGAGAATGATGGAATCAATCTCATGGTCCAAACAGATATAAAATATGGCAGAATCCCATATACCTCGCCAGCATTCAGATTCATTCTATAAGCATTCATCCTACAACCATTCTCCGAAACATCCAGTAACAATGGCACCACCAACTTGGACAGAGCTGCTTGAGGGAAACCGGTAAGCCAAGGTGTTGAGGCTTCACTCTGCAGAAACTGACTCCAGTCTAGCGTCTATGCGGAGACACAGCACAAGCCTCCAGCACTCCTCGGCCAGCCTGGTTTTGAGATACCCTCTGTTATGATCTGTATGAAAGTCTGATATTTTTGGCACGCAACACTATTTGCTAATGCTCTGCAGTTACATGCATCGATTTTCGAGCATCGGCTGAGGCATTCCTCGGCATGAAAGGCGATGGTAGGATTTCACACACTTTAACACTTTAACGTTTTGAAGCAACTATTCTTACACAAATACGACAGAAGCGTTTGTGATTCGAAACCCAGGTGGTAGAATTACCACCGGCCTCCAGTCGCTGCTCTTTGTTGACACATTAACGGGCGGGCAAGCTCTTAAAGATATTGTCATTGTTCACCATCTCGGTAAGTACAAGCATCCTTCAGTGAATGTCTACTTGTTCTAACTGACTGAAATCAAGACTGCGGCTGCACTCATATTACCGACGATATCATTAAAGATGCTTTGAAAGCCAAGAGTCCCGAACTGGGCGCTGAGATTGATAACATTGTCTTTGGCACTTATTCTGCAAAGAATATGCAGCAGTGAGTTGGCCACAGTCACCTGATAATACAAATCTTTGGATATGATGATTCTGACAGAGATAGACACATAAACAACATTGAAACAGACATAAAATTCTTGAAGGATTCGCCACTCGTGAGAGAAGAGTTGAAAGAGCGGGTTCATGCTTACATTTTCGACCTCCAGAGTGGCAAACTAATTGCTGTGCCAACCAATGATTAGTCCAGAAGGAAGAATTGTCGAGTTGCTGATGGTAGTAGAGAGTGCTGGATTGACACGACGAATAATTATTTGAGTTTGAAGTCGGTGGCTAGTTCATCAATATTACTACTTGACTAAAGCCTCTAGTGAAATATATGCATATGTGCCTTTACCTTCCTTGGAATAATTTAAACGCAATGTGACACTGTAATGTGCATTGTGGTTGAGGAGATACATAAACATCCCCCCCCTCGGAGTTGAACTAATGCTGATGATTCGATAAGAAGTCAAGTGAACATTTTATTTAATTACTCTTTCTTCTCGTTTTTAAACTCTGTTGATCGCAAAATTAGAAACAGGTGGAAAATGATGTGATACTAGCTATGTCAGCTTCAAATCGACTTTGGTAAAGATGTAACAAAGCTCTTTGCTGTGTCGAGATGATCGTGAATGTGATCCCGGTTGAAATAAAGAGCCCCGAGCCCAATGAGCCCACCAATGAGAGTATTTAAATAGACCCCATTTCCTGGCTGTCCACTCGCCACTCCTTTGCGAAATGTTGCCGAGGTGCGGTAAGCGAAATCATCCCAGGCAACGAAAATACTCCTCAACCAAAACTTATACTGCCAATCGGGAAACATGATAGTATTCCTCTTAGTATTCCCATCAATGAACCATGACGTGCACCCTGATGCCCAGACGAGCTTTTTGGCCATTTCTTGTACCATTTCAATGTCTCGTTTCTCCGCTGAAGGCTTGACGGTAACAATGTCCCGTGAAGGCCGGCCAACGACCAAGCTTGATGTATCGGTGCGCATGGCATTCAAAATAGGCCTTATGATGCGCAATGCAAGATTGATCTGGCATTCCGTAGTATAGATAACAGAGAGATGGCCGCTGAGGGTATTGGGACCCATCATGATGAAGAAATTTGGGAATCCTGACAGGCATGTTCCTAGGTAGGAAGAAGGGACACCCTCGCTCACTCGATCCCACTAGGTTAAGTAATGTTAGATAGTGCCATAGTAACGATCGCTAGTAAGTATGATTTGCACTCACATGTTCTAGGATGCTAACTCCTCTTTCTCCAAAGATTTGCAAAGATCCAAACGGCTTTTGGGTTTCAAAACCCTGAGCAAGTACAATTGCATCCGCAGGGATAATCTTTCCGGACTTCATGCGAACTCCAGTTGGTACTATTTGTTCAATTGGGTCGTCATATATAAGATTGACATTCTCCTGATGCAGACTCGCGAGGTAACCGGTATCGTTAACACGTCTTTTGCATCCGATTTCGGTCTTGGGAACAAGGAAGTCTCGATACTTTGCGGGTGCATTAGCACGAATGTAGGCGGCAGCATCTTTTGACCAGCCATTGCGGATTTCCGCACCAGTCTCTATGTCAAATCCCTTGAAATCTTTTTCTTGATCCCAGTATAATTTGGCTCTGTAGAGACGCATCGCTAGAGGGACCCATTTCATCGTCCACTTGAACAACGCAGAGTACTCTGGGTTGGGGCGCTCAGCCAGCCAATGTGCTTGTCGAGAGAACTGCGTTACCATTTTGGCCGCTCCAGGGCCGGAGGATATCTCTGGAATTATTTGTGTCGCAGAGCATCCATTTCCTATGATCATGAGTGTGAGGATGTAGCCATCGACTACTTGACAGGGGGACGAGAGATTTACCAATGACAATAAGCTCTTTATCCTTCCAATTAAACGTGTGGTCCCACTGCGCCGTGTGAAACATGTTCCCTTCGAAGCTTGAGGCGCCTGGGATGGTGCATTTTTCCGGGACAGACAGTGTTCCAACAGCGGAGATTAAAATTTTGCTGCGATATTCTGTCACTGTTGACGATTGAAGGTCTCGAACCATGACGCTCCAAGTTCCCATTGCCTCATCCCAAGAAGCTTTCTCGACAAGAGATGCCAATTGTACATGTTTGTGAATTTCGTACTGAGCGGCTACCTCTGTGAAATACTCATGTATTTCAGATTGCAAAGCAAATCTTCGAGACCAATTGGGCTTCAGCGCAAATGAATAGGAGAAGAAATGAGACGGGACCTGCCCCGGCCTGCATGTTAGATCTATTCAAGAAACAGCAGAAAGACATTAAAAACTTACATCACAGCCGCAGCCGGGGTAAGAGTTTACCCACCATGTCCCACCAATATTATCGGATTTCTCAATGAGTGTGAAGCTTCTGATTCCGAATTGCCGAACTAATTGCACGGCAAAACCGACCCCAGATATGCCCGCACCGATGATGAGGATGTCTGTTGTTTGTGACATTTTCGGCAACCTTGACTGAGCAATTTACTTGGTGAAACATTAATTCAAGAAATTGAGGCGATGCGAAAGAAGTGATTAGGCAAAGAAGATTCCTTGTTCTTATATTAAATGTCTTTACATGGTGATTTACATTTGCATCTACCGTTTAGTGTTACCAAGAGTATGCAGTCCAGTTGCGTCACCTTTAGAGAGAGTGCATTACGTGATCTGCGTGCCTCTATTGCCGTAGGAAGAAGGTGAGCCGACAATATCTGGAGAAAGCAGCCATTGACCCTGCTTGTACTCCAATTCTTACCAGCTGCAACGCCGCATAATGAAGCGATTGAGGTACAGTCATGTTGAATACGAAGCAAAGCACTCCTCCGGCTCACTTGCACAGTGTTCGGATCACCGCAAACGGGGTAACTATGCCGAGCAGGCCGGACAGATTTAGCAACGTAGCCGGGCCAATCCGATATCGCATCATGGATATTTCGGTAGCACTGCAGGCTCGGGTAATGAAGTGGCTGCCCGCTAGTGTTATGATGCCCAGACGGCAGTGGAGAAGATGGAGATTGTGGGTTGCAATGGCTGTTTGAAGCAAGTGAGGCGAGGACGTTGGCATCGCAATGTATTTCGTAACAAATTACATGAAGCGATTCCTCAATGAGACACGGCTAATGCAAATTTCTGTTGCCTCGCCTGTAGCCATCTCATACGTTAGATTTGGTTGACCAAGTGCAAGCATTACACTTCCCCATAGCACGAATCATACCATTATTATAGTCCGGAAAGCCAAATTCTTAGTTCCAGTCTCTGGATCTGAGAGGCACTTAAAGCCAAGGGCGTCTCGGCTTAGTTGCCATAAACCTTTTTCTCCTTCACAAAGCTATCGCCATCTTCACCCATCATATCCTACGTCGGCATCGATGCCCTCGAATTGCTCAACATTTTCAACTCATTTCCCAAAAAGTAATACACGGATGGTAAAGGCTAGGAACAGGGCAAGTATGCGTTCGTACAGCGGTTGGTAAGTACGTGTATGCCCCATCTTGGAGCATTTGTCTAAAGTGTAACCATAGCGTCACTTGCCGGCATCGAAAATTGAAGTGCGATGAAGAGAGGCCAGTGTGTCAAAATTGTACCAAGAGCTCACGCGATTGTCGCTACGTCGAAAGAGCTGTCTTCCGCACTTTCGACAGTAGTGTACTATTGAATGGGAAATTAAAGAACAGCGTAGACACTCGCGAACCGTTTGATGACAATCAAACGTGGTTGAGCATCCCCAGACGTCGTAAGAAAATTCACAGAAAGCATCCTATCCATCAAATAAATGACAGTTTTCTAACTTTAGGCTTAGTCACTTTCATCAATATTGAGGATCCATATGATTACGATTCCCCATCTTTGCCTGAGTGTGAATCAGAGAACCTGGATCAATCAGTGGCACACAACCTAGACGACGAGACAGCGCAAACACCCCATGCTGGCAAGGGTGAAACATCAGATGAGGATAGAGATAATCTCACACACTTCTCAATAGCTCTAAATGGGGATGAATCGCTGGCTATACCTCGATCAAATGATGATTCGCATGACAATATCTTGGCCTTGCGATTACTGCGACACTTCAAAGAAGGACCTGGACAATGGTGAGGGCAGCACTGCAACTCCTTGAATAATCAAAGTGCTAATAGGTTAGGATGGATACTTTTGACACTGGAGCCTACTTCTCACACAAGGTAACAGTCATGGCAGCCACAAAACCCTTGTTGAAATCCGCTGTGTGTGCTCTCGCGGCCAAGCACCTGGGGCACTGTCAAACAAATATGACTCGACGATATGGAGAGCTTTCAGATGAGAGACGTACTATTTTGTCTCCGTTTGATGACAGAGTTGACTGGCATTATCAATCTGCCAAACATTATGGGTATGCTATAAAGCATCTCAAAATCGCTATCAATCTAGGAGCTTTTGAAACAGATGATGCCGACAAGGAAGAATTATTTGCTTCTATAACGATACTGTGCACATATGAGCTGATGGACGCCCCAGGCACGGCTTGGAGCGCCCATCTCAGCGCTCTACCGCTATTCAGCCCAAGACCGGATGCCGAGTTAATTCTGGGCTCTCCCATCACAATTCCGAGGGCTGCTGTGTCGGGACCGATATTCTGGAGTCTAGCTAGACAAGATTTGCTCTGCTCCTGTAAGTTTACTTGCTGTATCACTCACTCTAAACTTGACAGTCCTAATTCTTAGCAGTTATAAGTGAGACGCAGACGCGACTGGATTTGAAAGATATTCGTCTATGGCAAAATGCGGGTCTTGTCACAGACGAACATGGGTCACTGATGCCCTTTTATATCTCCAACGCTGCTGATGTTGAGGAGGATGCAAGAAGTAATGAATTGGTCTGGCTGCTGGGTAAAATTGCGAACCACATTGCCGCTGGAGATGCCCTCGATCCTAAGCACTATGCTCTTCCGCCAGGGCAGCGACCCTTAGTCGGCGTGACACAAGAACAATTGCTGGAGAGATGGAATATCCTCACTAGAGAGCTTCAAAATTGGCGCTGTAGCCTCCCAGCCAGCTTCAACCCGAGTGCCCGAACCACTGGTGCTGAACTGACGCGAGCGGCTGAAGAGGAGGAAGAGATTTGCCCTCTGAACTTTGAGAAGATATGGTACGAAGCGCCGATATGTGCCGCAACCATGCAGAGCTATCACATGGCCTGCATTTTGTTACTAACAAATCAGCCTCAAGAATCCACTGCGGTACGATCGTCTGTTTCTGCGCGTCTAGACTCGTATCGACAAAGTGAGCGTGAGGCTCTCCGCTACGCTCGGGAAATTTGCGGCATCAGCCTGACAAACCCCCCGGATTCAGTGCGCGTGCACTCTGTGCAGGCCCTCTTTGTGGCGGGACAAGTATTTACCGATTCGCAAGACCTTCAGGTGGTGCTCGGCCTTTTGTCCAGCATTGAACGAGACCTTGGATGGACGACAAGCCACCATGCTTCACGAATTGCAGATTTGTTGGCTAGGCGGAGCAGTGATGAAGATCCAGAATGGATCTTTAGCTAAAATATGTAGACAATTATAGCTAAAAGAACTATTGAAAAGACCATTCAATTAAACGAGACAAAAGCGCATCGCGGATACACGCACCTCGTATGTAATGTAATTGCTTCGGTTCACTTGCCTACGCTAATAATCTACGGTGGAAAGTAAGCCGAGTCTAGAAGGAAGGGCTTCCGACTAGCTGCATCTGCCTATGATGCGGGCAAAATAGCTAGGTTTGTTAAAAATTAAGCAATCAGATTATTAGAAAACATTATACATGCAAACTCTTAGAAAGCTCTTTAGAGTTGTAGTATATAAGATAACCACCGAACAATCTTGCAAGGAGAAGGTGCATCAACATTTCCTCTAGACCAGTCGAACAAAATGGCAGAAACAACTTCATCCCAGCGTCTACTGAACAAAGTCTGTATCGTCACCGGGTCTTCTTCCGGACTTGGTCGAGCTATTTCGTTGGCGTATGCTCGCGAGGGTGCATTTCTGGTCTGTGTTGACTTGAAACCCGATGCTCGACAAGAAGTTGAGACTGAACGGGCGATCGACACTGATGCTCTAATACGGCAGAATGGGGGACGAGCTTTGTTCATCAAGGCAGATGTGAGCAATGCCGCTGAAGTAGAAGCAATGGTGAAGGCGACAGTCGCAGAGTATGGTCGCATAGACGTGTAAGATGATGAAACCCCTTGTCGTTTAGACAATTAACTTCAATTATAAGCATGTCACAACTAAACAGTGTTATAGATTGGTCAACAACGCTGGTATTTCTATCGAAGCTGGGAAGAAAGCTCTTAAGGTCCACGAAACACCAGAGCAGTGGTGGGATATAACTATGGCAGTCAATACCAAATCAGTCTTCCTGGCCAGCAAGTATGTTACTGGTCAAATGCTTTCTCAAGACAAGCTCGCCTCTGGAGACCGTGGCTGGATTATCAACATCTCTTCTATCTTTGGCCTAGTTGGCGGTGGATATATACGTAAGATTACTTGCTTTGCTGAATCGTACAGCGTAGAAGACAAAGACTAACAATGTTGGCAGCATGCTACGCAGCCTCTAAAGGAGCGGTCGCGAATTTGACAAGGCAGATCGCGATGGACTATGCTGAAGATGGCATTCATTGCAATGCCATTTGCCCTGGATGTAAGTAATGCAAATTTGCACATTCATGTGAATCTATCAATTGGTTGCTGATACAGTTTCGGATAGATACTGCAACAGCCATCTTTGTGAACACGACCCAGGTTCACGATGCCGAGGAGATTAGACGGCGCCATCCGCTGCATGGTATTGGTATGCCGGATGATATCACCGGAGCTGCTATTTTCCTCGCAAGTAGTGAATCTCGATGGATTACAGGCGCTATGCTACCAGTGGATGGCGGGTTTACGGCGCAATGATGGTCTATCGAGTTATGGATTTAGTGTATGATGATGCCATCAAGCAAATGATTCAGGCACAGTGTATAGATCCTCACTTTAGATGTGTGCTGGTATAGCTGGTGCATTGATGCATTTATCCTGTTTTATTAGAGATAGAGGAATGCCTTTACTTATTATGTTATGGCAGACAGAACTATATGCAGCAATGTCAAAAAGCGACCAGTATTCGGATATTAATGGGTGCGCAATTGACCAAGACTTCCTTAGAAACCGCCACATCAGTATTATAAAAGACCATGTCAACTGGAGATTCATTAATGGGAGAGAGATAAAATATTATTAGTAATAGGTACTATAACAAACTCCGAATGTATCATCTGTACGCCATCTTCTGCCCGTCTATATAAAAAGCAAGTAACAAATCCTAAGATATACCAATATCCATTCTACATACCAATATCCATTCTATACCCATTACCCATCTATAACTTATATACTCTTGAGAAAGGTACAACTAGAAGAAACGGTCAACTTAGGCTGAAAGTTTGCAGCGGATCGAGAGTATGCTAATAGCTGCGCCGCCGTTGAGGGATACCTCATCAATTCCAAAGGGGCTTCCAACTGCGACAACGCCATTTGCGTCAGAGAATGCCTGGCAGGTGGCATGGCTAGAGCCCTCAATATGAACAATCTCTACAGAGTTGGCAATACTGAAAGAGGCAGCGAACGGCGAACCATCTGCTGGGACCTCAATCTGCCTCGCTGAATCATCCGCTGAGTTGATTTGAACTCGCACAGTCTGGGTAGGAGGAGGAGGAGCCCCAGTACCAGAGCCAGAGCAAACGGTCACTGTGTTGGGGGTTGTAACACAGCAGAAAGAGCCGATTGGAACCGCTTGATCGAGCTGCGAATCAACTGATCCGCTAGATGCGTCGGTAAAGCTGGCCAGTGTATGATCGTCAAAAATCCCGCCAAGTTTGATTGTACCAGCAGCATCGCTGAACGCCTGACAGACGCATCCAGATGTGACGGTTTGCGCATTCACACCAGCGTCGACCTGCCGATTGTTGGCGGTGGCAAAGAGGGTGTTGGCCGGAATGCTAGCACCGACGGATGCATCACCGTCGCCATTCTTTAACTGGATGAAACAGCTTCCATCCTGGCGTGGGAGGTTGGTTGTAGGAAGAGCGCTGGCTGAGGCCAGGAGAACGGCAACCGAGCCAACGGTGGTCAAGAAGGATTTCATGTTGTATGTGTGAAAGGGGGGGAGTGTTGACTTTGTAGATGAAAGATGAAGTTTGTGGGATACAATTGATGATGTTTATGTAGCCTGATGTGATGGAAAAGTGATGTAGTAGTAATGAGTCAAATGAGGTAATGAGGATATTCTGATTCTGAGTGTAGAACATTGAAGGGTTATATATCACTGAAGTCGAACTCCATTCCTCACATTGCCACTACAGCCTCATGACAATAAACATATTTAGAAGACTATTCCTCGCCCAACAACTCGGCTCATACCCTTCCGTAGCTTCAGCCTCGTCCTATCAACCAGCACCGCCTTCAACTAACTCAATGGGTGCCAAAATATGTTGGCTTGAGAGATCCATTCACAATCCGTTGGTCTGTTGGTTGAAAGAAACACTAAATTTAGCAACAGTGGTTCGATTTAGCGTTGACAAGAGTGGCGACCGACACCGGCTTAGAACGCTCCGGAGCAAGACAAAAGAATTCTCAGTCCAAGCGCCAGAATTAGTTATTAATAACAATTGAACTGATTCCTATTGGCCATGCGACAAGCAATTTTTGCGGCACCTGTCATAATCAAGCGGGTATCAGCTATGATAGCGCATATAGGCAGGCGTAGAATAGCAGACTAAAGGGTATTCATGTATGCTCTTATTTATCGTACTCTGAACATGTGTCATCATCACTTGAGGTTTGCTGCAGGCTTCACAGTTTAGGAGGCACGATTGTTCATATAAACAATATTATCATCATGTGACATATACACTACTTAGAACTGTGCGACGGTCAAATGTTTTGATGCTACATCATGCTCGCAAGAATTGTGACTGACGTTCGCCAACCACAAGCATTTTGAGAGTGGCAAACAATCCTTGGACCAGGATGGGGTCTCTCTCTTCAAATACTTACGGATGGTCATGCGATAAATAGATTGTCCGTACTGCTGCCAAATATAGCCGGCATCACATTACCAACCCTGTTGAAATTTGGAACAGGAATAATATGTGCTGAGACGAACATAAGCAGTTGACAAATTATTTGACGCCAAATCTCCCAACGATAGAGGTTCTCATGACTATTAGCCATACGAGGCATTGAAGACTTCTGGTGTTGAAGTCACCTTTAACATCATCTCCAATTGCTGGTTTTGGTCTTTATATACTCGCTATCGATATGTCGTAATGATCTGTCAAATTGCGCGATGGTACGTTCGTGATCTCGCACTAGGATCGCGTCAAACTGCAGTTCGGCACGCAATCGCGGGGAAGACACCATCTTTTATCATTGATATGAGGCAACGCCGATAAGCCGTAAGTCCGTACAGAGAAATAGAGTGACCACAGAGAGAGTTGCTGCGAAAATCGCTGGCCTTGGCAGCCGACTTCCGTAGTTCAGCTGCTACACGCGATGCTAGGATGCGTGATATGAAAGGATCTTACCAATCAATATATGATAAGACATGCACAATATCAGGGGATGGGAATGATGTAATTATAGGCAGTGTTGCACAATTGAATAACAAAAGACATTACCACACTGGGTAAGAACTATATAACTCATTGTCGTATATAATAAGTGACGCATTCTCGCCCTCTAACTCATTGGAACATTGGCAACGTGGTTCAAGTCTTATAACCCACATCACATCGTAGCATATTTCCTCTTGATATCTGTCAAAATGGCACCATCCGTCACAGAAACCGTCACAGAAACCGTGACTCAAGTCACCGAAAACCTCAAGCAGAAGCCTGCTGCAAGTCTCAAGGATCAAACCGAGCCAAAGCTTGAGACGGGCCATCGGGAGCCCTTGAAGCTGAGCGGAGCACTTGACCAATTCAAGCAGTTTGAAGTCACACCAGTGATTGGAAAGGAGTTTGTGGATGTCGATCTCGCTGAGTGGCTAAGGGCACCTAACTCAGACGAGTTGCTCAGAGATTTGGCCATCACAGGTGCGATTTTGAGAAGCTCCTACTCCCATTTCATTCTATATCCCATTCGCTGACAAAGTCGCAAGTGTCCCAAAGAGGTGTCGTTTTCTTCCGCAAGCAGGACAACATCACCAACGACCTTCAAAAGGAGCTCGTACAGCGTCTTGGCGAGCTCAGTGGAAAGCCCAAAACATCTGGGCTGCACATTCACCCAGTTAACAATGGTGCTCGGGACCACGGTGTTGAAGACAATGAAATCAGCGTTATTTCCTCTGAGCAGGCTAAGAAGATTTATGCAGACCGCTTTCTGAAGACCAACAAGCGCCAGAGTCAAAAGTCACAATGGCACTCTGATATCACTTTTGAGCCCATCCCTAGTGACTATGCTCTGCTGAGATTGACGGAGCTGCCAACAACGGGAGGAGGTACGCACATTTAACAAGCTCTTGATGCTATGAAAGCTAATAGATATTATTAGATACACTCTGGGCTTCTGGATATGAGCTTTATGATCGCATCTCCAAGCCACTGCAGAAGTTCTTTGATGGCTTAACAGCCTACTACGCACAGCCGGGCTTCAAAGAGGCTGCTGATCACAACGGGTTCTCTCTCTTTTCTACTCCTCGTGGAGCCCCCGAGAACATTGGCGATGTTCTTGAAGCTATTCACCCCGTCATTCGTACTAATCCCGTTACTGGGTGGAAGAGTGTCTTCGCTGTCGGCCATCACGTCCAGCACATTCACGGCCTTTCTGAAGACGAATCCAAATATTTCTTGGACTGGTTCGTACGATTGATCGTAGAAAACCACGATCTACAGGTCCGAAACCGCTGGCAAAATGTCAACGATCTGGCCATCTGGGATAACCGCAGTGTCTACCACGCCGCCACGCCAGATTACCTTCACCAAGGACTTGGCGAGCGGACCGGATCTCGGTCTGTCAGCTTGGGCGAGAAGCCTTACTTTGACCCTCAAAGCGTGAGCCGCAGGGAAGCCATTGCATCTGAAAAGGCATGAGGGAATGAGTCACGCAAAGGGAATCGTTGGACGATAAGATCCATATGATGTTAATACAGACGAATTCTAACAATTGAACCAAATAATTCTCATGGTGTGCTTGTGATATGAGTGGGGTACAGTAGAAACTGAAATTAGTGTCCGGTTTTCATTATAGAAACCCTTGGAAGTCTTTCCGAACGGACCAGTTCCGTGGCGTAGTGTGGCTATTTCTATTTGTAAATAGGATTAGCTCTCAGAAAAAGCCTTCACAACAGCCTTCGCTCCCTCAGGATGCGTCATGAGTCGATCCATCTCCTCACCGGCCTTGATGTGATCTTTGCCGCGTTTCAACATATCCCTCTCATATTCCTCTACCGCCTTATTTATATGCTCCAGTCCGTTTTCTTCAATCTTAGTAACGAGTTCCAAAGCATCCTTCATGGCGAGATTGACACCCTCCCCATTGGGTACCGATAAATGCGCAGCGTCTCCCGCCAAAGTCACACCTGGTACCGAGTTCCAACCAAAGCCTTCTGCAGGAAGTTGATACAGCGGCCAGCTGCGGAAATTCTCAGCGTTTCGAATATAATCTCTTAAATCCTCAGCCCAGCCTTTGAAGAAAGAGGACAAGAGCATATCACGAGTGGCTTGGGGGTTGTTCAAGTCCATAGACGTGCCAACAAAGTGCTCGGGGGCAGTGATGCCAAAATAGATCCTGTATGAGTTATCGCCTTGTCGTTGAATGATCATACGGGTTGGCCCTGCTAGAAACAGAGCTATGCCATGACCGATTTTGTCCGTCAGCGTCTTGTGCAATAAGCTGCTTTCCTGTATGCGAGTTTCGATAAAGGTACTCCCTGCATATTGTGGCTTCGTAGAGGTGATCTATAACTATTTTGTTAAGCGTCTAGCTCTTAATGTCGAGGAAGTGATGACAGCCGTACCGCAGCTCGTACTTGGCTCCAGGCCCCATCCGTCCCGACAACGAGCGAGAATCCACCAACTGTGTTGCCATTGGAAAAATGTAGGATGGGAGACGAGTTGTCACCGTCGAAACTTAACTTTGTCAGACGATGAGACCACACTATTTGGTTTTGCGGGATTGACTCCAGAAGGATGTCTCGTAGGCTCCTGCGGTCAATCTCGGGCTTTCCACCGGTCTTCAAGCCGTCTTGTCCATCTTCTGCCTCGCCAGTAGCTCGATGCAACAGCTCTCCATAGGAGTCAAAAAAGCTAACCCGATCGTCCTCCCATCTTGCTTTCTGAGCAAAGACATTGTACAAACCAGCCTCCCGAAGAGCAAGCTGACCTGTTTCTTTGCGTATATCAAGTGAGCCACTAGATACTAGTGTCGCCGCTGACTCTTCTTTTTCGTAGACTGTGAAGGGGATATTCTTGCAGTGGAGGAGGCGGGCCAGAGTGAGGCCGCAAGGGCCGGCCCCGATGATGGCAATGGCACTCTTCATTGTGCAGTGACAAACACGTGAAGTTTGGGCGAAGAAGGGTTACTTTACGAGTGAAGATTATTCTAAAGCCTTGGTGAAGCATGCTTGATATACTTTTCTTATTCAAGCAGCTCTACCTATCTGATGTCCAGCAGGCTTCCGGCTTTGGAAGCCCACCTCGGGTGATGCGGCGCTCGGGGCCGAACCACTCGGGACCGAGTCAATAGGACCCGAGGCCACTAAGGTCCGAGCTATGTACCGTGCAAATGAAATATTGATACCGATGTGGATGACCACTCATACTAGATAGCGTGCATCTCTATCTCTTCATCTCTTTTTCATTAGCATTCTTCACGACAGTCCTCAGCACGCCGACAAAACTACTGACTGTGGATCGGCAGGGAATAGGGGATGAGCTTTATAACGAGGGATCATACTTTCTCTCCGCCTAATCGGATGCCATGGGAACTGCACGCAATCCACCTTTGAGCGTTCCCAGCAAGCCAACTTTTGCTTGCGTTCGCTGCGCTGGGCGGAAAGTAAAATGTGACAGGCATATACCATGCACCGCGTGTGTCAAACATGGAGCTGAGTGCGTGTTTCAACCTCCGCCGCCTCCTCGGAGAAGACGTCGACCCGGGGCAGCTGGACCTTTGATAGAAAGGCGCGAATACCCGCAAACACGCCTTCAAGCGCAAGGCCACAACCCGAAAGGATCACCTAATCCTCCTGATACTAATACTGATTCACGGAGTCACCTGTCGAGTCGGGAAGCTCGCGGCTCACAATTGAGCTCATCAGAGCCGAGCGGGAGTGTCAGCAAAACTCAAGTTATCCAAGGACGAGGGCAGTCAATGCTGATTGATAAGTGAGTTCAGACCCCCAATAATTTAGATTTATTTGCTGAGTCCCCGCGTAGTAGCCTGTGGTCAAGAGTTGTGGAAGAGGTGAGTGTCCTGCCGCGTATCTTGCTTGTGTTGCTTGCTGGTCGCTAACGGCATCATAAGTTTCACGACCCCGAGGATGCTCTGCGGAGGAGTTCAGACGACTCGAGTGATGCAGAAACCCTCAATGATGACTTTAGTTTTGTGCTTGGCGGCTCATCGACATCTCGCATCAAACTCCTTCATCCACTGCCTCAACAGATACATGAACTATGGCGCACTTTTGTGGAAAATGTTGATCCTCTCTCCAAAGTTGTGCATATCCCCACATTAGAAAAGGAATTCCATGAGGCTGCAAATGAAGTAGACACGGTCTCGCGGAGCTTTGAGGCACTCATGTTTGCCATCTACAGCGCCGCCGTCATGTCACTGAGCGACGTTGAGTGTAAGGAACGACTTCACGAGCCTCGAAAGTCTCTGCGATCCAGATTAATGACTGCCACGAAGGCAGCATTATCGCGAGCCAACTTCATGAGCACAGCTAGCCTTGTAGTTCTCCAGGCATTGGTCATTCACATCATCTCAGCGCGAGACATGTACGAGCCGCGCGCCCTCTGGACCTTGACAGGTGTGGCGGTTCGCCTTGCCAACGGCATGGGCCTTGATCGCGATGGAACACTTCTTGGGTTGCCACCATTTGAAACAGAGCTGCGGCGACGCATTTGGTGGTTTCTGAAAGCGCAAGATCTACAGAATGCTGAGCTGTGTGGCCTTCCCAAGTTTCGGGACGTTGGCCTGAGCAGCGACTCCCCAAGGCGTCCCACCAACATCAACGGCATTGAGCTCTATTCGGGAATGCCTGTCTCGCCGGTAGAGTCGGGAAGTTTGACGGACATGACGTTTCTCGCTATAAGATACGACCTACTCTGGTTTGCCGACGCCCGCGTTGCCAGGTTTCGTCATCTAGGCAAGAGTCTGAGCCAGTGGGATCAGGATTTCGCATCCGAAGGTGATAAGGCGGAGGCGGATCAAAGTGTAAAGGAAATAGAAGAGCATCTAGAGAAAAAATACCTTCGGCGTTGCGATCCTTCGCAGCCGCTGCAGCTAATGTCGATGCTGATGGCACGGGCTGCGATAGACACTCTTCGCTTCATGACACACCACCCACGCAGATGGACCAGCATCAACCAGGCGCCGCCATTTGAGCGTCAATGGGTATGGGAAGTCAGCATCAGGCTTCTAGAGCAGCGCGACATGCTGCAGTCAAACCCCTCACTGAACAAGTTTGCATGGCACGCAGCGTTTACCATGCAATGGCCTGCCTTCATCCACGTGCTCGATACCCTCCGAGCCAATCCGTCCATGCCGGATGCCGAGAAAGCGTGGAGGCTGATTGCAAACACGTTCGAGAATAACATGAGCATGTTCTCCGACTCGAGAAAGCCCATCCACAGAGCCGTGCGCAATCTCTGTCTGAAAGCATACGATGCTCACAGGCTGCAGCGCAATGGTGTTTCTGCTCTCCAGACGCCGGCGTTTATTTTGAAGCTACGGCAGCAACAAGAGGTGTTGAAGATCAAAAGACAAGCCTGCTGTAGGAAAGCCGAGGATGCGTTCCAGTGGGACCCCATCAGCTCAGAGGCCACTACCGCATCGACAGATCTTAATCACGGCACGATATCCAGCGAGGAAGACGGTGCGCAACACGGGGATGCCGGTGGTCAAAATCAACGATCTGAGCATGTCAATGAGCACGGCAGCGAAGCTGAACACACCTATGCTATAGAAAACATAGACCTGGATTCTCTGCTGGCTGGGGACGTCAGCGCAGATAACAGGGCGTATCAAACCATCAACTGGGAGCAATGGGATCTTTTCCTCGCCGATTCCAACATCAATTGAGCAAATGCTACTGCGAACCCCATGCACCTCTTGAGCAGCAGACTTGTCAAAACTCTCCACACTATCAATGACTACAATTCTAAGGTTAGCTCCAACCTTACTCTGAGCCATGAGGTAATGACGGGATGGACCTTATTTATATACTCATATGGGCAATAGTCAAGAAATCTTCTTGATGAATGAGCTTGAACCTTACGTTCTCATCACACCCCTTCGTCATCTGCGCCGTGGTTGCAATTCCGCGAACTAACTTTGACGTATAGCCATGCACCGCCCTAAACCACCTCATTCGCCATCTTTTGTGGTGAGAGAAGGCAGCGCGGTATCTTTACATTGGCAAAAGCGGACACTCATTTCGGTCGCTGCTGTAGCTTATTCGGGAAGAAAGGTGATTGTCCCCAATTACACTCCAGATTTCGCTCCCCACGTAGGCGATAGTGCGTTATGAAAGACGGCCAATCGCTGCTGTTGGCCTGTTCGATGCCGGATAATAGCTGTAATGATTCAAATGGCAAAACAATGGACTACATTGTTGCCATTAAAAGTGCATATGATGCATGCATGTGTTGGGCGTTGCCGAGCGATAGTACTGCATGCTCCTTATACCATGGACTCTCATAAGCAAAAACAGAAAAGGGAAAACGTTAGAATTAAGGTTAATTTTACACGAACTGCCACTCTGTACTCGAATCCATTTTAGCATAGGTACTTGCGATAGCGCCGTGTGTGCCTCGCCAACGCAAGGCAAAATATAACGCAGAAATCAATATTGCGGCTGAAAAAGCTGCACGGGACAAGCTAGGTAGCCAACAGAACTAGTTCTTCTTCCTTCTTTCAATAAAAACACCAACAAGGCGGCGCGCGTGCGTTGGGCATCTCCAGGACTCCTAAGGACGAGCAAAATGTCGCTCTTCGATTATGAGCTGTTGAAGCCACTGAAGCCGTTGAAGCCATTCCAATATTCCCCCCTCTCTCCATCAAAGCGAGTATTTCGCCTAGTTCAGCTCCTCCCTCCAAAACCAGCTATTATACCAGGAACCCAAGGGACCATCCGCATCAGGCTAGTTGAAGCTGATATTGACTCTGGCATCCATTATGATGCCCTTTCCTACGCATGGAATGTGGCAGCAGGCCAGACAAAGCCAAATCGAAAAATCATTGTCGAAACAAATGAAGACTCTTTCAAACTCTATGTTTTCCCAGCACTGGAAAACGCGCTGATTCATCTCGGCTCCCTCAATATTACTGAATATCTCTTCATTGATCAAATCAGCATCAATCAGGAGGACCGCGACGAGAAGAGTCATCAAGTGTTGCTTATGCAAGATATATATGCAAAAAGCGCATGCACTCTTGTTTGGCTAGGTCCACCAACTCGAGCATCAGACAGGTATTTTGACATTGTTCAGGAGATATCTCAAGAGGGAGTATTGAGCGGACTGATGGGGCCACGCCTCGGTCAATTCATGCACGTCTTCGACGCCGTAATGGATCCCACCTTATCGGTTAACGAAGAAGTACGTGAAGATCGAGATGCTGTTTTAGATCTGGTCCATCGATACGGCGACCGTTTCCCATTGGATGGCTTTGCCGATGTACTTGATCGAAGCTGGTTCAATCGTTTGTGGGTTATTCAAGAAGCCTGTCTTGCGCCCTCTGTCATTTTTGTGTGCGGCGATAAATCACTATGCTTTGACTGCTTCAGAGGTGGAGCGCTTTTCTACAACATATACAACACACTCTGGGTGAACCAAATAACAGGAACTATATCTCAGCACGTACTCCGTGAACGGGATGCTCTTTTTGGCAAGACAATTGGACTGAGACGGATTTTCCAAGAGCGAAAGGCCATCCATGATACGAGAGTGAGACAGGGCCTACACGATCTTGTGCTCAAATACAACGTCAATGACGACTTGAAGAAGATTGGAGCAACGCTGGAACAGGACCGTATTTTCGGCCTGCTGGGACTGGCGGCGGATGATGATGATCTAAGAAACCGAGTTCGGGTGGATTACGAAGCCAAAGTTACGCATATGTATTCCGAAATCGCGGAGCTGCTTCTAAAAGAGAGTATTGATGTTCTCTTATTCAACCAGCAACCAAAGAAAACTCCAGGCTTGCCCTCGTGGGTACCAGATTGGGCTATGAATCTTGCTATACCAGTAGGATATATGGCCTTGAAACAGCCTACTTTTACAGCCGGTGGTGCAAAAGTAGAAGCTCCTGTTCTCGTGAAAAACGAGCACCCGCAGCTTCATCTTCGTGGAATTTTAGTTGACGAAGTCCTGGACGTGGGAACTCGATTGCACAGTGCACAGTCTGATCCACAGGTGGCAGAGCAGATTGATTACCGTTCAGCAAAATTGTTTTTCGACGAGGTCTCGAAATTTGCCCAGATAGGCGCTGCTACAGTTCAAGACAGAAATCCTTCTGGCTCTGGCGCTGAAGTGGAACTTGGTTTGCAGCTACGGCTGTGTGATTCTAGCCGATCTTACAGACATTTCACACAGACTCTCGGCATAACCCCTGGCATCGAGAGACTTGAAGCTTTGCACAGCAGTATATATTCTCTTGGAGAACGACTTATCAGATCTGACGAGACGGTTGCTTCCTATCACATCACACGCATCTATCGAACAATAGGAATCGTCCCTTGGTATTGGGAGCCCATGTCTGAGATGGAAAGTCTACGAATCTGTGCATTGAATCCAGTTTTGGCTGGGAAGATCGCATGTCAAGCTATTCGTGATTTCACAATAGACATGGTCGGTCTTGTCGTCGCTTCGTTTAGAGTTTGGTTTGCATCCAAAGTTATCATATATCGTCGTCGCTTCGGCAAAATGAACTTGCGACCTTCCCGTGAGACCGTCGAAAAGATAGGACTTGACCCTGGTGTTAGTCTTAGCCCTGATATGAACATTTTTACGACCAATATGCTCAAGAATATGAGGCGAAGATTGTATCAGACAACAGCGGGTTATGTAGGTCTGGGGCCACCGGATATGAGGACGGGTGACTTTATAGTGATATTCCATGGCGGAACTACACCACATGTACTAAGGAAACTTGAGGGTGAAGCCCAAGGCGACAAGTATCAGTATATGGGCGAGGCTTATTGCGATGGACTCATGGATGGGGAAATTTTTGAAGACGAGACTAAAAGTGACGGAGTTTTTGTGTTGGTGTGAATAAGTGAGCAGAGAAACGATGGGAGGGTATCATCAGTGCACAATACATGGATACTTGCGCATGCTTCTAAATCTGACTTGTGAACTGGGAGCAATCAAATAAGGCCATAATCTTCAATTGGTGAAGATTCCAAAGCGGTAAATGGTGCTATTAATGCTGCTAGAAACCGGTCGGATATTCTCATCATCTTCAACTCTCAGCATACGCTGGAGCCCTACATGTACTACCATATAGGCGACAAATTGCTTATACTCAAGCTCAAGAGTGCATCAAACTCCAGTTCTTAACCACTAGTTAACCACCCAGCGAATATAACGGAAATACTTAGCGCAACATCTCTTTAGCATCATTACACCTAAATGGCTATGATCAGCAGACCGAGAACACAATTCCAGCATTAAATGCGATACGGCCCTGACGTCATGAGCTACGTATTACGCATAGTTGCGTCAATGTGTATTTTCTTGTTGCGACAGTTCTATTAAGCAATCTTTTATTCTTCAATCTATTGACTGAAATTTGTACCACCTCAATTGTCATTTTTAGTTGCCAAAGTCGACAAAATGAGTATCGACGCTGCAAACTTAATTAAAGCTGCTGTTCCAGAAGCGGAAGGGCGAAGCGCTCGTATCATCTCACAGAATGTGTCAGATCACAGAGATCCCAACTTCCTCTCCAAGGATTTCCCGCGGCGACCTCCAAAATTGTATTTGACAGCAGAGAGCGATGAATTTGACGCTGTAACCATCGCTGAATGGCAAGCTGAAGGGTTCGACGTTGAGTATCTCCCGATGGGCAATGGTGGAGACGAATATTTGCAGAAGCTTCGAGGGCTCCGAGGAAATGAGATGAGCTCATTTGAGATTTTTGGCATCGTTGGTAAGTTGGTAAATGCCATACAAAAGCCAAGCAAAAGAGCTAATGCAAATTGTGATAGCGTACGGCGATGCTGCCGCCATGTGCCTTGAGCACTATCACATTATGGATAATAACCCTGACTTCAAGCTCAAACTTCTCATTGCTTATTATCCAACCGCCATTCCAGACCCAAAAGGCCAGTTTCCAAACAACATCTCCGCCCTTGTGCACTTAATCGCCGGAGAAGATGTCGGCGTCACGAAGCAGTCACAAATAATTGGTATCCAAGGTAAACGACGCACAACACACAAAACCATCCAACCGGGAATTGGTACGGGCGGCTTGCTTAGCCTCGCATACCCCAGCTATACTTATCAAGCGCAGCCTGGATTTGCAGAACATGATTTGGATGAATACGATATGATATCCGCAGGCTTAGCATGGAGTCGAAGTCTGGCTGCGGCAAGGAGAGCAATGGGACAGACGGTGGACTTGGAACCGGTTTGGGAAGAAAACGTCCAAGGTAGGTGTTGAGGTGGCTTTTCCGCGATGATACTAATTATGAAACATTTGTTTCTTTTCATTTCGCTGCATTGTTGACTTTTGTTGCTGACACTGTCATCTAGGAAAGTTTTTCACTCATAACATCAAGCCGACCATGTCGAGCTACACAACTCATAAGAGCCCGCATGTGACTTACATCCCCACCTTGACGGGAGGCATTGGAGCCGACGAACTTGAAGAATTCTACTCTCAATATTTCGGAAACCCAAAGTCGCTCAAGTTGACCTTATTATCTCGAACAATTGGAGCGGACCGCATCGTCGACGAAATTCACGTTCGATTCAAGCACACGCAAGAGATGCCTTGGATTCTGCCAGGCGTTCCGGCCACCCAGAAGCGGGTCCAAATACTTGTGGTCAGTATCGTTACTATGAGAGGAGGAAAGTTATACCATGAGCACGTCTACTGGGACCAAGCCAGTGTGTTGTACCAGATCGGAGCCCTGGATCCCGATGTGGTGCCAGAGGCAGCTCGGAAATTGGGTATCGAAAAGTTGCCAATTGTTGGAAGCGCTGCAGCATCGAGAGTACTGAAGGGTTGGGATCCCGAGGAGGAAGGGGAGGCGGACAATGACTTGATAGCTGGATGGCACGATGGTGACGATGGTGACGATGGTGTTCATGACCAGCCTCAGAAAAGCGAGCAGGCAGACGATAAGGGCAAAAAGCCAGAAGAGAAAGTCGTGAAAACGCCAGACGACAAGGGCGGCAAAAAGCTAGAAGAGAAAGGCATCCAAAAGCCTGAAGAGAAAGTCGTCGAAAAGCCGGAAGAGAAAGTCGTCAAAAAGCCAGAAGAGAAAGGCGTCAAAAAGTCTGAAGAGAAAGCCGGTAAAGGGCCGGAAGAGGGCGAAGGCAGTTAAGGCGAACGTCAAGCTCGTTCATATTCCCACGAAGTTTGTGTAATTCAGGATCAACTCGTCTGGAGATGGCGGTTATATAATTAAGCGCTGGATTCTTAAACCACGAGGCCATCAGGTCTTCGGGGCCGGTTTGAACGCCTCTTTAGGTAGCATTGCCGGACCCGAATCAATGTTTTAAGGCCGAGCCGGTCGTTGATTGTGACGCTTCAAATCCCGAGAGGAGGACGGAATTGTCGCGCCCCCGGTAGATACAGGCATAGTAATGGTTAATAATTTCACCGATTGGATCTTGTGATCTCGGTAAGTGAGAACGGGAGGAGAGAGATCTGCTTTGTGCAGCCATAGAGAGCGGCTTTCACTGGCCAGGATCGCGGAATGGAGGCGCGTTCTGCTTCCCCACTGGGCCGACACCATCCGTTGGATCCATAGCTGCAGCCAGGCTGTTACACTATTTGTCCGACGCCTTGTGGTGCGGGCGGAATCTGGGGTAACTCGGGATTTCGGCCATCATTAATGGTCTATGCTGGAGGACAACGAGTAAATATTAAAGGGTGAATAAAGGAGGATTTATTTGGACAATGTAGTTTTCTTGCTGTTGTATTTTCTCTCTTTCCGAGAGCAACTCAAAGCAATCATGTTGCCCTTGAAGTTTATCGGTTTAGCTGGGGGTGTGGTGATCTTTGCCCGCCTTCTCCTCTTTCTTATTAGAAGCCTCACTTCGCCAACGCGCAAAATTCCCGGGCCTTTTCTGGCACGACTCACTCGACTATGGTATTTCAGGCGTGTGGCCCTCGGCGGCTTCGAACAAGAGAATATCCAACTTCACCGAAAATACGGCCCGGTGGTGCGTCTCGCCCCAAACATGTACAGCATCGACATACCAGAAGCGGTAAACACAGTATATGGCATCGGCTCGAAACTACCAAAATCAGAATGGTATGACGGATGGAAACATCCAAGTCCAGATGCGTGGACCATGTTCCCAGATAAAGATATTAAACGGCATGCCCAGACAAGAAGGGTATTTCAAGGCCTGTACAGCATGTCCAGTCTTGTCAGCTACGAGAAATACGTGGACGAATGTGCAGATGTCCTAGTAAACCGCCTATCCATATACTCGAAAAGCCGTGAGTCCATTAACATGGGCCACTGGTTCCAGTGTTATGCATTCGACGTTATCGGGAATATTACATTCTCCAAACCGTTCGGTTTTCTCGATCGTGGAGAAGACGTCTCTGGTCTGCTACAGGCTCTGCATAAAGTCATGGCTTACTCTACTCTTATTGGCATTTTCGCTTCCCTTCATCCCTACGTATTTGCTGTCACCAATTTCTTCGGCATTGGAGGGGCTGCTGGACGTATGTACCTCGCCGGATATGTGAAAGAGCGAATCCGCCAAAGAAAGGCTGAAAAAGAAATAAGCGAAGAAAAGGCAATATCGCATGCGGACGGGTCTCCCGAGGATTTCCTGGAAAAAATCATGATTAAAAATAAAGATGCCCCATCCAAGGTAACCGACTATCATGTTTTTATGATGAGCATGTCCAACATTATTGCCGGCTCCGACACCACTGCCATCAGCCTATCGGCCATTTTGTACTATCTTCTCAAATATCCAGAAGTCATGAGAAAACTCAGAGAAGAGGTTGACCAATCTACCTCCGCCGGTGACCATTTGAGCTTCAAAGAGAGTCTTGAAATGCCATATTGGCAAGCAGTCATGAAGGAAGCATTACGTCTCCATCCCGCCACTGGACTTCCTCTTTGGAGAACTGTCACTGAGGGTGGACTGGAGCTGAATGGACAATTCTTTCCAGAAGGAACAACTATTGGCCTGAATACATGGACCGCACACTACAACGAAGACGTATTTGGCAGAGATGCCGCAGCATTCCGACCAGAAAGGTGGCTGGAAGCTGAAAAAGAAGGAGGTGAAAGGATAGGACAGATGAACGCATACTACTTGCCGGTAAGTATCACATAAGTGAATGAGCTCTAAGTGTTTACAAAATGATCAATTACTAATGTGGGAGTAGTTTGGCTTGGGATCCCGGACTTGCATCGGTCGACACATTTCCTATCTGGAAATGTCAAAGCTTATTCCACTGCTTATCAAAAACTTTGACTTTGAGCTACAGGATAGGCAAAGGGATTGGAAAACAACAAACTACTGGTTTGTCAAGCCGAACAACTTTGATGTAACCGTCAAAGCAAGGACAGCCGTATAAGAATAGCTAAACAGGGAGAGGAGTGTGTTTCTTACAATATCAAATCATATGGATATTTGTGCCTTCTCCATCAAAATAAGTAGAGCTGAAACCTTATACAGTTCGCAGAACATTTATGTTTGTTCGAAAATCTAACCGCAAAGAGCCCACCTTTAGACTAATGCCAGAGGGAGAGAACTTTCATGTAGTCTAGAAAAACATACTCTACCTGTTCAAGCTTAGGGTAATAAACATGACAGACGCTATCTATGTTTGGCACTTCGTATGGATACAGGCTGCTTCAGCTACACACACACACTTATCATTCATCCGGCGGGGAAGCTCACCGGTTGAATAGCCCAGACCAGTCACATTGCCATATCAACTAGCCTCTGGAACACAAAATACGCGACCTCAGGTTTATACGAGCACAGACAAATCCCGAAGGAGCTTACCGAGGCATAGACAAACGACTTGGAATCCCAGTAAAGGGGGATTAAGAGTTAGGCTCTGGTGGGCACGGCGTCTCCAGCCATCGGTCCTTTTAGACAGAATCGACGAGTGTCAAATTACTCGTAAGAACCGGCCGGCAAGGGGATGTGGGGTTACAGCTAGGGCATTTTTAGGAGCTGACGTCGATCCAGCAGCGTAGAATCCGATCGAGAATGCAGAAAAAGAGACTGCACGAGTCTAATATGGAGTTAATGCTGCCAACAACTTCCTTCTATGTACAATGTGTAGCCTCAGTTGTATCAGGCAAAGTCGACGACGCAACAAACCGCCCCAGCCACCATAACAGACCAACCCAAAATCACCACCAGATGTGAAACTCCTTCGTAAACCAAGAAACAAAAAAAAAAAAGATATTATTATTCTATACGCTTATTCCCTTATTTTCCCATTTAACCCGTTTGTTGTTCCGTTTGTCCCATTCATCGTATACGTGTGGTTGGATCCCTTTTCTTTCATCGAGCCAGTTGTCTCGGGTTCTTCTGGAATCGTGACAAACTTCTTGAGCACCTTCTTCAGGGCTGGCCGCCTGATGGGTTTGCTCAAAAACTCATCCATGCCTGATTCTATACACTCTTTTACATTGCTCTCTTCGGAGAAAGCGGTAAGCGCAACGATGGGGGCCACGTAGCCCATCTTGCGTATAAGTCGAGTCGATTGTAAGCCGTCGACGTTTGGCATCTGAATGTCCATAAATATTACATCAAAGCGCTGGTTCTTCTCCATGCTGGCTTTGACCAGCTCGTAAGCCTCTTGGCCATCCTTGGCAATGGCAACGTCGTAAACTTCTTCGAGCTTGAGCATCCTACTCACCACCTCGACATTGGTTGCATTATCGTCGGCAACCAACACGCGAAGTTTACCCTTGCCCGTCTTGTTCGCCATTGCCTTATCAATGGCCGCGGTCTGATCCTCCTTGCTTGGAGGGGACGTAGACTTTGCGAAAAACGGCGCGCTGAGGCCCACGAGACGGGGCAGTTTGTTGTCCAGCAGAGCCGGCGTGCTCTTAGATTTGGGATCTTGCAGAGGCGATGCCGATCCATTCATGGCATTCATCTGATTCAGGGGATTTCGGGCATGGTCACCAGCTGTAGATCTAACACTGGTTGGTCTTGAATTCGTGCTGCTGGAAGCGGTACTCGGCGGGCGGTCCTTGACAAACTTGAGGGGAATCTGCATCGTAAACGTTGATCCGACACCCACAGTGCTCTTAAGAGTAACTGATCCGCCCATCAGCTTGGCCAATTGTGAGCAGATGCTCAGTCCCAAGCCTGTTCCCCCAAACTTCCTGTTCAAGCCCAAATCACCTTGAACAAACGGTTCAAAAATCTTGTCTTGCATATGCTCGGGGATACCGGGCCCTGTATCTTCCACCTCAAACTCAAATATGTAGGGCTTCGCGTTTGGCGGCGGCGGTGTCGGTGACCTCTCTCGGACGCGAACATGGGGAGTGGCCTTGGGGTCCATGGGATTGATTGAGAGAGCAGTGCCGTTCCTGAGCGTTGCAGAAGCATTCGTTGTTCTAGAATTGGTAGATCGGCTAGATCCCGTACTGCCTCTATGCCGGCTTCGCCCAACTCTTGTTGAACCACTTTTAGACAAAGATGAGGTCCGGCTATTGTCATTATTCGGCTGCTCAACCTCGGAAATGCACCGGATTCGCAAATCTACTTTGCCGCCGGCGGGAGTGAACTTTAGACTGTTGTTGACGAGATTAATCATGACCTGCAGAATTCTATGCTGGTCACCCCAGACATAGACATCTTTCAGTCGACCCATGCCGTCGGGGCCAAGGGCGGGCAATCTCTTTTCTGAGTCGAAAATCTCATCTAGCTCTGTGCTTTCAGTGCTGAGAAGGCTCACGGCGAATGTGATGTCGCTCTCGCGCACCTGCTTGTCGAAGATGGACAACATCTGTGACTTGATGTCGCCCAACCGAAACTCTCTCTCTTCGAGGCTGATGTGCTGGCCAATTTGATTCTTGGAGAAACTAAGAAGATCTTCTAGAAGATGTAGCAGGAGGTCACCTGGTGAATGTGGTAAGTAAAATATCAAGCCAGCAGATATGGAGCTCTTCAATATGCAGAGGGGTATCAATCTCTCCCGCCTCCTTGTTCAGGAAAGGTATCGGACGATTGGATGCAGGGAAATGTCACGTACCTGATCTATAGAGTGTTTTGAGGGACTGCTTTATTCGTACAATGTCGTCTTCCTCCATGCAAACGGCGCACATGCCCATGATGCCATTCAGAGGTGTTTTTAACTCGTGAGAAATATTGGCGATGAAGAGTGTCTTGCTCTCGTTGGCAGCTTCGGCCGCTCTCTTACTAACCTCCAACTCCCTCGTTCTCTCTTGAACCTTTTCTTCTAAAGATGTGTATTGTTTCAACAGCTCGTCTGTCATACTGTTGAATGTGTCGGTAAGCTCCGTCAACTCGTCGGTAATATAGTGTTTTTTGACCTCGACTCTCCCGGGAATCTTGAAGACGTGTCGGTGAGCATCGGCTTCGGAAATGGGGATGACCTTTTTCTCCCTGAACATCCTCCGCCAGATGGTAGCAAAGAATCCTCGATCGGATCGCTTGGAGCTGGTAGCTCCCGAGCTTGGGTTCTCCTCGTCAAATGCATCATCAAATTCGTCATCGTATCCAGGAGGGTTGATGGATCTCTCCGTGGCAGACTTGAGCCGGCGGATAGACATGACACTGAGGTGTGCGCAAGGAAAGATGAGAATTGCGACAAGACCAGCTGTCCCAAAGACACACCCCAGAAGGATATCTCTCAGCTTGTCAATGGGCTCATAGGCCTCGCTCTTGGCCTTTTCCACCACAACGGCCCAGTTGACGAGGGTTGTGGCCGGACGGGCGACACCCACGGCCACGGGGACGCCCTGCTCATTGGTCGTTGATAGGTCGACCGTGGAGTTGTCCAACGGTGACAGTTTGCGGGTGTATACCTTTGTCAAGCTCGGAAACTGGTATAATGGGAACGGCCGTGCATACCAGTTGCCGTCTTTGTAATTCCTTCTAGTATGCCGATCAGGCTGCCCATCCTTGGGGACTGGGGGAATGACGAATCGAACAGGGGTGTTTTTGAAGCTGGGCTGCGTAGGCGAATACGTATCGTTGCTGGCTGGCTGGGACACGTTGAAGCGATTGGAAGGGTTGGCAGGTCCAACAAGGAGGACGATGCCAGTTGAGCCCAAGCCTTCAGGCGCTGATTGAATGTCGGACAACGAGCCCGCGGCGAGAACCAACGTCATGTACCCAAGGATGAAGCCCGAGATGGCGTAGGACCTGACGGGGATGGTGAGAGAGATGAGGGCAAAGGTTTCGTTGATGACCAGGGGGCCCAGCACAAGGCCGCCGCCGGTGCTGAGGTTGACATTGGGGAAGGCATAGGCACCAAACGCCGGCGTTGACGGGACATACGGGTTTGGGTATCCGAGATTTGTGTATGTGATGTTGGGGTAGAGCGACAGGGGGTAGCCGTACTCGGTATCGCTGAGGTTGACCCGGGAGCCGTCGGGCGCCAGGTAAGGGAGCACGATGTTATCCGTCGCATTGCCCACGCCGGCACCAGTGACGCTCAGAAGGCCTCCGTGATCGCCGCCGGTGGTGTTTCGGGAGTACAGCCGGGCCTGCAGCACGCCGTTGATGCCCCCCTTGACGCCCATTGCGCTCTCCAGATCGGCACGGGCTTTTGCAAAGGGACTGGACGAGTTTTTGTTATAGAAGTCAGAGAAGGCCTGCTGCAACAAGATGCGGCTGGCGATGGTCGCGCAGATGGTCTGGCCCAGCTCCAGCTCGGACGCAATCTCAGAGGCCTTGAGCGTTGCGGTCAATGCCAGGCCGTCGGACTCGACGCCGACGACGAAGTTGTGGACAAAGATCCATGTCGGGATGGAGATGATGGCGAGGGAAAGCAGGACGGCGAAAAGCACAAGCGCGGCGAGCTGCTCCCGGATGGCGACTCTCATTTTCGGCGGGCGACGGCGATGGAGAATGACGATGCAGCAGGCTGGCAGTCCAGGCAAGACATTCTCCGTGGGAATGGCTGCTCCTATGGATTCTTACCACGCAACATGCTGCTCGAGTGGTTTGTCGAAGGGATGAAGGATTGAAGATTGCGGGAGAGTGTCGATGACGAGATGCAGCATAAAGGATGTTGTCTCCAATCCTGTCTCTTTTTCTTTCTGCCCTTTTTTTTTCGCTTTTCTGATCGAGTCGCCGAGTCTTGTCGCTTGTCGCTGTCGGGAATCCGGATCGAGTCTGTCTATCGAATGAATGAATCACTGTCTAGAAGCAAAATACAGAATATGCGTCTATCGCAAGTGTAATCCAGCAAATGGATATTGAAAACGAAAAAGAAACGATGGATGGCCACAGCGCAATGATCAGCGCTTGTTGGTGCTGTGCTTGTGCTGCGGCTGCTGCTGCTGCTGCATGACAGTGGACGCGACCAGAGAAAGAGGCCAGAAGAAACCGGGCCAGGTGGGCTTACCTAAGCCTCGTCCGCTTCGCCGGTTCGCCGGAGATTGGTCGGGTGCTCAGCCAGCCAATCAGAAGACTACAAAACTGATAATGCCGGCCAAAAGGTGGGGTTTTGCGGAGCAAAGAGTCCTAAACATTAACTAGGCCATCAGGTTTTTTGGTATTTTCACAGCCCGGTTTGGCTTAGCGCACCCCGGTCTCGCGCTCTTTTTCCTTGGAAATCTCGGGGCCAAATTCAGGCAAGTGGGTACAAGGTAATCGAGACTTGCGCCGATGCCGATGAGCATGTACCAAGCGAGCTGTGCTAGTCGAAATAGGGCCATTTGTAATTGTCGGCCAGCGCATCCAAGCTCCGGAATTCTGACCCAAAATGGAGAATCTTCAAGGTTAAAATCAAGTATTTTGGTAGTATGCGAAAAATAGGGGCCTGGGGGGGCTTGAATTACCAGGCAATGCGGGTTGTTATTATACTATTACCTAAGGCAATTGCTACTACTACTACAAGTACAGCCATTTATAGAGTACATTGAAGTCTGTACCTCCTATTACTGTACCAGGCAGTAGATGCGCAAATCTCAACCTTAAATCCCATCCGCTCATGGAACAGCCCTGCAGAGTCTACTAGCATGCATGTGTTCAGCCTTATCCCTGTCTCTTGTCTCCTTGACTCACGCTCCTTCTAGACTACCAGCAGGGCAAAATAAAGTTGATAAAGTGGTTTTTTCTATGCGCGTGTTTCTCTGTTGCTGCTGCTGTTCATATGTTTATATAATGCGTGTTTATGTGGATGTGCGATACCAGATGGTGAGCCGACTGGGGAAAAGTCGAAACCCGTGGACAGCAATGAGATTGTCTGCATATAGCACGCCCAATGTACTGTACCACGTCGTGCCGGAATCAGATTCAAAATGCAACACTGCGTCACGAGAGCCTTCTCTCTTGCACACGTAAAAACTCTAGAATAATCTGGGGTCGCCCATCTGCAACCTTTCACGCACGTGGATCAGTCTTGGCATATTCCCCCGGATCGACACTCACCAATCTCTAATTGGCCCCATCTTTTACAAAATATGCCAGTTTCGAAACTCGCAAGGCGCAATTCTATAGCATACAATTCATCCATGATAATCTGTACATTTGTGTACTCTTCACATCTAAGCAGTTTCAGTAAGCGCCTCGCAAGGGGAATCTTGATGTAGTGCTTACTTGGATCTATGTCTAGCATTAGCCAGCGCCACGTTTTTTTTTGTTTTTCCATATGACACGCGCAACTCAACGGACTTCTACAGAATCAGACGATAGATGGTGGATTTTATCTATCTAAATACTCTCAAAGCGTCACTTTCGGCTCCCATGTAACCTCTTTCCTCATTCAAGAACCTCAATCGCATCTCAACATCTCGGTGTAGGGTAAGGGGAATTTGGGCAGTCTCATTTCTGCCTCTCCACCACTGTCAAACTCAATTCACCTGAATGCAAGCCTAATCGGATCTAGTAACGCGTCAAGCTCGGCCCTTCAGGGCCATCTTACATATCCTAAACTACCGATCAGCACCAAGTTTTTGATCCGCGCTAAATATGTCTTACAATATGGATTCTCATGTCTGTGACCTTGGCCAATCCCCTTGGACAAATTGTCTCCTCCTCTGTACTACCACTCTAATTTTGTGATCCCAAACTCGTATTACACATTACCGCATCATATGGGGTTTTGCCCATGCATGTGACTCGGCTACTGCAGCCTCACTCTTCTTGGATGCGAGCATGATTTATGATCGTTGAGTACGTGGCACTTGGAAGCAAGTACAATAGACAGATTCATAAAGTAGTCGACACGACGTCATTTCGTTTTGTGAATAAAAGCTATGTTAATTCCATTGTCTCATCACATCGTCAACCTCTTGCAGAAGCTGCTCTTTTCTTATTGGAGAGCACCAGCTTCCCGCGATTGCGCCTCGAGCAATCTTTCCCCAGTCATCCACAGCCAATCCAAAGGCTTCTTGAACAGCACAGTAATTTTCCAGTATGTAGCCTCCAAAATAGGCAGGATCATCACTGTTGATGCTGAATCTGACATTGGCGTCTAGAAATTCTCGGATTGGAAGATCATGCATCCTATCCACTCCTTTCAACACCACGTTGGAGATTGGGCAAAGAGTCAGCATTGTATTTGACTCTGCCAGCTGCGCAATGAGCTCTGCATCTTCTATGGAGCGGCGTCCATGATCTATGCGTCCCACACCGAGAATTGACAGCGCGTCCTTGACATAGTCCGCAGAACCCTCTTCGCCATAATGAGCTGTAAGATTCACAATCCCCGCAGATTGTGCTGCCTCGTAGACATCTTTGTATAGTGAAGGGTGCATCCCTAACTCAGTGCTGGACATTCCAAAACCAACAAGTGTTCCGTCAAAAAAGTGCCCAGACTCAAGAAGCTCGGCGAGCAATCCGTGTCCGGATGGCACTGGTAGATGTCGCAGCAAGCAGGGAATGAATTCCACACTGAGCTTGGGAAAATCGACGGCGGCCCTGTTCTTTGCGGCATTCATACCAGCAATAACAGTCTGATATGGGACTCCCCGCGAGATATGGGCTTGCGGGTCGAAGAATATCTCTGCATGATAGACCTTTTGTGAATATGCAAGAGAGAGATAGTCATATGTCAGTGCCTCAAAGTCTGAGACACCCAAAAGGACGGAGAAGCCAATGAAGTAGTAATGCAAGAAATCGTCGAGAGATGTGAAGTTCTGGTAGCGAGCTAGAAGCGTTGCCGGGCTATCAAAGGCTGGGTCATCCGATGGAAGAGATATCTCGTTTTTGGAAGCAAGGCTGAACAGCAGCTCTGGAGAGATGGTACCCTCTATGTGAACATGATGCTCACATTTCGGAAGAGCATGAAGAAATCCGTGTAGTTTATCGTTGCACATTTTGGGCGTAGTTGTTCTCAAGACTCAATCGTGCAACGGTTTGCAACACAATGTTCTTCTTCTTTTTGGAGCTGTGATTTAAATACCGTGAGTGGGATGAAGAACGAGTGGGGATAAACGGTTGGCGTGGAGGCCTGGCTTGCCTGCTATTCGACCAAATTATCATTTTGGTCCAAAGTTTTTGACACGAACCATCGGAGACCTCCGAGCGCCGAGCGCCGGCGCTCCGGCATCTACTCCTCTTCTATCTCATTATCAACAGCGATCAACATGTTGGCATTGACAATGCGCTAAATGCAGAAATGCGTGCTATAGGATATCGGCGAACGTCGATTACATGGGCGTTGATGCAATTGACCTTGAATTGGTGATGACTCTTCTGTCTAGAAGACAGTAAGAACGGCGGTTTGTTTCATTCTGCTACTTGTGTCAACCAGTTGACATCTGAGGCGCTTTTGCTTGGCAGTCTTGACAAGTGAATTTGTTGGGGAAATATGTATCTCGGACTTCTTCCCACCCCAAATTGACTCATTTCAGTTGATACTGGAACAAATTTGCTCTCGCTCTAAGGCGGCATAGTTACAAGCAAGAGAGTTTGTGATTTCACCATCCCGGAGTCGATATCTAGATATCGCGCACGCGTGTGTCAATTAGCGCTCTTGATATCGCTCACTTCACGGAAGATTGGACACGCTACTAACTATCTTATCTGTCAAATGTCGAAAACGAACCAGTGGACATGATGTCAAACCTGCTATGCAAGGTCTCGTGAGAGCCTATGCTGTCTGACAACAGTTGCATCCGCATGTTTCTTGATCTCATCAAAACTTACGTCACGCTTTACTTCAAAGGTATATCGCCGGGATTTTAAGCGTCAAAGCAATCTGACCGTGGGTAATTAAGGGAACACCACATGCGGTATAACTCTTCTGGTGATATAAGAGAGATTTCACGAAACGAAGATGTTGAATACTTCTGTCAGCAGGTTGTGGGCATGTTGATAAGGCCCAAGATTCCTGGCCTCTATAGTAGGATGACGATTCATCAAAAGTAGTGAAGGCTATCAACATTAGTATTGGTGACTTCGTCCTCATACTTAACGGTACGCGATTAATTCATCCCTAATGGTTTCTCCCATGATATCTGTCTATCACTTATGCGCGTAAACTTTATTAACAGTCGGGTACTACTTTGCAATCTACAACAGCCGTCTTTCCAGCCTTGACTTTGGCTACTGCATCTCTAAGAATGCCTTCGAGTTCACCAGCCTTTGTCACCTTTAGCGCATGAATATCACCTGCTCCAGCTGCCGCTGCTATGCCAGCATAATCCGGCGATGGGCTGAATGAGATGTTCATTTCCTCGTTGGTTGCCTGAGCAGCCACACCGTCAGGATGAATCAACATGTAGGATTTTCTCGGCGCGTTCCATCCTGTGTAAAGTTGTCAGCATTCTTTAGGGCTTTCTCAGGTCTCTGACTTGAAGCTTACCATTATTGTTTAAGACTATTGTCAAGATGGGGATGTTGTAACGTTTAGAGATCCAATAGACGCTTCCAGGTATGGAAAAGAGATAGGTTCCATCACCCACAACTTGGCAAACGAATTGGCCCTTTCCTTCGGCATCAGTAGCCAGCTTGATACCCAGAGCGCCACCGCCAGACCAACCAAGACCACCTCCACCACAATTGATCCAGGAGCCTGGTCGCGTTGGTCTGACATTATCATGAATAAAGCCTGTATTTGTCACTGCCTCGACAGCCCATATAGTATCCTCTGGACAGACGGTACGCAGCACTTTACTCAGATAGGCTGTGCCAAAGCTGCCATTAGCAAACGGCTGGGCCGCGTCATCAATACGTTGAATCTTGGAAGAGTAAGACTGATGACGGATCTCTTCCGCCAAGGCTCGGTCCTTCGCTGCCAGTATCTTGGCTGATTCGCCTATCTTAAGGTTATCAAGGATTTGCCCAACAGATGTTAGACTATCTGCTAAATATCGAGCTTCAGATTCAATATAGAATAGAGGCATCCGCTGCTTCAGGGGGTCGGCATCTATGTGAAAAATCCTGGCGTTTGGGTTGGGTTTGCAGCGTGTTTGGATCCACGGAACATCGCAGTCCAAAACTAGGATAACGTCGGCTTCCGGAATGGATTCATCGGCGCCTTGTCTGACTCCAAGCCAGGCCGGATGGTTACCAGGGAAGCACATGTCACTACCCGCTGTGTCAAGCACACGCAACGCCTTGACAGTATCAGCTAACTCGACTAATGAGTCGGGGATGCTGTGATTGCGACCAGAGTAGCCGGTCACTATCAATGGCTTCCTAGCACTGGCCAATGATTCGGCAATGTTACTCGCCGCCCTTGAGGAAAGCCCGCCTAGCTCAACCGGATCCCAGTGTTTCTGGTTGATGGAATATGGCTTGATCTCTGCTTCCATGACTTCTCTCGCAGCACAGAGATATACTGGGCCCTGTGGAGCGGTTCTGGAAAATTGCAAGGCTCGATTAACCATCTGCTTGATGTTGACACCGGTTTTAATCTCAGCCGTATATCGGCAATATTGCCCAAGGATAGCCTTCTGATCTGGTACATCTTGCAACCAGTGAATGAACTCAGTACGCGAGCCGCGCATCTCACCCTCCTGAGTGAAAGGGGACATGCCGGCAAAGATGAGGACGGGGGCATGGCCACTTGAGGCGTTGTGAACGGCAACACCAAGAGCTTGCGTGCCGACGTCGACGTGAACAATAACACACTGTGGCTTGCCAGTTAAACGAGCATAGCCATCTGCCATGGACATCGCCACCATCTACTCATTCTCGTAGTTATTAGCAGCCACCCTTACAAAGAACTAGGCTCTATAGGAAGAAGGATGATACCTCACTAGGGCAGGTAATGATACGCGGAAATTTTCCCTTGGCTTCTCGCTGGCCCTGGACCATGGCCTCAATCATACCTGGATGATCTGATCCCAGATTGACAAAACAATGGGTGACCCCTGCATCCCATATCGCCTCAAAGAAAGCAAAAGACGTCGAATACATGGTGAACTGTCTCTACACGTAGGCACGCCTGAGGATATGCTCTTTCTGAAACGCTGGATAGTAAGTAACACAGCGAGACTATCACGGCTCCTTAGAAAGTCGGCTGTTACGCCCTTGTTAAAGGGCTTGAATATGGATGCCGTTCCTGCTGCCGAGCTGCATGAAATCATTCCAGTCCCCCGATCCAGGGCCGATCATTATTAGCGAGCCTCCACGCAGGCCCCCTAGTCTTTTGAACCTCCTGCAGTGGCTAGAGTCGACAGTCTGGACCCCAACTTGTACATACAGTGACAGGCAAACATGACCTCCCGGTCCGTCCCGACGGGGAACAGCCCCCAGCGAGTTAGTGCCAGTGTCTGCCGCGGGACTTTATCCCTGTCTGCCTGTGCGAGTTACGGGCCTATGGGTCCTCGATTGCTCCAGTAGGGTGGTATCATAACCTCGTTCAAGGCTAGCTCTCATGTTCTGTTCTCGCCGAGCCAACAATGCTCTAAACACTACAGCGAGCCGCCCAAATCCCTTCAGATAGACTCGAGGATAAACGAAGTCTTCCTTAGTATTTACCTAGCGATACTCGTATAAATGGAGACGAGTTACCCCCTTGCAGCCAGTAGTGCAGCGAAGATCCCTTGAAGTACTATTAGTACTAGCACTGCAGGAAATATGGCGAATATCTTGTGCTCAACAAACAATACCATTCTGTACAGTATACGTCGTGTATAGACAAACTCTATACTTTGCATACATTTGCTGCAGCTAGTAGCTGCATAACCATCCAACGCAACCGGGCCGAACTATTATGGAAGGTAGTCCGCATGAAGCCTCTCGCTAGCAATACAACGTGCATATGTGCGAGTATGTACATGGATGTATTTGCTATTGTGCGTCGGGTGTTGAGACATCGCGAACGTTTCCACTATACCTAATGAAAATTGAACCATTCAGACATGCAGGAAGACATGCAGGCTTTTCCATCGCACTAATCGCCCAAGAATGGGAGTAATGATGTGAGGGCTGCTGCCTGGAGAGCTTTGAGAGTGAGATTAGTATTATGGCGCGTATATCGCTTCTATTGTTGTAGCTGATTTAACACAATATATTCAGGGCCAGAAAAAGAGGTCTGTGTAAAGAAGATAGTCCACCACAAGAAAATACCTAGCTTCTTAGAGAGTAAATCGAAAGGTGGGATACGCATCGCCTAAGTTATTCTTCACATCTTCTGGAAGGTTCAACCTGTCGTCCCGCTCACCAGCATCGCGCTTCTTATTGTCTCTCCACATGAGCACAGCCAGAATAGTGGCACAGATCATTCCCAGCCACATCATGGCAAGCGAAACGCTGTAGCCAGTGACATAGGTGGGAGCTTCGTTGACAAGGTAAATGTTGCTTCCAATGATGCCAGCAATATTGCCTATTGTGACTTGGATTGAAGATCCGAAGGCGCGCTTCCAGTGACCCGAGAGGTTATTCTGCAGCCATGCAAGCGCCATGGGTGTGACCATGTAGGCACCGCCAAACACCAAGAAGACTGCGCCGAACTTGTAGTCTCGAGACTTTCCTTCTTGTGCAAGAAGCATTCCGTAGCCAATGGTCACCAAGCTAGTTCCGGCAACGAAGAAGCTAAAGCGATGTCTGAGCTTGTCAGAAGCCCAGGCACCGATGAGCATCGTACCACCTGCAACCACATAAACAGGGATTGTGCGGACTTGCGCCTCCTGAGCTTTCCAGTTGAACTCGAGGAGAATAGTGGGAAGGAAGAATGTTCCAGACAGACCAGGGACGCCAACACCCATGTATACCAGGGCTCCAAGCCAGATCTTGTAGTCCGACATGATCATTTTGAACGAAGTCTTGTTAAGGACATCCATGCGGCATGAGTCGTCGACATCGGCAGCGAGGCGGCGACGGAGCAGCTCTTTCTCTTCCGCGTTGAGATATTTGGTCTGCTCTGGCCAGTCAATGATGAGAAACGCGGCAATGATGGCGAGCGTAGAGGTTATGGCGCCCTCGATGATGAAGATCCAGCGCCAAGCAGCGAAGCCATGGTGGCCACCAAGCTTGGCGATGGCGTAGGCCAGAAGCCCTCCAAATGCGCCGGCGACCACTGTACTGCAGAAGAAGAAAGACATGCGCTTTTGATACTCGTGTCGCTTGTAATACATGGATGTGACATAGATGATGCCGGGCAGGACGCCGGCCTCGAAAATACCAAGGAGGAATCGCAGACCGATGAGCGCACTATACGAGTGTACAAATCCCATGCACATGTTGATGATGCCCCAGCAAAACATCAAAGTGGAAAGATACAAGGAAGGGCGAAACCTCTTGATGACCATGTTGGAGGGGACCTCTAAAAGGATGTAGGAGATGTAATAAGTCTGTACAACGTCAATTCTGTATGATGACGGCGTGGATTTATTCGCTGAAAAACTTACAAAAAGCGCGACATTGAACCGATTTCCCGTAAGATCGAGGTCTGCAACCATTCCTTGAATACGCGCATTGCTAATATTGATGCGATCCAAAAAAGACATCATATAAATCACGAAGAAAGTAGGGAATATGATGAAGTCCAGCTTTGTAACCAGCCTGCTCTCGGCCTTGGGATCAATTGGGCCGTCTGAGAAGTCCGAGCTGCTTTCCTGGTGCGACTTTGGAGCCACTTGCTCGCCCGTCTCGACGGGCTGCTTTTCCTCAACCGCCAACATGATGAGGCCGTTCCGATATCCCGATGGTTGATGGAAATGACAAGCCACGCGAAGGTAAAGGGGCTTTTCACAGGATCAAGAACGAAAAGGAAGAGGAAACTCGGTAAAAAGACAGAGCAAAGACCTATCAAAGCCCCCGGATGGCGTCGCTGTGTGACGTTCAATGTGGCGAGAATAGCAACAATGTGGCTGCCACGAGGGATGGACGTATAAAGAGGTGAAAAGAGGTGACAGAGATCAGAATTAATTACAGGTATGGGCTAAATGACACAGGCAGAGCTCCGTCAAGCTGCATGTCCAGTCGGTTAATGAAAGATGAATGAACCCTCATGAAGCAATGCAACAATAAATTAACTGTAGCAATGCCCTGTTGCATACGAGTCTTCTGCATCGAGTATACTCATTGGGTCAGCCGCAGGTAGGACAGGACAAGAGTCTCGGCCTTGATGCCACATGCTGTGCGGTTTAGCCTCTCCGTCCCCTGTATGCCGTCTAGCCCAATCGTTATATGAAGTTGTTCGAAAAAGAAAAAAAAGAGAGAAAAAGGCCAGTGACAGCGTTCTCAACGGGAGGGAGGCCCTGGTCAAGGGTCGACCCTTGATGGGGGATCGCGACGATGGAGGACACCCTGCAGCTAAAAGCATATGGGTTTAGGCGGAATGCAATCCACCTTTACACGTAGCGAATTATACCAAGAAATCAAAGTAGACCAGTGATGTAACAGCCTATGTAACGTGGCCATTTAAAGAAGGGGTTATGGCCTGATTTGCTCTGCCGAGCCGGACGAGGTACTCGACTGAGCATGTGGAAGTAGTCGTGTAGATGATGAACACTACTATGGTTGTATGGCATATGAAAATGCAGCTAGAGATTACTAGCCCTAGTTTGAATTATGCCGGTTCTAGTCCCGCAGCTGATTCGGTCGCCCTTCGACTTGGTTCGCCTTCGTTGCCATAATCTTCATGCGACTTGTCAAGTAGCCACTTGCTGATCGCCAACTATCGTAGACTGGTGGATCGTCGCGGGAAAATACTAAAAGCAACTGATCAAGCCACAATATTCCTACAAGCCGTGAGCTTCAAGTGCCGAACAGTTGGTTGGTCTGGCTATCTGGCTCGCGGTCAGAAGGATCAACGGTTTCTGTAGGAGGTAGCCTTAGGTCTCTCGATCGACAGATACAGGAATTTCTCCCTGCAATTTATTTTGGAACCAAAAAGCTTACGACCAATGGTAGCCATGAACTGGAGATGCGAGCCTTTTCTTGCAGTACTTTTGCTTGAGAAGCCTTACGACCAACACAAGACATGCATGAGGGTGGATGCGACAGGGGACCTGGTTGGAGGGCGGAGATGATTGTCTTGGACAAATTCGTGGATGTCTAGCATTTCCACCTCCCTCCCTTTGTACATACATGTACTCCTTTCATCCAGAAACATCTGTTGCTACCCAGCAAGTAGATGCGTACCTGGTTAATTCTTCAGCCAACTGGATTCTAAGCATCTACGTGTACATAGGTAAGCGCCAAAGACTCACAGAATGCCCAGCGGGATAGCATGATAAATCTGCTTCAACAGAAGTAAAGAATAAAATCACAAGAAGTCGTCCGCTACATGGAATCAAGGCCTTCAGCCTGTAAAAGATGAACACTGAAGCCGATTCGTGATGAGAAGATTTGGTACCTCTCCTAAACCTGCACACTCACATGAATGCAGGGTACCAGCGGCCGACGGATCGCCGCACATGCAGCGATGTGTTCCAATGCCATGGGATGTATGTCCAGAAGTGCAATTACGATGAGACAGGCAAACCCACTAGACCCGGACTGCAAGAAATGTTACTATCCAAAATATCTGCCGTGGATGTCGAACCTTTCTTGAAGAACTCTTCGGCTGTCGTCGCTTGAATGAATGTGGGGGCCGATGAAAATAGTAGTATTCGGAACATTCGCAGGGTCACCCTTGTTGCAAATCGTACGAATCTGATGATACTCTGGCTCGGCACTCGTGCTCCGACCTGTCTACTGGTCTGGTTTCTGAGAGATGGCTGCGAGGTCCTCAGCTACGCGTGGATAGAGCGGGATAATCCATAAGTGCGTTACACCATTCATTTCAGGCCGGTAGACACAACGTACAGGAAAGCCACGGTGGAAATGAGTTGACGACTGACCTGTTTCTTGTTCATTAATACGCCACTTCTCTGCATACGAGTACGACACCAATTGCCTGCTTCCCACTGATTGTGGCCTAACCAAGACGTAGTGACACTGACAGTGCAGCATTGAATCCTCTCAGCTTGGTCGGAAGAAGTTTGACGGACCCAGTGCCGTGCCCTTGCATCATGTGTTGACGCTCCCTTGCTGGATGGCCATTCAGAAGCTTTTTAGCTGAGTACAGGTCTCGCAAAATTGCAACCCAGAATTAAACAGCTCCAGGGCTATCATTATAATGGCGTGAGGGTAGCCGCCGTCTGTGAGCTTCGGAGTTTTGGTCGTGGTGTTTTGGCGATTTCACATCATTCACTACACACTGAAGTCGAAGTAGGACGTCCAAAATCCAACATGGCCGCCACAGATGCACCGCTCCCCAATCCAAAAGATAATGTGTCACGTTTAGTATACATACCTTCGGCCATATTCGTGGTAATATGCCCTATCGTCGTTGCGTTGCGCGTCTGGGCCCGGCTGAGGAGCGGCAAGATGGGCCCTGACGATTGGACTGCCATTGCGGCCTTGGTGAATATCTCTGGACCGAATTATCTGCATAGGATCCTAACGATTGAATATTTTCTATCGCGCAGATATTTGCACTCCTGACTAGCGGATTTCTGGTCGCGTGTAAGTGAACAATGGCGCGATCCCCGCTACATCATGAAGCTGATGGATTTTGCAGCTTGCCATTATGGAATGGGCCGCCACTTCGTCTACATAGAAGCACACAATAAATACGAAACTCTCAAAGTACGTTATGATGTGTGCTATTCGATGTTTTCTCAATGTCTGTCTAATACAAGGAGGGCGATTAGTACTTGTACATGTCCCAAGTCACCTACAAAGCAGCCATTAATCTCAGCAAATGCTCTATCCTGCTGCTTTATCTGCGTCTATTCAAGATTGTTGGTTGGATTAGATGGGCTTGCTGGGGTATACTTACATGTGTGGTCATCTATTGCGTCTCGTCGATGGTCGCGACCATTTTCCAGTGCAGTCCCGTCGTTAAAGCATTCAACAAGACTCTACCGGGAACTTGCATTGACCTTGCCACGTTTTGGTTCGCAAACGCTGGATTTTCGATTGCCACCGACATTATAATCTTGCTGCTTCCTATGCCTCTGGTCTATCAACTAGAAGTTCCTCGGGCTCAGAAAATCGCCCTAATGGCCGTCTTTGCCGTTGGCATCTTCGTCGTGGTCACTTCATGCCTCCGAGTCGCAACGCTTGATATATTCGCTACTTCCCCCGACAATACATATGATATCGCGAACGTGATGTGGACAATCATCGAACCCAATGTGGCTGTCATTTGCGCAAGCTTGCCAATTCTACGCCCGTTGGTTGTTAAACTCTTCCCGGCCCTGAGGAGTAAAAGCTCGGCCAACAGGTACGGATCTTCGGGCTACGCGGAACAGTCAAAACGAACAAGAAGAAGTCAGCCGCATGGAGATAACTGGGCGGAGTCAAGTAGGGAGCCTGATGTTATTCACATGGCAACTCTTCGAGGGAGTCACTCAAATGCAGGAAGCGAAGAGAATATCTTACCACTTGGGCAGAATGATACTAGTGCCAGAATTCAGAAGACGGTGGAATATACTATTCAATACTCAGAGAAGAGATAGATACCTGGAATGGAGTTGGTTACCACACGCAGAAGAAATGCATGAATAAGCCTGTAATAAAAACACATAAATCGCCTCATATAAGTAATTAAGAATCGAGACCGTTTAATAAAGTTTAGCGGGCAAGGCTCAAATCGCTGACCTCAAAAGTTTAGGGTAATCCTATCCATGTCTATGGATCTTTGCATCTGACTGATCGATGATCATGACACTATTGGGAAACTTGCTAGTGAGAATTTTCATTGCCATATTCACGCATATTGACACGTTTGGTTGGCAGGCATCCTGGTGTACATATTCCACCGCATAAGTAAGGCAGCAAGCGTTTGTTTTTAGAGGGAGAGACGTGCAGGCACCCTAACCAATTAACTTTCATGAAGTGAGATTACCACACACAAGGCTTACTTAAACTTACATTTATGTCTAATATATAATGTGACAGCACTATTGATTATGTTTAGATAGTAGCCACGTGGTTAGCCAATGGAGACATAGAGCTGATCTTGTGGCTGGCCGTGTGCTGATCCCCCTTTCTGACCCACCGAGGTGGTGATGAGTAACTTCTCTTTCTTTGTTCTATTGAGTCCTATGTCTGAGTTGTAACTCATCACAAACTCACTTCTCCCATAGCTGTCCAGTTTACAAATAAATCTTCGCAGCGCGGCCATCTCAAACCTACAGCGAAGATCCCCTCTACATCTCACAGCAAGTACTGCGAACGGTCCATAGAAGCTCATGGAGATTCTTCATAGTATTCTTCACTATCGTGCTTGGACTTGATCTTCCTCTGACTTCTTGACATCTTATGGTCGAAGTCAGCGAGTTTGCTCATCACCAGCACTGTTTCGGTAGTATCTATTATACTAGTTGGCAACAAAGGTCAATGCCCCTAGGCTCGTGTCTGACCTTGGACGCAATCTCTCTCTTGCCTCTGCGTAAAGAACTTTTTGATATGCCCCATGCGGTATAAGGGAGGCGCTAACCCAAGTGCAGCCCGTCATATCTTACCGTATGCTGGCGAAAATGTGATTTATAATTTTGGAAGGTAACTACCGATTAGAGAAAAGCGGACAAATGTTCACCGAATGATATCTTGGTATGCATCACAAGTTTTGGGACTGAAGAGCCGATGCTATTGATTTGCTCAATTTAGGAGCAAATGAAACCATGAGAGAGACCAATTGAAGGTTATAATGCATATTGCCACAACCGAACACATATGGGTACCGCATCCGTGAGCTACCTACTTACATTAGAATGGCGAGATGTGGCTAGGGATATGGCGCGATAGTATTGCATACTGCTTCTAATAGTTTCGATGCATATGTTTAATTTTATCATTATAAGTTATTTTATTGGAGTTAGTTGAATTGACTCAAAAGTGAGTATTGTTATGGCATATGGTTGCGTGAACGTGAATGCTCAAACGGAGAAATTGAAAAAGTAACCCAAAAGCTGCGACAGAAAGAGGCAGTTGCGTGAAAACGCGCTCGGAGTTTCGACAAAAATAGCAACGGTAATGGCAGATGTTAATAATGCAAAGTCTCCAAACAGGTACCCGGTCTGATTGTATCAGAGGAACTTTTTTATCACTTCGATTGTCGTTAATAAGAGATTTACCTTATCCAGCATCTCGTGCGCTTCTTGTGGCAATTTGGGATGAACTTTTGATCGCCGTCGTCGGCCACAACAAAGTCCCTGTGCTAAGCTAGTTATAGATTAGCCTTTTGAGAAACCAGCAGCTCCAAATACGAGTAAACATTGTATAGACGGCATACTATGCTGTGCTCCGTATGTTCCGACCAGTCTCTCGGTCTTCTTCCAATTGAATAGCTCAATCGCGGCTGGATAGATAGTGGATAGGGTGAAATTGACTCGCCATCCTTGCAAGGCAACGCTGACAATGATACTCAGGCTCATAGCTATTTATGGTTAGATATAGCCATACTCAGTGTACTACACCGCTAATTCCACCTACGGTTTCACAAACAGCATTGAAGGTGAGATTTTCGCTTGTTTGATCAACATAGAAGCCCAGGCTACTACAGGTACACACAAGTGCTCGCACGCATAATTCGCCACTTCACCGAGTTATAGTGAATGTACGGAGCACATTATACAACTTCAGAGCCTCTAGAATTAGCGTAAGGAGTAAAAGATTGGCTATCTCATTAGTTTGTCCAGCGCCTGCCGGAGTCCTCAGGATCTATCTCAAAAGTGCTCGCGGCCCGGAACCACGGCACTGTCTGACAGGCCCTGAGCCACTAGTTTCCGACCAATCGATGCTGCGGCTTGCTTTGACCTGCCTATTAAGGGGCTAGATAGCCAAGAACTTCTGAAAAGACCGCGGGGTACGGTAATCGTAATCTTGCAGCCGTGCCAAGTTCTGATATTTTGTCCGACCCCTGCATATATATCCTAGCGCAAACATCCGATCGTTGCGGGTGTACATACACAAGAACAGTAATTAATCACAACATTGCATCATTAAGTGGAGAGATCGCATTGGATCTTTTGAATGGCATTATCCTCAATTGGCATTGAGCAGCTTCCGAGGCTCAGCTACGATAGTATGAAGAGTGCCATAAGAATCCCCAGCCCGCCCCGACTCAGGGCAGTGATTTGCTCCATTGTCATCCATTGTCACGCCCATCATGCCTAAGTCCAAGTCGTCGACAGCTCTGCGGCTGGTCAGCCTCCTTTCCCTTGCGAGTGTGCAGGTGTCTGCCTCCACTGCCTCCGTCCTTGTGGAAAGCCTCGAGAAACTGCCTCACGGATGGACAGCGGCGTCGGCCCCTAGCCCTTCGTCCCAGATCACCTTGCAAGTCGCTCTTACGCAGCAAAACATTGATCAGCTGGAATCGAGGCTCGCAGCAGTATCCACGCCAAACTCTAAGACGTACGGAAACTATCTCGATCTCGATGAGATTAATGAGATTTTTGCGCCTAGCGATGCTAGCAGTGCAGCCGTTGAGTCTTGGCTCAAGTCTCACGGTGTAACCAAGTACACCAAGCAAGGCGCCAGCATCTGGTTTCAAACCGATGTTTCCACTGCAAACTCAATGCTGAGCACAAACTTCCACACTTACAGTGACACTACTGGTGCGAAGAAAGTGAGAACTCTCCAGTACTCAATCCCGCAGAACCTTGTCGACCATATCGATCTTATCTCGCCCACGACTTACTTTGGCACCACCAATGCCGCGCGAGCTTTGAAAGCGAGAAGCGTGGCTTCAGTGGCTCGAAGTGTGGCAGCCCGCCAGGAGCCTTCCAGCTGCCAAGGAACTCTGGTCTATGAAGGAAGGACATTCAATGTCTTCCAACCAGACTGTCTTAGGACAGAATACAGTGTTGATGGATACACTCCATCGGCCAAGTCTGGCAGCAGAATCGGATTTGGCTCCTTCTTAAACCAGAGTGCAAGCTTTTCAGATCTTCAGCTCTTTGAGCAGCACTTTGGATTTGCCAGCCAGAACTTCTCTGTCGTCCTGATCAATGGCGGAACAGATTTGCCCCAGCCTCCTTCTGATGACAACGATGGCGAGGCCAACTTGGATGTCCAAAACATTTTGACAATCGCACACCCTCTGCCCATCACAGAGTTCATCACTGCTGGAAGCCCACCGTACTTCCCAGACCCCGTTGAGCCTGCAGGAACTCCCAACGAGAACGAGCCTTACTTGCAGTACTTCGAGTATCTCCTGTCAAAGCCCAACTCTAAGATCCCCCAAGTTATCACCAACTCCTACGGCGACGAGGAGCAGACAGTTCCCCACGCCTATGCTGTTCGAGTGTGCAACCAGATTGGATTGCTGGGACTGCGCGGTATCTCCATCCTGGAATCTTCCGGTGACGAGGGTGTTGGTGCCTCTTGCGTTGCTACCAACAGCACCACTCCTCAATTCAACCCCATCTTCCCGGTATGTTCTCCCCACCAAGCCCTGAATTTGTGCATTTGTTAATTTATCTTCTCTTCAGGCAACATGCCCCTACGTCACTAGCGTAGGTGGAACCGTGAGCTTCAACCCAGAAGTTGCCTGGGATGGTTCATCTGGTGGTTTCAGTTACCACTTCTCTCGACCCTGGTACCAGGAGGAAGCCGTTGGAAACTACCTCAAGAACCACATCAGCGCCGAGACAAAGAAATACTATAGCCCCTATGTCGATTTCTCTGGACGTGGCTTCCCCGATGTTGCAGCTCACAGTGTGAGCCCTGAGTAAGTCTCGTTTTGATGTGAGCCACTTGAAAGATGCTAACCTAGCACATAGTTACCCCGTGTTCCAGGGTGGTGAACTTACCCCAAGCGGAGGCACTTCCGCAGCTTCCCCCATTGTTGCTAGTATCATTGCTCTCTTGAACGATGCACGTCTCCGCGAAGGCAAGCCCGCACTTGGGTTCCTGAACCCACTGATTTACCAATATGCTTATCAGGGTTTCACGGATATCACATCCGGTCAATCTGACGGCTGCAACGGCAACAACACCCAAACTGGTGCCCCTCTTCCTGGCGTAAGTCTAAGACCCCATCCCAAGTATTTAAAGCAGCAAAACTAACGCTTGGATAGGCTGGCAATGTCCCAGGAGCACACTGGAACGCGACCAAGGGATGGGATCCTACAACCGGATTCGGTGTTCCCAACTTCAAGAAGCTGCTCCAGCTTGTTCGATATATCTAAATTTTGAGTCGGAGCTTTTGCTTGAAGACGAGGATTGCCATCTGAAATGGATAACAATGATGACGATGGATCACGATTAAATAGATGACTTCAATAGCTGTTCATTCAGCTAAGCTAACTAGCTAATCTAATTACATTCAGACATTAATACACACAATTATGTCTCCAATGCCAGAAAGGAGTAAATGTCTCTAAAAATTCGTACTGTACAGTCTGAGGGGAAGAATAACGTGTTTCCGCAGAGCGCACATGTGGGGTTCATAATAAATTATCGCCACGCAAATTGCGTTTGTAAAAACATGTGAGAATGTTGCCGATTGAACAGAAAAAAGCGCAACATGCACTGCTACATACCAGCTCAAGCCAATCGTTGACGATTGTGTTACATTATGACGCAGCAGCAAACCCAACGCCTGTTAAATTATAGCGCAGTTAGGCAACCCGTCAGCCACGAGTCTGTCAGGCAACAG